TGATTTATGTATATAAGATAAGATTTAATCGTTAATTGAAGATTTAAATAAAATTTAATGAATATGTTTTTAAAATAAATCAATAATTAAAATATTGTTAATACTGTTAATGTCAAACAATAGTTCAAACTAGAAAATCAAAATCATTAACTAACAATAATACCCTCAGTAATAGATCCCTTATCAGTTTAATAATGATTATATGTCACCTTATAAGCAAAATACTGAAAACTCACACACAAAAATTGCAGTTAAATAACCTTTTGATTTAAATATAAACGAGCAAAATAAGCAAAGGTCATCCTCCTAAATTTCAAACCCATTGCATACTAGTAAAATTGATCTCTTCACTAAGTATTACGAGAGGTCATCGAAAATTGGCTAACCCTATAGTTAAATTTTAAACTAATAAAATTCTGATTTTGCAACATAAATAAATGAAAAGCCATAGTAAAATACTAATTGCTAATCCTATTCAGTTTAAAATGTTTAAAATGTCAATAATATTAAATATACCAACTCTTAATGTTAGCAAAACTAGGCATATGTAGGAAATTATGTAAATAAAGGAAATAATATAATTAATAACAATTAATAAGTATATTAATAACCTATCACTCAATAACGTCTTAGCAATCAGTATAATAATAATAATAATTTTGAAGCATATTAGCCCTAGAGTGTTTTCAATACTTAGCTTTATAATTAAAATAATAACGTATATTAAGTTTAGAACTATCCAACAGAAAATCATACCATTAAATAGTTGGAGAATTAGTCTATTGCAAATGTTAGGATGGAAAAGGAAGAAACAAAATAATATGGCTCAGACAATAATTGTGAAATTTAAGAAGACTTAACTTCATCATTAGTCAAATCCATAGTGTATTAATGTTAACATTGCAATACAAGGGTTTCTCGTGATATTATTCAACTTGATTGTTACCATTTTTATCACATTTAGTGTTTCTAAGATCATTTGTTACATTAAATCTCAGCGAAAACATATAGACCTATACAATGTCATTGCAGAATTAAGATTACATAGTCTTAAGTAAAAAATGTGTTGAAATAAAACTAAATATCTGGTTTGGTTGAAAAACTATTAGAATCAGAAATCAATTCTATTTTTAAGATGTACCAGAAAATTTAGAATCTAAATAAATGTGGATAATGTAATTTTTTCTGGGTTGGAAGTGAAAAAGATAAAACCTAAAGCCCATACTACTGTTAAAATTGCGAAAGGAAATACTATTGATATTATATATTATTATTGTCAAAATTCATTATGTTTTTAAATGATATAGTATATGAAATTACTCAGATAAATTAATATATTTCATTAATTGCTTTAGTAATATTCTGAATTTCAGTTTATATGTTGCTTTAATCTTATTCTAATTTTAAAACAGTTTAGAAATTTTTAAACATATTTATTAAATCAACTTCCATTTTATCAATCTACAAATTTCTAATAGAATTATACTTAATCTTTTTAATCTTCGTATTCAGTTTATACATCATGTAAAACTTTTGTCAATATATTGCAAGCATCTTCTACAGATTTAATTCGATCATCTTTCTCATTAATTTCATTTTAAATTTAATCAAATCGTTATGGTATTGAAATCAGAATTTATTTACTAGTGTCAGTTAATTCTGCAATCTATTATTGAAGAGATTCAGGGATGATAGGTGGGATACAAGTTAATTTATGTATAACTTCCTCTAAATTTTAAATTCTTTTTTCAAGTTCAAACAATTTATCGTTGCTGTTTTGCTATAATTGTAACATTTCTAATTTATTGACGACTGACCACATTTGCTTAAAAGCAAGATCAAATATTTCATAAGTGACATATTAGTCAGGACAAATCGTTTTAAGTTATTCAATTGATAAGGATCCATCAGATGAATGAATTCTTTTAGTATTTCTCTTTTCACTCATAAATTGATTAATAAATTTTATATGAATTAATTGTATTTTATGCTCAATAGAAAATTAATAATATTTAATTTTCATATGGAACTTTGATATTAGATAAATTATTTGAAATACATCTTTATATTAGCAATGTTTTAACCATATATAATAAGAATTTAAGAAATTTATTAAATTAAAAAGAATAATTGAAACTTAGAAGCTTTTAGAATAATTAAGGAACAAGAATATGTATATAAATAATTGAAGATATAATAACAAAAATGCAAATGTAAGTAAAATTTTGAAAGAATATTGGATTATAAAATATAAATAGGAAGAGTTCATTTAAATTTTATATAACATATTATAGATAAGCACCTTCATTGTAGATGTATCTTCTTGTGACGATAAAGGAGGAAATTCATAAAATTATTTTTTATCAAACACTTCCCAAATAATATGTTGCAGAATAAATATTAAAAAGCAAAACCTATATATGTTAACTCATGAAAGTACAAAGAGGGGAAAGTAATTTTTGTTATGGTGAAGAGTTATAAGTTTGACTATTAAAGCAGTAATTAAGTTGAATAAGTTAGATATGATGAGAAATAACTTAAAGACAAAGGCACTTGTTGAGGAAGAAATTCAAGCTAGAGAGGAACTTTTATTGAATGAGATTCCCTATTGAAAGTAGATCAAAAATAGAAGTCTCTTGTGATGGTTTGAAGTATATTATAAATACAATCATTTTTGATTAACTATTTTAATAATTAAAATGCCACCTAAATAATAGAGAGTTGCTCTTAAAAGGCCATAGAATGTAATTATTTTGAGTTTGTACAGTAGAAAAAATAAGCCAAATAAGTGAATCAAAATTTAAATCAATAAGACCCAGAACCAGATGGAGATGAATCGGAGTACTAAAATGAAGTTTTGAAATAATTTAATATTATTAGAGAGAGAAAGAGAGACCATAACTAACGGAGAAGGAACTGAATGAAGATATGCCATCTAAAATGCTTATACCCAATAATCCTCAAGCACCAAAAAATATTACTTAATACGATTATTTATAAAGAAAGGTAACTACCCAACTTATGGATAGTATAAAACTGATGAATTGGTGGAATAAATGATTATTCATTTCAGAATGGATGGAGAAATAATCCACAAAGACTCGAATGAGGCTAGAATACAGGAGGAATTATGGGATACAAAATCAGCATTGATTAAGGAGGCTTAAAGAAATTAGGAAATGGAAGATCCTGGAGCGTCTAAAGATATAGATGCAATCAAGTAGACTATGAGAAATAAGTTTAATTACAATGCCAGAGAAGCCTAGACTGATGGAAGAGTAATAAGAGAAAGAGGAGTTTCAACTGAGCCCCCTCCAAGTGATACATTGAAGGGTTAAATTACACAATGGGAAATCTTCGATGCCTACATTTAGAATAAGGCAAAGGAGGAGAATTAGAAGAAAAAGGATCACACTTCTGACAATACAGTTTATAAGCCATCATTTAAAAGATGCTTAAAAATAATGGAAAGAACTGTTGTTCATAATGATTAGAAGGAGAAATACAACGATTATAAATACTATTGGAATTAGGGAGAAGTGGTTGAGACATCAAAGAATGAAGGGTAACTATTATTTTAATTCAATAAGACATTTGTTGCCAATTTGGAAGTTTTCAAATGAGAAATAGAAGAAAAAACATGTAACGTCTTTGTGTTGGAATCCTCGATATATGGATTTGTTTGCAGTCAGTTTTGGTAGCTACGAATTTTCAAAATAAAGAATGGGTCTTATATGTTTATATTCTCTTAAAAATACAACTCATCCAGAATATGCATTCACATGTGAAGCAGGAGTGATGTGCTTAGATTTTCATCCTTAGAGTCCAGCATTATTGGCTGTCGGATTATATGATGGAACAGTCCTTGTTTATGATATCAGAAATAAACACAAGAAGCCCATATATTAATCAACTGTTAGAACATAAAAACATACTGATCCAGTATGGTAAGTTAAGTGGAATCCAGATATCTCAAAGAACTATAATTTCTATTCAATTTCATCTGATGGTAGAGTGATGAACTGGGTTTTAATGAAAAATAAACTAGAACCCGAGGAAGTCATTAGATTAAGATTAGTGGGTAAAAATGAAGAGGAAAGTACTCTGATTGGTTTGGCTTGTGGTTTATGTTTCGATTTCAATAAATTCGAACCTCACATCTTTTTAGTTGGTACAGAGGAAGGAAAGATCCACAAATGTTCTAGAGCTTATTCTGGATAATATTAGGAAACTTATATTGTAAATTAAATCATTAAATCAATAGGGTCACAATTTGGCAGTTTATAAGGTGAAATGGAATAATTTCCATCCTAGAACTTTCATCTCTGCATCAGCAGATTGGACAGTCAAGATTTGGGATTCTAAAATTTCATCTTAAATTATGAGTTTTGAATAAGGAATGCAAGTTGTCGATGCCATGTGGGCTCCATACAGTTCTACAGGTATATCTAAATATTAATTTAATAGTTTTTGCATGTGCTACTTAAGATAAGATATTCGTATATGATTTGAATGTTGATAAAATTGGAAAACTTGCAGAATAAAAACCATCTAAATAACCTAGATTGACTAACATTGCATTCAATTAAAGAGATCCAATTATTTTGGTAGGTGATACTCATGGTGGCATAACACTACTTAAATTAAGTCCAAATCTTACCAAATGTAATTAATACAATTTGAGTTTTTAGCTGGTGTTAAAGCAACCAATTTTCCTGATGGAAAAGTTCCCAAGGAATTTGAAAATATGCCAATGGAGGAATATGAAAAATAGAAGATGGAGAATCTATTATAAGTAGTTTCAAAATGGGAAAGAGAGGATTCTTGAGAAACAAATTTTATACACAAAAATATTATAAAAAATACATTTATTTTAATGCACAATTATCAAGATCATAGTTAAAAATTCTTTTATGAATTGTGGAAAACTGGTAACAGAATACTGTGCTAAGGAAAGTTGTTAATTGGGTAAATAATAATTTTATTGGAGTTCTGAAAATCATAAATTTATTGCATCTATTGTACTAATTACTATACCCACAGTTTTGTATTATGTGTTCATGGCACCTGTATTAAAATATCAATACTTAGGCATTGGTTCAAAGAGATCAAATTGTCTAAGTGATCATTTTTATAATTCTGAATTGTCTAGTTTATATTTTCATCACTATTACAGTACTAATGGATCCAGGTATTATCCCCAAAATAGTACTAATTTATATTATCAAAAAGACTACAAATTATGAAATGGATGAATAGCTAATTTTAATTCCTTAAAAATATTTGAAGGTTGATCCCCAAGTATTATTTGAATCCAAAACCCTGTAAACGAGAGGACATCAATTTAAATTGAAATTTTGTAACACATGTAAAAAAGCCAAATTAATATTTTTACAGGTGCCATTTATCGACCTCCTCGAGCCTCACATTGTCCAGCATGTGATAATTGTGTATTAAGATTTGATCATCATTGTCCTTGGATTGGAGCCTGCGTTGGAAGAAGGAATTATATTTATTTTTATCTCTTTATCTTCTTTCTTTCTGCTACCATGATTTATGTTTTTTCCACATGTCTTGCATATATCTTTGGAGACATGAGTGATGATAAGGATAAAGGAGAATAGATAATATCTACATTGTCAAGAAATCCATACTCATTAGCCTTAGCAATCTATTGTTTCATTGTAAATTCATTAGAATTATTCAGTTCTCCTTTTTTGTTGTTGGCTTGTGGGGATTCCATACATTTTTAGTTATAACTAATATGACCACAAATGAATACTTGAAGAAACATTGGGTCATCTAAAGTAAGAATCCTTTTAGAAGGTATGACTATTCTTGATTGTATAGAAAGAACATCTTTAAAAATATCTAACATGTCTTAGCTTGTATCAGAGAAGTCAAGTTTTTAGAACTTCGTCAATATGTTTACGATCCCAAGAGTTATAATCAAGTAATATTTATATATATATATCGAGCCTATCACCTAAAATCAAATCAATGAGAATGAAATTGAAAATTTAAATGTAGTATGCGATAATCAAAATAATGTTGCAAGAAGATTGTCAAAACAAACTAACGACCATATGGAAGAGCAATGAATATTCAACTAGTCATATTTTAATACATTCAAATCTTTTTCTTTTCTTGAATTGCTTTTAAAGATTCTAAATTTGAAAATCTCATTTAAATTAATTAAGTAATTTGATATATATAAGTGAATTATATCATTAATGTATTCATGGAATCGAAGGCAATTTATACTATTAATTTAACAAAGACTATTAATGCTGTGGGGAAATTTAACCATTGAATGATTACTAATACTATTTAATTACTTTGCCCAGTCTTTTTCTATGGCTTTCCGTTGCAGTCTGACGAAAAAGTTTCTCTTACGATTTGAAATCCTAATTTAAGATTTGTTAAATACCTTGGCTACTTTTGAATCTATCATTGCATTATTCAATTGAAAATCCAACGGTTATACCTTTTTTATTATCCATTTTGGACTTAGATTCTAACTTCCTTGAGTTATTTGAACTCCAAATTATTTAGCTAAAATTCCTTGAGCCCAATCAGATCCATATGGATCTTTTTTCTTCGGAGGATTAACTGTAGACTATTTTATTTAAAGAAAGATAACTTCTAATAGTTTTCTCTTTGGGCTTTTCTATTACTTCTGTTTAATGAGCTTTTGGCGAGATTTCTCGATTTTTTTAATAACAGTAATCCATTATGGATATAGGCTCACCCACTTCTGGCACGAATGAAGAACACTGAAAAAAAAGTCCATCCTTTTGCTGTTTCATAATTTATTTATTAAATTACCAAGATAAAGTCTAAGCATTATTAGTATTGAGATACATTCACTAATTTATTTGTAAAATAACATAATCATGAATCAAAAGTTTATCTACCCCTATAGGATTTGGCTGAAGTCTTAATCTAAGGAGTATGACATGGATTGAATTCTGGCATAGAATAATCTGTAGTTTCTTAATTCTATGTAGTTTGAATTTATCTCACTTGACTACTCCTTCTTTTTTGCAATCTCTCTTGTATGACGTTGTTTTGAGCTTCAAGGTTATTATGTATTAATGTGTTCAATTGTTCTTACTAATGAAAAACTAATATTTTTTTATTACTTTTTATTGATGTTAGTTAATCAAATCATCAGCATTTCGCTTTTAATCAACTTACTTTATTTGCTATAATTTTTATTTCACCTCCAAAGTTGGAGACTTTTTTTAGTTCATTTTCATAGCATTCATAACATTCTTCTTTGCAAATAAGTTTTAAATCTTGTTCTTGAAAATGAGATACTTGTTTGAATGAATAGCCTCAAAGTATTCCACAGCCTCTTTATATAAATTTATTAATTTCATTATTGTATCCATTTAAACATCATCAGATTCTACATCCATTTCTAAATTAAACAGTTCCTCTGCAAAATTGTCCCTCAATTTAGGCACTATTGAGTAGAAGTTCTATTTTGGTTATTGTTGTGTTTGTTGCTATTAAGGAGGTTTTGGGGGTTCTAGTGTTTAAATAGTTTGAATTACATTTTTGCTATGAGAAACTACGTATAAAATTAAGCATGTATTTAAATAAAAAATGTTCAATAATTCAACATCCTTTTTTGCAAACTCAAATGAAAAAAACAACCAGTTGAAAGAGAAAATCTATAGCGCTCTCTATTAATCTCCTAACACATCTTAGTAAAATTTTTACTTAACCAAATAGTGATGTTATGAAGTGGATTCCAAGCAATGATATTTCAAATCTCTCGGTGTCAATTGAGTAGGACATTGATAAAATTCTACAAGTAATCCCACCCTGTCAATTTCAACCAAATAAACAGATCTCCTTTCAAAATTGTTATACTCAACAATCTGCTCATTGTCAACCTATGACAATTTTAAGTTCATCCTAAAAAAATAATTCTGAAAATATATACGAACCTGAAATAAAACCAATTTAATAACCTTAAATTGAAAGCAATTCAAAACACAATAGAATAGAGCAACAATAAATTCTTTCAAAGTAGAATTAATACATTTAGGATTTGATTACTAGATACAAAGAACCTCCTAAGAACGCTTTTTAGGAAGATTAAAACCATCCTACAGGTAATATTGAAGAGGAGTAGGATATCAATACAAAATAATCAGTCACAAATAGAGATTCTAAATAAAAAGGTTGTTTAATTATTTAAGAAAAATGTAAAAACAATGAACTCTCAAAACTAACTGAATAATAAACTTGTTTAAATTAAAGCATTGGTAATTCTGTTATTTTAGATGCATTAATTAATGAAGAAAATATCAAATAAGTTTAATCTATTGTAGAAATTGAAAGTTAAGCTTTTAATACAAATTAAAATTGGGCAAAAATGAAGTTAAGAAAAGAGGCTAAATAATATGAAATTTACAAAACCCAAAACTTTTTAGATCTCTTATATTCTTTGCCCTCTTTCTTTATTCATTAGATAGAAGGTGAATTAAAAGTTGATAAATTGAGGGCCTAAGAAAATTAAGAGGGATATTATTATCAATCATTTGAACTTACTGTCAATCCATTCAAGATGATTGGGCCAATTAATTTTAAAAAAAATCTTAAAATTGTATTTTTTTATAAGATAATAGCATATAAGGTTCAAGAAGGGATATTATGGTGTAGTTTATTATGATAAACAATTATAAAATGTGATTCCTTAAAATTAAGTTGATGGGATAACTTTGAAAAATGAACCATTTTTATTAGCAAACAATTCTGATAAACCTATAAAAGTCATTTGTTGCATTGTTGGAATCAAAAAATGATATTAATTAAATTTATAACTAAATCCAATCAGTCTTTTAACAATGATTTAAATTATATGCCATACTTATCTTTAATTACTATCCATTTATATTAGCATTCCAATTTATTTGTATCTAGTAATATTAATTGATTATTTTGACACTCATATTTATTTTTTTCTATTTCAGTGAAACATTACAACCAGTTCATTGTCAGTCGTAATACTATTCTATAAAAAACAATATAAAATGATAGAATTTCAAAATCATAAAATTAATTAGTTTAATTAAAATGGAATATTAAAAATATGGATGATTAAAATAAACTCGAAAGCCTTAGAACAGCAATAATTAGCGGGATGATAGATTTTATTAACAAAAATTAATAAGAAAATGAAGAAGAGGATAATATTTAAGACACTTAATAAAATTTATAAATAATACATGCTTAAGTTTAAACCTAATTATAAATTAATTTTTCGTCACCCTAAAATTTGATCATAATATTAAATAAAGAATTAATCAAGCTAAAAGGTAATAAAGCTTTGACGAAACATTAAAAAAAATTTTATAAAGCAAATTATTCTTAATAATTATTAGAAAATCTATCATAAACAGGATAAGCTAAAACACCTATTTCTCTACCTTCTTATGTTAATCCGATAATCGATAATGTTGATGTTTTATTTTATGCTTTGAAAGAATGTTTGTTAAGGGCTTAAAACCGAGAATTACTTAAAACAGATAGTTCAGTTTCTGCTGGATTAGAATCTCTTGTAGGAGCATTCGGATAAGATTAAGGTTGCTTAAAATTTCGAACTATTTAAGTTGATTATAATAAGCTAACAACTGATGACTATTTTAGAAACTAAATCTATCTGAATTAAAACAAAAAATAGCTCAACATTACAATATTAAGATTGATCAAGTTTAGGTCGTTGCAATCAATAAAGGGAGTGCTGAGATTTATCAAAAATAATATCAAGTAGAGTAGATATTGAAAATTTAAAAAATGATGATATTAATTTTTTTAAAAACTTATGTGGAGGTTTAATTGATTATTATAACTACTTTGTTAAAGCAGTAGAGAAGGGGAAATTTGGGCTTTCATATTCAGATTTTAATCCTCATCACAACATGAGATGGGATAATTTTCCAGAAAAAGAAGAAAGAGGCCCCAGGTTACAGCTAAAATTATTACTTTCCAATAGGTTGGCAAGTTTTGGATTAAAGCTTGACGAAAAAGAGCATTAAAATATAAATTGGATTAATATGGATGGTAATAAGGAAGAATGGAGAATTTTATTTCACGGAACAAAATAATATTGCGTGGCTGATATTACGAAAGAAAAATTAAAAGGAGGGAATAATCAAGTCTGGGAGAATTATATTTGTGAAGATGGAAGAAAAGTAGGAAGAGGGATATATTTCTCCTATACAATTGAAGTATGTCTTCGTCCCGAATATGCTGAGCCTGTCTAAGTAGGTTAAAAACAATATTCAGTAACTTTCATGTCTAGAGCGAATCCAACGAAAATTACGTAAAGCCCAAAATGAAAAACATTAGATTTTTTTGTTATCAATGATTCTGCTGATGTTAAACCATATAGAATTTTATTAGAAGAAGTTTGATAAAATCATCATAATATTAATTAGTTGATATGAAAAAATATTTTTATTCCAAAATCCTTTACAATTTTTATGATAAAAATAGAGTCGTTTTTTAAATTTAAAGGTTGGTTTTAGGTTTACAATGATATTTACTTGTGTTTTAGTTTTATAAACCCATGATTAAATGGTTTTAATTATTTCATATTCAAAATTATTTCAAAATCGAAACTCAAAAATACTAACTAAATGTTTATAAGTGTTTTTTGAAAAGAAATCACTTGATCTTGACTTTTTTTATTAGAATAAAGATTAGTTGCTGAAAATATTAGTTATTGGAAATTAAATGATCTAAAATCTTAACCTCTTCCCTTATATAATTAAGATTCATATGATGTGTTAATTAATTTTTAATTAATTGCAATAATTTTTAACCAGTATTTAATGATTCAAAGAATTTATCAATTTTTATTAATCTTATAAGCTAAAGTTCTTGAGATTTAAAGAGTAAAATTAAGGATGTTAATATTCTGATAAATTGCTGAGTTCAAATAGCTAGTTAATATGATTTTTATATATTTAATGTTTTAAGGGCAATTATATATTTAGTAAAGACATTTGTGTAAGTGATATGGATTAAAATTGAAGCTACATTAAATTTCCTAATTATTATTTAGATTTGAATTTATGCTTGATTAGAATATTATTAAATAATCATTTTCTGTTTAAAATATGATATGTTCTCATGGTTAACAGAATGAAAATGATCAAAATAAATCCAATCCTTTAAAAGATATAGTTTAATATCTTAAAAATAAATTCATTTTAAGATTTCTTATCTTAATGAGATATAAGTTTTATAAAAGAGATTTGACATCTTAGTAACAATAATTATATGTCACTCTTAAAATATTTTTTTTTTTGTGCCATTATTTTTCAAAAGTTGGTTAACTTACTCTAAATGCATTAGATAATATTTTATGTAAATATATTAATTATTCTTTAAAATTTGATTTATGTTTAAATATTAATTATCGGCCCCTTTTAAGGTGCAACTAACTATGATACTTTTACTAATATTTCACTTCGTTAGATAACTTCTATCATATTATTATCAATAGGATCAATACATAATATTAATGATGTCGAATTTTTTATTCCAAATAGCATTGGAGCTGATTTTCATTAATAATGAGACTGTTAATTAAAGGGCTTTATAATTTGTATTAATTTTGATTAATGTTATTCTCTTTTAAGTAGAATCAATTAAATATGGCATCGATAATGTAGATTCTAATTATTCTTATATAATTATAATGTACTTACTAAATAACTATTAAAATTAGGAAATTAGAAAGGCATTTTGGTAAGTAATTTATAAATTTCTACTCTTGATTCTTTTTTTAAGCTTTTATTATTCCAAAGAGGAATCAAAAGAATAAAGAAGCATCGATTATTATTGCAAGATTGTAAATTAAAAATTAAATATGGCAATTGTTATTTTCTTATTGCAAGAGATCAAAGGATAGGAGCAAAAGTAAAATATTTTATCAACTATTGATGAAAAAATAATGTCAAAATATAACCAGAATACAAAAAAGAAGGAATGTGTTAAGCAAGATACAAAAAGATCATCATTTTAAGATCTAAGTGAAATACTCACAGACAGAAAGCAAACTATCTAAAAATATTAATTATACTAGTAATTAGATCAAACTTTATTGTTGGATATTTTAACTGAAGCAGTAATTATTATAAAATTTGAAAAATCAGAGGAACCTCATATTTATAAACCGCGAATTGATTATTAGAATTAAATAAGCAAAGCTATGTTTTAGAAAAACAATTCAGATTTGCTCTAATTTTTTGAAAAAACAACAAGCGAAGTTTTGAGCGATGACTCACCAGTTAATCCTAGAAACTCATTATTATCTTTCTAAAGTTTTGCATAATAATAATACAAAAATATGAAAAGATCTTCCAAATTTAACCCTTAGTAATACTTTGTTGCAGAAAATAAGTAAGATTAAAAATCGGCAGGACTCCATTCTGTTTCCCCAAGATTAAGATCTTTAACTACTTAAGTAAAATCAATTATTTAATTTAGCTTAATACTATTTATAAATCTTTACTCTATGTATATAATACTAAGAAAGTACGATTTGAAATAAACGGCAAAGTAGAAGCGTTGATAATCGAAACCAACTTCGAGATTGATAACACAAAAAAAACTGTTGAAATGCTCGTCACAATAGGGGGAGATGATTTACTTCTTGTGATTGCTCGAGATGTAGTGCATAGGAAAAACATAAAGGAACTTTTTGAAATAAATTAATCTAAATCTAAAATTTTATCTTTTGTAAGTCATGAATTTAGATCACCTTTGAATGTTATGATAAATGTCCTTTAAAATATGATGGAGGATAAAAGTTTAAAAAATTCTTTATTGCAGCCTCTCAAAATAGTGTTGGAGAACTCATACTATATGCTAAACTTATCAAATGATTTACTTGATTTAGCACAGATAAAAAATGAAACTTTTAGTTTAAATCTAAAAACGATAGATATCATCTAATTAGGAGAGGAATGCATAAAGATGTTTTAATTATAGGCAGAGCAAAAAAATATAAAGTTAAATGTAATTACTAATATAAAGCCTTTATATATATATACTGATAAAAGTCGATTGAAATAGATAATTATAAATCTTTTAGCAAATGCAATGAAATTCACGTAGAAAGGAAGCATTTCAATTAAAATTAAATAAAGAGGATTCTTAGTAGATGTTGGAGTTGAAGATACTGGAATTGGAATTTCGTAGTAAAATCAAAATAAATTATTTAAGGCATTTGTAAAAATTAAAGATAGCGAAAATTAAAAATTAAATGAATAAGGAGTTGGATTAGGACTTGTAATTAGTAATAAAATAGCATAACAATTATCATCTGATGGTTAAGGATTAAGAGTTATTTCCAGAGATACTACACACTTGGATCATGGCTCTTTCTTTTATTTGATACTAAAAATTAAATAATTTCACGCAAAAATAACTTCATCAAAGCTATAATAAGTTGATATTGAAGAAATTGAATCTCCTTTTTCTGATAAACATATTAAATTATCATAATTTAGAATGACATTTAATAATGGTCAACATTCATTCGCAGATGATTAAAGGATGATTGAAAAAGCTAATTGCTAACATATTTTGATTGTTGATGATAATGTATTTAATTAAAACATTTTAGAAATGCAAATACAATAATTGTAAATTTATTTATATTCATTTTAGTACAAAAGCTAAAATTGATAAAAATAATAGTGGAATTGAAGCTATTGAATCGGTGAAATCAAAGAAGTGCAATCAAAATTGTTAAGGCTATAATGCTATATTTATGGATATGGAAATGCCTGGTTTAGATGGGTTTTAGGCATCTACTTAAATTTTATAATTTAATGGAAAAATCAAAATATTCATAGTTTCTGGTTATGAAAAATCTCAATTCGATGAAGAAAGCAAAAAAATTGGAATTCAAGAATTTATTGTAAAGCCAATCTCAAAAGATATCATCTAAAGGATAATCCTAGAAAATCATTTATGATTGACAAGTAATATTGTGAAATTATAAATAATTATAACACTATTTTTGTCAATTTCCTTTTAGTATTTGATGTTCTAAATTTATATTCTCAAGTTTCCCATTTTTGACAATTATTTCTGATTTAACCCTTGTAGATCCATTATAAAAATTTAACATTTAAGGTTTCTCAAGATTTTTTTTTTTATTATCATTGGGATAAAAAATATTCTGTTGCTTTTGCAATCTTATTTTATTTAAAAATATAGGCTTTTTTTTGGGAATTTATTATTGCTTAGTAAGATTTTGATATTTAGAATTCTTGGAAAATACATAACTTATTGCTTAATCCTTATTAAACCTAAAAATTGCATTAATTAAGAATTGTTTAATTTATTTGAAAAAGTTTTAATCATCTTCAATAATAGTATTTATTCAGTTAAATTAATTTGTTTCTTAGTATTAATAAAATGAGATTATATTATTTATTAAAAATTTTAAAATATATTAATCATTTAGTATTAGCAATTTAGTGGTTATCATATTCTTATTCACCTTATTATTCTTAATCCAAAGAAAAATGACTTAAGGGACTTAGTTCTTCCAAAATATCGTTTTGAATTTGTACCTAAGGAGTAACAGCTTTAGGACCATAAAGTGGAGTTCGAGTAACTATAGATAGTTTCTTACTATCTTGACTTATTAATTTTTAATTAGGACTATTGTAATTTTATAGATATTAGTTAAAGGAATCTTTATTGGGGCTTTCTTCAATTTAGGAAGTATTGAATTAAGTTGTTTTTTATTATGATTGTTACTTGCCATTATTTTAAAAGAACGGATGTTACAGACATTGCTCAGAAGTATAACGTTACAAGAAATTATGAGCTGTCATTTTGAATCTAAATTAATAATCAATATCTTACAATAGATCCTTTGCATCATAGTCTAATTATTGATATTTTGGTTTTGAAAAGTCCACTTAAAATTCTTTGTTCATCCTTAAAATCTCTTAATGACCATTTCCTACAAACAATCCTTCTCCCAAAAGCAAAATATGAAATATGACACCTGCCGAAAAAATGTCACAAGCAGCTGTGTATGGCTAGGTTTTATCAATCAGATTTGCAACTTCAGGAGCCACAAATCCTGGAGTACCACATTTTGGATATAAGTAGGGAAAGGCATCTATTTCTACAGAGAGACCGAAATCAGCAATAGTCAAGGTATTCAGATTCCCTTTTTCTCTAAATAATATATTTTCTGGTTTTAAATCTCTATGCATAATTTGTTTCGAATGTATATAATGTAATCCTGATAAAATCTAATACATGATCTTTTATAATTATAAAATAATTACATTCTGAACTTCTTCTCTACTATAAAGACTTACTTTATTTTTCATTTCCTTATACAAACTTCCGCCTTAAGCTAAATCCATTATCAAGTATATATTGTTGTCTCCCTCATAAACTTCAATGAGATTTATGAGTGATCTGTGCGGACTTAATGTTCTCATGATTTTAATCTCATTTTAGACTGATTACTTAATATAGAACAATAGTGTTACTTCTCCTTATTCGATAGCCTATACTTTCTTTTTATCAATACACTTGGATGCAAATCTTTGATCTGAATGTAAATGTTGTAATTCAAGAACCTAATATAAGAATCAGCTTTTAAATACTAAGGCATAATTTCCCTATCCAATCACTTATTAAGCCATATATTCTTCTTAGACTTTTGCTTAAAAAAAGAGGTTAGAAACATTTTTTTTCAATTCGCGAAGTGTTTGATCCTCTCCGAAATATTCAAATTATATATCGCCACAGTCAAAAATCAATCCCTTTAATTTTAAAGGCTACTCATTTGTATATCTCCAAATCAATCTATTGGTATTGGTGTTAGAAAATATCCGATCTGCTCGTTTTCTATTGGAATCCTAAGAGTAGAATTAGTTCTAATTTCTACTTTATTTGCGATCACTCTGTCAGAAAAGACATAGAAGTAACGAGTGGATGAACCAAGGAACAATTTTTTGAATAGACGACATTGATATAATTCATCACAAGATTTAGGAAACATTATAATTAATGATTATATCTTAGATCGATGCAGCCAACAACTACAGCTCTTCCTATTTAATTAATAGCAATTCCTCATAAGTCTTCTTCGTGATTTCAAGCTGTTTATTCATCAACGAAGATTGATTTATGGGCACTTTCTTTTTCTTTTTCATTCTAAGTTATTCCTCAGTTTTTTCTAATTTTTGTAAGGCTCCCTCCAATTACTCTTTCATCTAAGGAAATTCCACTAGTTGTTTGTCTTACAAAGCGATTTTTTGTAAGGATTACTCAAACTAGCTTCGAATTACATTGTTATCCTATAATGAATGCAGATGAAATATACCTCTATTAAACTCAGAACTTTATCCTTAGCATCCTATAATTCTTATTCATATTTATGCTATTCAATAAAAAATTATTCTAATTTAATTTATAATTCCTTCATTTCTTTGTGTAATTAGTTTTGCTTCTCCTCATATAATGCTCGCTCTGCTAGCAAGTCAGAACATTAGGTTTTCCAGAAAGATAATTATGATGATAGAATCTCTTCATCAAAACTAGAATCCTATTTCTTGAGGAGAGTAAAGGATTCATAATTGTCATCAGTTTATGTATGAACATCGAGTTTGAGTTTCTGATCCCCTTCTATCAAATAATTAGATTTTGTGATTAATTAGGATAATTCTAATCCAAGATTCCTTTTTGGAGTGAAGATTCCACTAAAGTTTCTCCTTTCTTCTCCATCATTAAGAGAATGCAACATAACTGAGCTGTTTTCCAATTAGGATTATTCTGTTTTATTGTGGATGTTGTGTTCCAAATCTATTATTTCTTATTTCAATTTAAATATTTCCTATTCTCTCAATTTCAATTATCTACTCAAGGACTCATTCTCTGATCTGGCTTTGGAAATATCAAATTCCTATTAGCTTTAGATTTTTTAGTTTTATTTTTGTAACTACTTTTGAGAGTCTAATTTTTATTGTAACTAATTAACTTTGTTATTTAATTCAATATTCTCTTCTTTCAACTTTGAATTTTACTTCAAGTTTTCCTTGTTTTTAGTTTATTCTTGAAGAGACTCAGACAATTAAGTTTTAAGTTGTTCACAATATTTTTCTAATTTTTGCATCTAGGTGTATTTTCTATATCCGGCCTCCAATTTATTTCTCAAATCTCTAACTATTTCCTCATGCACATCTTTCTCTTATTATTGGTCGTTTTTTAAGGTTTCTATTATTTATTACATTCCTTTAATGTCATCAATTCTATTATGAATATACTCACAAACTTCACTAACTGAATTAGTTTGTGTAACTTCATAAATTTGATTTAAATCTTCATTCAAAGAATTTATTGTTTTTTATCGTGTTTCTATATCTGTTTGCACTATTTCCATATCTTCCTTCATCTTTTTTTTCTCCATCTCGTACTATTCTTTTGAAAGCATTAAATCTTGATTCAATTTCTAATTTTCATACTCCAATTCTTCGAATTTACGTAACACTTCATCTGAAATCTTTGATTCTTGATCCAATGTCAATGAAGATTGTTCTTCTTATATTAATTTTAATAGAACCATTTATGTTTCTTAATCTAGTTGCATCATTGGAGTGACCAATTCACTTGAATATGGCGAATGTATTATAGCTTATAATAGGCTTACCATCTATTATATTTTGAAATATTTAATACCATCTCCAAAATACACTATTCATTTCTATTTTTGACAACCTGAAGAAAATTTGGCTTTTATGGAAGTTTAAGCTTGCTTTCAAATGCATTCCATAATTCCTTAATTTCTTTCATCTACATTTCCCAATTATCATTTTATTCCAATTAAATTTCTATCTCAAAACTAAATAAAGATAATTGATAATACATGTGATATAACATTTATTATAAAGCAATCCCTGAACTTAAATCTGATAGCTGATTAAGTTTTGGTTGAATAAATTAAAAGGAGTTGATCTATTTAGAATGTTATTCTTACTAAATTTAAAATAGAGGAAATTTGCTTTAGTTGTTTACTATTCATATAAAATAATTATTGAATTTTATTCAAAATAAAACTATAAATTATTTATATTCATTTTCAATTAAGGAAAAGTTCAGGGTTTCTCATGTGGTAATAGGGTTTGGCAATTTTCATTGATCCATGTAGCATCACAAATAAATAAATTGGTCTGATTATATATCTTATATAAAAGAAGAGTTGATAGAAGAAACTTAACCAATTTTCTTTGATTACTTCTACAATCACAGAGTTTGATGTAGTATTAGTAATAAATATGGCTACTCTCTCAATCACAACTAAGATAAGCATTAATCCGCTAACCAAAAAAACATACAAAAAATCCCTTAATTTTAAATTTATCATACTTAACTAGAAGTTTAACCATACCCAATTTAAGCGGTTAAGTTTGCCACATCAAAGTGCAAAACAACACAAATATGATTCCTGTTATTATGATATGAAGGGCACTCATCCATAGTATCTGAGTTTCTCCCTATTTTATATCTTGCGAAATTTGATTCATTGTTGTTGGTTCAATAAAGGATGACCAAATCAAATCAAATATTAAAAATACATAAAATATTCCTAATTTAATATATAGGGCTCTTAATTCTGACTATAAACTCTATTAGATAATATTTTTTACTCTCTCATTTATTTTTGTGAATTCTAATATATTAATTATTAAAACTGATTCAAATAAAAAATTAATATTTTAAATCAAGGAATATTTATTACCATTACTTCTATTGGTTTTAACCTTTTTAGAAATTTAGTTTTTTAATAATATTGAAACATTAAATTCTTGGTAATATCGGAACTTTATTCTTAAACTACTTTGCGTTTATTTCAATACAGAATGAACCCTATAGATTCAAGGATAAAAAGAATTAATGTAATTTAAAATCATTTTTCGAATTAAAATTAAAAACTTATTTCTTTTCTATTTTTGAGATATTGAATTTTATATTAATCGTTAGTGTTATATTATTTGCATTAATGAAAAATAATAAAAATTCATACATAAACCAAGATGACGTAACTATTATGGATACCGCAAAGAATTAACATACGTATTCTAATGTTAAATTATTTTTAACAAATAAAATGATTAATGGAAATTTTGTAAAACCTTAAAGAAAAAGACCATAAAGTCAAGCAATAAATAGGGCTTATACATCGAATTCAAATGACAGAAAAACATAAACGGAACAAAAATCATTTGATCTGCATACTTGGGTGGATTTTGAGGATCAAATAAGAAAAATGGCCATAAAAAGTTTTCACTCATCAATTGAACCTAAACCGAAATTATTAAAAAAATCAATCCCCAATCAAAAATAATAATTGTAAGCTTAATTTAAGGAGTTGATTAAGGATGTACTTTAAATGAACTTAAGAAATGATCTTTATAATAAATTATCAAAATTTATTTGATACTTATTTTGTTGCAATTATATGTTTAAACATTTAAGAAAAGAAAAAGGAAATCATTTTTGAGAATGATTAATTAATTTTACTGTTTTTCTGTTCAATTATAATTCTTCTGTTACTTATAAATAATAATTGCATTTTTAATCATTAGATTGAAGGAAGTCAAAAGGATTTTAGAACAAATCATTCTTCAGATGTTATTTACACATAAGTGAGACTTTGATTTAAATATTTTGGAACTCGAATTGATATTTTATTTGTTATTATGCAATTTAAAAAATTATATAATGAGAAATTAAATGTTATTCGAATATTACGAGTTAGTTAAATAAACAAAAATTTGAATTAAATTGAAAACATAATGCAATCGAACAAAGGGCATAAGTTAGATGAATTACTCACATGCTTTATCTGTCTATCAAACCTAACAAATCCTCATATATGTCCATGTTGCTCAAAATTATGCTGTTATTCTTGTATTACAAAATGGTTGACAGAGAATAGGCAGGTTTATAAGTTGTTCTTAATTAGAATAGTGTCCACATTGTAGATCCACTTTGAGAATTTAATAATTAGTAAATTGTAGGTTTTTAGAGGATATCGTGGCATAAAATGATCCATGTCCCCTCCATAATGCTCAATTATAGTATTATTGTGTCACATGTGCACATCCTATTTGTTCTGAGTGTGCAATGTTTTCTGCACATAAAATGCATGAGTTTGAACATATTTAAAAGGTTTTTGACTCAAAAATCAAAGATGTAAAAACAAAAATGGAAAATGTATAAGAAAAGTTGAAAAATCTTAAAAATTCAGCAGTAATGATTGATGAATTAATGGATGAATTGAACCGTAGCAAAGACGAGAGGGTTTAAGAGATCTAAGCATATACCGAATAACTTCTGTAAAAGTTGGAATAAACACATACAGCCAGAATGGGCAATCTGTAGATGTAAAGATAGAGATTAAATGAAAAGATTCTAATCGCATCTGCAGAATTAGATACCATATCATAACAGATAAAAGGCTATTAGAAGAGCAAAACAATAATGACAGCACAAGAACTCTTATAAAGAATAGAATCGGTCAATGTTGAACCTGAGCAAATTGGCGGTGTGCCTATGAATTTCTAATCAGAAATAACACCTCAGTATGTCTGTGATACTTTTGAATTAAACTCTTTTAATCAGAGTGAAGAAATTGTATATTCTGATCACCTAATTACTAATGGAATAAGATGGAGACTCAAGATATATCCTCATGGAAATGGAAATGCAAAAAATATTTACATTTCGATATTTCTAGAAATGGATTCAAAATATGCAGAAATCAGAAGATATGAATATAAAATAGAGATGATTAACTAAAAAAATGGTTTATCTGTAATTAGAGAATTTGCGAGTGATTTTGAAGGAGGAGAATGTTGGGGATATAATAGATTCTTTAGAATCGACCTATTATAGAAAGATGGATATTTGGTGAATGACAAATTATTGTTTAAATATTATGTCAGAGCTCCTAATTATTACACTCAATGTTTGGATATGCAAAGATATATCAAGCAATTAGAATCGTAGGTAAGTATTTAATAGACTACCAGAAAAATAGAATAGCAATCATCAATTTAAAAATTAAAAGAAGAAATAGAATAATATGCAGAGAAAATTGAATAATTAGAATAATCATAACCAAGCAATACTTCAGAAATTTAAGAAAGCGAAGACGATCATTAATTATAGTAATAATAGGATGAAGAAAGCAGTTCATCCAGCAATCATTCAGATTATTATTTTGATGGATAATACTAAGAGATTCCAATCTAATAGGAAAGTTTACCAATAAGAAGAAATCTTATTCAGAAATTTAATTAATCCAGCTTAGTTAACACATCTTAAAATCTTAGAAGTCCATTGTCAGAATTTAGTGAAAATTTATATTCTTGAATTTATTCCTTTATAATATTATAATATTATAAAATTATTATTATTTTTAAAAACTTTTTATTTGAATGACAAGACTAGTCTAATTTCAAAATTTAAGTATACATGACAAATAACTATTTGTATCTATTGACTTCAAGCTCTGTTGAATGTATTTCAGAGTATATTGGATTTATTCCAGATTCAAATTAGTAATAAAATAATTATCGATTTAATTTTTGGAATGAAATCATAATACCTAATAAATTTACTAATTTTAAAGGTAGTTGTAATTTAATAGCAATAAATATGATAGATATAACTTAAATCAAATATAAATAAAAATATATTAGAAATTGCAATCATCTCAATATTATGATAATATACAATCAAACTAATTATCATATAGGAGATTTAACTTGATAAAATCATAGTTATCAGATAACTCTAATACATCCAAAATTAAATGAATTCTATTTAACTATGTAGGATTTAATGGAGTATTAAATCTTCAAACACAAAACAATAATTTCATTTTTTCAAAAAGAATATAAATTTGATAAGAATAAACTCAATTAACTAAAATGCTTTCTTAAATGAGGCTCCCAAATGTTTAAGGCTCAAGGCAAGTATTTTTGTCAAATAAATATTAATTTTGTTTAATAGATTTCTAATGAATTAGTCCCTAAGATTTTGATTATATCAATATATTCACAATTATCAGATCATAGAGATTGCTTGGATAAGTTAAAGAGAGTAATAATCAAATAATTAATGAGACTCTTAGGATTTTTGGGATAATCAAAATGTGTGAATTTTAATAAGAATAATTAGGTAAATCAATTATGGAAGCATGTCTACCATCAATTAGGTTGTTAAAATTGATCTTTGTTTAAAGACATAAGGATTCATACAGTCAGGAATCAACTGATATAGAATTGGAATAGTCTAATTGGATGTTTTGAATTTTATAATACAAATTAATTTTATCGTTTTAAAGCTTTCATATCTAATAAATTGCTCATATTTAATTTGTTGCTCAATAAATTCGATTTTGAAATATAATAAAAAAAGAGAAAATTACAAATGGAAATATTGAGGGATTCAATTAAATTACAGGAGGAGAACAAAATGATGAAAAAGCTTACATTGTTATAACAATAGGTTGGATATCCTTTAGACACTTTAATGAATGATGAGTTTATTCAAAAATTGCCAGAAGAGAGTTTTGTTTGGTAGTTGATCCATCATTATAAATATTTAGGACAATAATCTCTAAGAAGTATGAATTATTAACAGGATAAAGAGCCAATAAGGAAATTATTCTTTAGGAAGAATTATATAAAAATATCACATTTGGAATGTTTGTAGATGAATGCTTTTAAGCAATATTGCATTTCCATTTAGTTATTACTGATTATAAATTCAACTTACATATTATTCAAGATTCTATAAGAACTCTAAATTAGTAGATATAACTGTTAGAAGGTCATTCTTAATTGAAGTTTGATCAACCAAATAGACTATCAATCTGTTATACTCGACATAAAAGTCTAAAAACCGATATTTTCAATCATTATTAGATTAAATATAAAGCAAATCTTAATGGCTAGGAATAAAAATCAATCTATGCGAGAGGTGATGATTTGACATGTTCATTTCCAATTTTAGAAGAAAGTAAAACACTAACAATAGCTGTATGGGGTAAAAATAAGGAGAATGGAAAAGAATTCAAGGTTCTAAGTAGGATCGAATTAGATCTAACAGAAGTATTGATTTCGTTTCCTTTGTAAAGTTATTCTAAAGAAACAATACAGCCTTGTTTGTTGACCCTAGATTATTAGGATGAGTCACCAGATGCTCCTTTTAATGGAAAAAATCCAATTGAACTTTAGTATAACTTGATTATAACTTATAGATTTTCACTTTCAATGCCTTCAGAGTAAAGAATACAAACAATGAAGGTTCTTAAGTTCAGATAGGAAGATTTTGAAAATCAGATTAGATGTGAAATAGATAACAGGAACTCTTACATCCAATCAATCATTCAACCTTTTAATGATTTGCTTTATATTCCTGGAGAAGATCTAAAAAATAAAAATGAAACAGATCCATAGAGATTTTCATGTGCTGCTTGTAAAATCTTCTGATATTTAAATGTTTAATATAAATTATTTTAATTTTGCTCATTATGTATATTAAATCTGATGAATTCTGTTTCAATGTTAATTAAATTGTATACTTTAATTTCCTATAAGGAAAAATTGAGGAAAATTAGAGCTTAAAAGTGACCAACTGTCTAGAATATTAATCAATAAATTAAGAAAACAATAAAATAAAACACAATGGGTATTCCACTATCAACTATATTTGATTCATGGTTCTAAAAGAAGGAAATGAGAATATTAATGGTCGGCTTGGATGCAGCTGGCAAAACCACTATTTTGTATAAATTAAAGCTCGGAGAAGTAGTTAGTTCAGTTCCAACTATTGGATTTAATGTGGAGAAAGTTCAATATAAAAATATCAGCTTCACTGTTTGGGATATTGGAGGTCAAGATAAATTAAGATTATTATGGAGACATTACTTTAATGGAACTTAAGGAATAATTTTTGTCGTTGATTCATCAGATAAGGAACGAATTAATGTAGCCAAACAAGAATTGATGAGATTAATGAGTGAGGAAGAATTAAAAGATGCTGCAATCTTAATTTTAGCAAATAAATTTGATATCTCTCAAGTTACTGTTGATCAATTAATATCCTAATTTGACTTGTAAAACTGTAGAAGGGATTGGTATGTATAAACTACTTGTGCAATTACTGGAGATGGACTCTATCAAGGATTAGATTGGTTATCAAAACAATTCAAAAAAAGAAAAAACTGATTAACATTATACCTGTATTTAATTATTAATTTAATATACATTTAATACACATTATGTTTCCAAATGATTCAATTGATTAAAATCAAAATTGAATAGAGAAAAACATTTAAAAATATTCATATATTATCTTGATATTTTGTATATTTTTTTTGTATATAAATAGAGAATTCTTATTTTCAAAGTAATCTCTTCAAATTTTACATCAATTTTTAGTTGTTTTTGTCTTACCTATTAAATCAAAATTAATGATAATCTATTTATAAATATGAAATAATCTTAAAATATATTAGCCCACGATTAGTATAATCCATTTTATGAATGAGTCAATCTTGTAATGAAGAACTTGATATAAATGACTATTCTAAACGATATAATAAATTTCCCGTTTTCCTAAAATATGTTCGAAATGAATACTTGCTTATAACTTTAAAAAAATGATACTGTATTAATAACCTTTTTATCAATAAAAATAGAACCAAGATTACTAATAGAGTGTGATTTAAGTTAATATCAAAAAATACGACAAAAATAAAAACATAATTTAATTACATATGTGTTATATTTTATTATTAGAAAATATATATTAATGAAACAAATATAAGACAAGACTTATAAAGAATTTGCTGATATTAAACATCACATTGGTGCATTGCAGAGTCAATAACTTGCTGATGAAGAACTATCTCTTCTTTATGAGAGATTGAAATATCAATTCACAAATCTAAATTAGCAAGTTGCAGTTACTTAAGCTCTAAAGCCAAGTAGTGAGACATAGCCAATTCATAAGAGATAAAAAATAAAACGAGATAAACCATTGATCTAATAACAAGGAAAATCAATAGCACTTCCTAAGATTTTGAAACAACCATCTACAGAATAGAGACCGAAAAAGACCAAAGGGAAATTAAAATCTGCTCATATTTATTAGGCTAATGTCTTAAATAGAGAATTGAGATTAAACCCATTTTCAGATTTACCAACAATATTGGATGATGACCTAAATAAAGGAGTCAACAATTTGATTTAATCTGGTTTGATACCAAAGGATGTTGATTTAGGTCCAGCATTTAAGCGAGGAGAAGAATTGCTTTCTATATCATAAGTTTAAGTCTAGAATCCAACAGAGAAAAGCAAGTATTATAACACGGGATATTCAGAAAATCTATCGAAATACAAAGTAGCTCCATAAAAACAAACAGCAAAATAGATAGCTGATTACTCTTCGTCTTTTGTTGAGAGACAATCTGTGCCAAGAGAGAAAATACAGTAAGTGAAAGTAGTTAGAAAAGCTAAGTATATAATAGAAATTAAAAATGGACATTATGTGCCAGATTTTCATTATCAGATCAGAAATCTCATGATTTGGGGAGGAATCATGCATATTATAAAGAAATTAGAGAAGATTGCATCAGGATAGTTGGATGGTGATAGGATAGCACAATTGGCTTAATCTTAATTCAAGGTTCATTTGATTGAGTTGTATGAATGCTACATCTCAAAACCCATAATGGAGAGATTATACATAATAAACAAGAAGCAATTTTCGGTTGAAAGTGCCATATTGAAAATATAGGCAACTGTCAGAATGTTTGTGGCATCAAGAAAGTACAGACATTAAAAAAGGATTGTCTAAAAGGTTATTAGAATTTAAAAGGAATTCAGATTAAAACAGACATATGTTTATACAATCAACTAAATCAAAAAGAATATGGGACAATTGATAAGCACACTAGAGAATAGATAAAAGTAATTTTTATTAGAAGATTTGAATCAAAAGAGAATCGAAATTCACATTCCTTCATACTCCATTAAATAATTTTAAAGATTATCAATGAGTCATTTCAAAAGTCGCGAAGGCTTACAATTAACAAGATTGTTTGCTTTAAAAGATCCTAATGTGAGTATAATTTACGTGTGTGCACCTTTACAAGAAGAAATAATGGCATATTTCTATAAACTATTAGAAGTGGCAGGTATAAATCCTGAAGGTAGACTATTCTTTATTCATCCTGAAAATATTAATAGATTCCCATCACATTACTCATTGGCATTATTACTATATCTATCTCCAAAGGCCATACATTAAATTTCTGAATTGATTAAAGGGTAATTTTCATATATTGTACCTATGAGAGTAGGAAAAGAGGAATTTTTGATTGCAGAATATCTAAAAACAAATATATATTCAGGTCCTTATGAATTAATAGAGAAATACTCTAAGAAGTCTGAAGCGGTTGAACTGTTTAGATAGTTGTCATTTCCTGTGGCTCCAGAATATCATAAATTTGTCAGTAAAGATGATTTTGTAGATAAATTGACTGTGCTGATTATGAAAAATCTGACAGTATAAAAATGGATGTTTAAAATAGACATCGAATTTAATGGAAGAGGAACTGCGTGGTTTAGTTTAGAAGGAGTAAAACAATTTATAGAAATCAAAAAGTTTCCTCATAGTATTGAATTTAAAGTTCTTAGGGAATTAGTCTAAACTGTAAATTAATTATAAATATTTTAGTTATTGCCAATAAAAACTGTACTGGCATTTCCTTAGATGTTCACCTTTGAAGAATACTTAGAGAATTTTATTAGAAATGGTGGAATAGTCGAAGCTTATCCAAATGCTTATAAAGTGCAGACAATAAATATCTAAGTGAATCTCGAGAATTAGGGAACTTATTAGATATTGAACACGTCTACAAGCATAGTAATAAAAGAGTAACTATAATACATGAGTATTCATTAGAATGTCTAAAGTGGGTTGCATATATCCTTAGAATGTGCTCAATTTAAATGTGGATTCTCTGATATAGCCATTAGCAGATGAATTATATAAACAGAATGTCTTTGGTTATTTTACACTTTCTTTGCTATCATTTAATGGAGCCTTCTATACTAAATCTTTGAAGTTCGGAATGGATGAATATATTGGGGCTACAGTATTGTCTACAGCTATGGACACTGATCAGTTCACATATATACCGTTTGTCTATCACCCAGGAATAGCAGAATAGAAATTTAATGATTTATTTATAAAGTGTAGGAAGGAAGGAATATCCTTTGATATTGAGAAGAAGGTGGGAACATTGATATGGTTATCTGATTAGATTGAAAAAGGAGTGTTGTCATTATTATGTTTGGGTGCACCTAAGAAGGCTGTAAAGTTGACTACTGATGCATTGAATTTCTTGTAATAATTTGGTGGGAATATAATGAAAACTAATAGTCACTAGAAACAGGACACCTTTTACTTTATAGATATAGTTAGTAGATTAAGATAATTAAATAGTGAAGCTTAATAATGATATTTATATTGTCATGATTATAATTCTAATGATACTCCTTGTAAAGTTTTCTCTAATTAAACAACACGATTTGTTAATTAAATTTATTCGTTTTCCATATTCATTTTGGCTTTCATTAGTATTAAATACTCTTTGGACAATCTGTATTACTCTTCCGTAAAGAGAACATTGTCCTCCTTTATTTGACGATACTTCTTTTTGAGGTTATCTCTGAAATGCGTCTCTATATTCTTCAGTTCCTATTAATATCTTGAATGAATTGAAGAAATTTCCAGTCTAATTTAGTTGGCTTGGTCTCTCAATTATGCGATATTCTTTCGACTTTCGGCAATATAACTCTAGATTAAATTGGTATTACATTGACATATTTGGTAGGGTGATCATAGACCTCTAAGAAATGAGTTTGAGAATTGCCATTCTAAAATTCGTCTACTTTGAAACCATATCTAAAGTTATTCACAATGGGTGTTTGAGTGTGGATGGTCGTGAGTCTGAAATCACTTAAACCTGTAGATCTAAATCTATTCAATACATGTAAAGTTGTTTTGACAACTCTTTACGTTTAGAAGGGTGTGCCTATTTAGATATTGTTGATACTAGAATCTTAAGATTTAAAATATAACAGTTGTCTTATATTGATTTCAGAACTCATAAATTTAATATTTAATTTAACTAATTATTCGATAAATTTATTTAGTAATATTTAAATCAATGTTCAGCTATGAATTTATCATTCATCCAAATGCCTTCAACACTATGACTTTAATAATAATAAATCCCGGATCCACAAACTGCGTCATCAATGAATGTTCCTCTAAAATAATTTTAATTTCTAAATCTTAATTCTCCCTTCCCTTATTTCATCCCTTTAGCAACCTCTCCCTTAAAGTATTCCCAATTCGATAAATCCACATGTGTGGTATCATCTTAAGCATCTTCTCTCCACATTTCTATATCATCCCCTTCAGGAAGATCATTCAAGAAAGTTCCCTAAATCAATTGATTCCCATCCTTAGAAAAAAAGATTCCTCTGCCTTCTCGCTTTTTTGTTTTCGCATTATATGAACCCACATAATAGCAACCATTTGTGTATGGCAAATGACCCTGCAATATCTCTACTCTTGGAGCTTTGGGTAATTCTAAAACCTTATTCTCAGGAGTCCTGATATCTATAATGGATTCTGTAGCATCAGGAGATTAGGCTGTTTTTAGAATCTATTTATTGTATACTACCATCACTGTCTTTAGTTCAGGCAATTTATAAGCCTTGGTGTAATTACTTACAGCTATTGATAATTGAATTGGATCTGGTCTACCATATTCATCTGCTTCCAACATAGATCGAAGTAATCTATCAAAGTATAGAGGTAATTTGAATCTAGTAATTATGTCATCCAATAGTTCAAAATCAAATCCTTCTTATTTGAACAGAATTTCAGTTTTCTTGAATCCCAAAGAATATACACAAACCAACCCTAACGAAAAAGTATCCGATTTGAAAAGATCATGCTCTGGATGAGTCTTATAATACATTATTGGACTGTAAAAGTTCTTCATTATCTGATTGTGAAATAGAAAAGGATCTGCTAATTTATATACATACTATTATTCAATTGTGTAAACTCTGAAGATTCCCTTAGGATTTATATTATTGTAGTGTTGCTTCTACTATTATAATTTAGCTAAGGCAGCCGATACGTATCCTAACATAGACCAAACCTCAGGAATTGTTAATTTAGTTGAAACGAAATCTTCTAATCTAATTGGAAAGTCGAAGAACATATTAATAGATATGAAGTCGCTATCATATTTATGAATCACTATGTTGAATGGATCCTATTCACGTTTAACTAAATATTCTAGCTAATCTCTAATTCTGAAATAACTATCATAGAGTTTGGCCCTAACTAATTTAAATTGTGGATCTCCTGTATGTTCATACACTTCCATTTCACTAAATTTCAATGCTTCGTTCCTATATGGATATGGAGGTCTGAAATCTTCTGTAAATGCAGCAATATCAGCACTTGTGCATGCTTATCCCATTTTGTTAAATATATTATTTATTGTATAATTTATTTAAGAGACTTCTATTCAATTTGTGATTGAAGATAGAAATTTCAATAAAAATGATCATCTTATTTTATGTATATATATAATAACTCAATAATAAATTTATTATGCATCTTATATAAAAGGAAACAAGTTATTATTCTTGGTTCTATGAATACACATAAATTTGAAATTCGATCCCATCTAGTTTGAATGCACCAATCTCTCGTATTCAGACTGCAATCTCTTTTCTGTTGCTTTGTTAGCATTCTTACAAAGTATCTAATTAATATTAGTATATAATAAACTTATAATCTTGCCTAAATTCCCATTTATTCTAACCAGTTACCCTGAGTCATAATTTCTGGAACCTTAATACCATCTACTTTAAGTGCTGCTTATTCCAATGCCATAAAATTAACATAAGCACTCAAATCGCAATCTCCAGGTTTATTTAAGATATCCTTTTTATCCATTAATTTATGTCTTTGAATTGCTCTAACACTATCTGAAAATGCTCGCTTCTCACCATAATCAATAATAAGTGCTGCTCCACCGACTTTGGAAATTAATTCAGCTAGGGAATTAGCTATTACTCCACTTTAAGGAGAAATCTCAATTGTGTCTCCTTCTTTTATTAATTTTTTAATTTCTGAAGAGAAATACTTATCTGGATTTAGAATTTTTTAGACATTTTAATTAGGACCATCTGAGAGTACAAATTTAAGAGTTTTACCATCGTTATCTAATCCTACCAATCTCTCACACCATTGACCATTAGAATACTCAAATACGTTGACTGGTAATGCATCAAAGAATTCATGTGCTAATATTAGTACTGGGTCGCAATGTTAACCCTCTCTTGTTTCTTCATATAAGAAGTGTTCATACATTTTGAACCACTTTAAATTTACTTCATCACTTTCAAATTTCTCTACTTTTTAGTTGTTATATTCAAACTTAGGATAGATGTTGCTTTTTTATAATTATTTTAGTACAGCTTCCTATTACTTCTTACGCATATAATCACTATATTCCACATACGAATATTGAAGATTTTCCAGTAAATTGAATTAAGCAAATACTCTCAATACGTTTGAGCTCAAAGTACCTAAACCTGGTCCAAATTCTAGAATATGCATTTTTTAATTTGTAGGTCTAAAGTTATTATCCAAAACTCCAATATGTTGGAATGTATTCAATAACCAAATTCCAATTAACTGTTGATTTATAAGATATTTGATCATACTTCATTAAACATCTATGATATTTCAACAGATGTCACAAAATCTCCATCTTTATTAAATACATCTTATTTCATGTAATACCCAAACTTTTCATGTAAAAGTGCTTGATGCCAAAATCGAGGGAATGAAATGGCACCTTTTTCAGCTATCTCACTTCTTACGATATTTATTAAACTAGCCTGTTTGATATCAATTTCTTTTCCCACAAACGAACAGAATTATTTAATTAATTTCATAAAATATAAAAAAAAATAATCTTCGATTTTAATTTAGAATCAAATATACTAAATATATCATAATTTCTTGATATGGGAGAAGTTCTTAGGATTTTTGATACCTTTGTATATCTACTGACGATATTGAAGATGCCAATTGTGCTAGACTATCTTTGAATTAAATATATAATTAATTGCGTACTTCTTAACGAATATACGACTATAAAGTTAATAGAATAATGATACCTCAAAATTCTGAAAGTTTGATTGAATTCCTCCTCAGTAGGGTCCTCTGATTAAGATAGCAATCCACTGAAAATGCGAATATTCATCAACTTCTTCTTGTAGACTGTTATTCTTTCTAAAAACTTGACTACTTTCAACTAGTCTCCCAATATTTGATGACAAAGTGCTTGGTGCTTTGTAGCGAAGGTAATAATAGCCTTACAATAATTCTTGGGGATGTTTTTGGTATCCTTTTATTCTTGACTTGAAAATCCTTTTCGTTTTTAGATACTCAGTCTAATCGTTGGACATTATTAAGTGATTAATTTTGGTTCACTCTACTAGATATGATGTTATTATTGGATAGCCTCCAAAACAGGGACATTCTAAAAATCCATTTTATGTCCACCCAAATGTACCTAACTATTTACTAGAGGTCATACCAAGAATTCATTGAATGAATACTATAGGACAAATGGATAGGATGGGAGACACTTATTCTGTGGGTGAAGTTGAGCCAATTGGAGGCTATGCAAGGCTTTTAAGAATTTACTCACCACTTTTAAATAAGCAGATTGAAAGGATTGAATCTCTAACAAAACCTTCCTCCTACTTGGTTTAGAAACTGTCGATTTAGAGATACCCATTGGAGTTTGGACATTTTGTTCCTCCTCCTTTACTTTACATTTGCTCATCGAACAAATCTTTTTATATTATACTAACACAATTTATTAATCATTAATTATCAATAGAAAATTATAATAGAAACGATATTTTATAAGATTGAAAATATTATTTTTTTTAAATATAAGATTGAATACATCATCATTTAGACTCTCCCATCAAATCATTCGAGTTTACGGTTGATTCAAAGCAGCTCTCATTTTTTCACTTTAAAAGCAATTAAATCTCAGGGAAAGAATTAAAGTAACTTATAATTTGCACTTAAATTTCAATTAATAAATATATTTATGGAACAATACTCTCAAGAAAACCCCTTGTTCGATCTCCTCTACATATTGAGAGGAGCAACTCCTACCCATCCATTCTTATTTCATCATATCTTTCAATACTTTGACAAGGATCAAAAATTAGCAATAAAACTCTGTCGAAAATTGATGGATTGCCAAGATTGTAATTCAAAAAATCAAAATGGACACACACCACTCTAAATTGCTGTGATTTACAATTAGAAGGCTGCCATACGCTATGCTCAATAAGATGGTAGGTTCGATTTTAATGATCAAACATTGATGTCATTAGCAATCATTCATGCCTACTTTGAAATTGTTGAAATCCTCTTATTCGTAAGAATATTCCCCTTAATATTAGGATGAAGGCCTATCAGTAATGCAAGCCAATTTGAGGATGATGAATTCTCAATCAGCAATCAATTTAAAAATTCTAAAAAGGTTTGAAAAACTTGAAATCTAGTAAGCCTTAAATGAGGACACATTTGAATATTAAGAAATCATAGTCAATCGAATCCCTCAATTTCCGATTCCCAAGACCCCTAGTAAAATTATCATTGAGACTATCGATGAAAGTCTTATACCAACTGCTGAGTGCATTGAGGAAATTAACTAAGAAAGTGTGTTAAGAAAGCTGAATAGAAATGGAAACTTTTTGAAATAAAGTTCATGCCAAGATAATTAAATTTACAAATAAAAACAAAAATAAAAAACTATTGAATTATAAGAACATCGAGTTTCTTACAATAATTTATTTAGATGCGAAAATTTTGTTTAATAATTATTATGCAAAATATTCTAATTTAAATATGTAATCATTTATTCATAATTAAGAGCCATAATTAGATTTAGTGATGTTATTGTTTCTATAAAAAGGCTATCTTGATTGTTATTATAAGAATTTAGATAGTCTAATCGAGTAGATGTTGATACCAATTCCTACTGAATAATCTAATTCCGATTTTGATTAAACAAAGAAAATAGATAATTATTGCAGAGAGTTTATAAAAGAAATTACATAAAACCTAAATGGTTCGAAGTAGGTAAATTGTTGTAATATTAAAAGTAACTATAAAGGTAGCGTTAGCATTTTAATAATCTCAAAGTACAGAACTAATCCAAATTAAAATCTGATGTTTCCTATCAAAGTAATAATTAGAAAGTGTTAATAAATTGCTAAGATTTACTCCTTATTTATAAGGGTTTGTTTTAAATATTACACAAACCTTACATGAATATAGAGAGTTGTTTTTTTATCTTGGAATAGTTTGAGTTGATTAATAAATTAGATATGATTCCTCAATGCTAATTAATGACTGCTGATGAGACCATATCTACAAATGTTTAATGATTGTTTATATATATAATATTACAAATACTCTAAAGAGTTTGTGGAAATAATAGTGATTTGAGTATGATTGATTTGAATGTTTCAATAATATTAATAATAATGAGCGACGATGTGATAGTTAAGAAAATAAAATTAAATTTAGGTATTGGATTGAATCTTAGTTGATAGGGAGTTATGTGATGCCACAGGATGAGTTTAAAATGGATTCTAAATCATTAATGCAAACAGAAGCTCAAAGAATTTTCAATCAATATTCTAATGTGGTTAAGGAAGAGAAGAAATTGCAAGCCTTCAATCAAATAACGTAACAAACAAGCGGGTTTATTAAACGTTTGGAAGAGCATCGTTAGATTTTGAAGACTTAGATAGAATTGCAGTTAAAAATTTGTTAAGGGAATATATTATTATAACGAGCTTTGAGTGGTGTTGACATAAAGAAATGAATTATTTTGTATTTTACAATTTATATACTCATGGTATTAATAGTTTTGGTAATTCATCAAATCTGAGGTAGAGATTCAAAATGAGGGGTAAACCTTATATAATTCCAAACCAAAAGAAGAGATTTCCAAATTTGGTTCCTTTGATCTTTTTGGTCCACACCATCACTGGTAATTGAATCATCATAAACATGATCATGATTGGAGTGATTTGTTTCAAACTGACTGCCAATGTGTATTCATGTAAAAGAGCAGAAAACAAGAATGTTGCCAATTGAGCCTTTTTGACTCCAATTCCAAATTCAAAAATCAATTCTAAATAGACGTGTCTATAAAGGAATTCATAGACAGGTCTATTCCAATTTCGATTAAATTCTTCGAAATCTGTTGAATTCCACCAGTCAGTATAAAATAGACGATCTCCAAAGTGAGTGATTTCAGCCCAGAAATTGCAATAATTTTCAAATACCATATTGAAAATGGTGAGACACAAAAATATTAAAGGCAAAGTCATCTAAAAAATGGAATCTGGTAGTGAATGATCCTTGATATTCTAGATGATTGGATAGATATGATTAGAAACAATCATGTATCCCATAATGAGCATGGCCATCGAGTTCATAAATTTGACAACAACATACTTCCATCTGATTTTGCCAGATTGTGGATACTGTGGTTCATACACTAATACAGGAGTCATGATGAATTGAGTGAAATTCTTGAAATTGATGTTGTTTGGATAAGCGTAAGGATCTTGAGTTTTGGGACAACCTTAATCAATCCATTCTCTTCTCATTTTGTAATTGGTCATGGTGTAAGAATGCATCTTAAAGAAGAAGACACAAGATTGAAATGTTACAAATGCTCCTTGAGGCAAATACCAATCTCTGGTCAACACCAAATAATGAGCGTAAACAAACATACACACTTGACTAATGTGTTGAGTAACAAACATCAGAGTTTTTGGCATGTTCATCATTGCTAAGTATTGTATTAGTAATGCGATGTGACTCCAAGCGTAAAACTTTTAGATGATTATAATTTCATACCAATGGCCAAGTTACTATGCACATGAAGAGATCTCTTCTCATTTGATTATACAAGGAAGTCTCAATAAGTTGTCCTGTCTTATTATATGACATGATTGGATTGATGATAAAATAATAAAACCCTACCACATAAAGCATGTTATAAAACCCAACAAACTTTGTGCGATTCAATTCTGAGTCCTTATCCATGTCATCCAAAAGGGACACTCGATTAATAAAAGCATGTTTTCTTAGATGCTTAATCTTAGCCTATTTATCACTGTTCTGTCCATCAGGAGTGGAAGTCCCTGAATTGATCTTCTCCACTTCCTCCGAATCTACTTTCAATTTTTGTCTCTTCATCGACATCGATATCAGACAATATATATTATATATATATATTAATATGTCAAATCAATACGTAATAGCTGGCGATAATTGGAACTCCATGTAAAAGACTGAACCAAAAATAAATTAGTCCAATCCTTGTATTCTTAAGGAATCTCAAAACCATCATTACTGGCACTTGTAACAGCATTATGAATGTCATAAAAGGTGTAAACTATCGTAAAACTGCTATCAAAATTATCTCATGAAGCAAGGCGGAAAATGCAAAAGTCAGTATCTTTGACCATACACGAGATACTTTCCATTCTTGCAATTACAAATATACATGAGTATGCAAAAAAGCATATACTACTGTATTCCATTTTGCATTGAATTCCTCAAAGGTTGTTGCATTCCACCTTAAACTTATAATATATAATACCAATCATGGTAGAATTCTCTATCACCAAAATAAGTTATTTCAGCCAATAAATTTAAAATGTTCTCAAATGTCAGGAAGAAAAGCAAGATCCAAAATATAGCCAAAGGGAATATTAACAATATTGTTTACAGCACATAATCTTAAGTTCCAATTATTGATGGTTCTATGTGCTTAGCTATTATTACTGCACCGAGGATATTAAAATAAACTATATTAAATAACTTCGCTAAACAATAAACTAATCTTATCTTCTTTGTTTTCGGGTAATCGTGATAGAATACCAAAGCAGGAGTAATCATATAAACAAAGAATTCCCACAATCCAATTGGCTTTTTACAATGTTTGATGTATGAAACTTCCTTCATAAATCCAATATTTGCCATTATACCTACGAAGGCTCCAGGTATAAAGCCCAATTTATAATTAATAGTAACCCACGGAAATATCATAAAGGGAAGTGATATAAATAATGCTACCAACAGTTTCTAACCAAATTTATGGGCAAAGTAAACTGTGTATGGATATGTGAATGACTTATTTAAATTATTATTATGTACATAAACAGCCCAGATTAACATTAAAATGCCCTCCTTACGTATTGCAGATACCGTTGATGAATTTGCTAATATAGTACCCAACTAATTAAAATAGATGAGATCAAATAGGTAATAGATTCCCAACATATATACATAATAGTAGAATCCATGCAACTTCGATTTAGATAACACTGAGTTATCATCCATGTCATCCAACTAAGACACACGATGTATATAGGTGTAAGGTTTCATAATGATATTAAATAAATTTCATAAATTCTTTTTCAATCCCAATCTAAGCATGTTTCAGAAAAGTTGTTTCAATATATTCACTTTTATTGAGTGCTTCCTATCACACTCCTCAAAAATATCACAAAAGTGAGTATGTGAGTTTTCAATTATATTTTAAAAAACGGCAAGTGCAATTAAGAAATCATTTAATTTGGCCAGGCTTATAATAAAATAAGCAAATTCAATTTATATTGTCTCCAAACTATTAGGTTAACCAAAATAGGGTCTTTTTAGAAAAGTTGTTTAGGGAATTTATACAAATCTATTAAAAAGAGATAATAGCTCTTTTTTTGTAACATTTATAGAAAATACAAATTATATTTATTAAATAGTCAATCTCCAGTTGTTTAGTAGAATATTAATTAATCTTGCTTTCTTAATTGAAGTTTGCATTCTCTATCACTTACGAGACCTACTTTCTTCAATTCCGTTACTACTTCCTATCCTTGTTGTACGACTTCAATAGGAATTCCTAGAAGGTCATTTTTGAACGATCCTAAGATGCTCATTGTGCTATAGCATACCTATTTCACATGCCTCATAAACAAATTAATATGCAACAGTATCAACTCCAGCACATCTACAATTGATCAAACGCATATGTGGATGAATTTAATAATCACGCAATTATGGTCTCTATTTTGCATAATCAATACCAACCCAATCAAAGAATTAACCTTAAATTGGACAAATGCGCTCTTTCGATTATTCAATCTAAGGCTCTTCAAATTCGATTGTGTCTGGATCTATGAATCCCAATTTGTTATAAAAGTTTATGGCTATCTTCACACAATCCCCACTCAAAATTGGCTAGACATTCATTACTTGAGTGACACTTTCAAAATTATGTTTAGTCTATTCTCTCGCAATCCAGATGACCCTCTTTGAATTCGAAGGTAAGACATCAAATTTATACTCACTTCTGTATTTATGATTATATTTGAAAGCAATTGTAATGCATTTTCCATGAAATCCTCCCATTACTTCCGATATAATGGTTCTATCCCATCTAAATAATTTCTTTTTCTTGGTACTATCCACAAAAAAACTTTACTATAAGAAATCACTGTTTTTAAATGAAAGTATGTGCAAATGAGCTTTTATAAATCTGTTATCCAAATCCTCAAGCCATTCCTTCAACGTCTAATGAAATCCTACATACCATTGTCCTGAAACCAGAATTAAATTTGTAAAATCCGCAATCAAAAAAGCTAGAATAGTCCTTCTTACTCTATCCTAACCTTGTTTAATAAAAAGAAATTGAGTTAATTTATCAAAGGCTTCATTCTGCTGAAGGACCCTAGCCACCATCTTTGGAATCGTGGCCTTTTTACTTTCTTTTCGTTGCATTTTATATTAATTTATAAATCATTTCAAACCAATTTGATTATTCACAGCACATTTTACATTAATTTTATTCATGCTCCTCCCCCACATCTCATTTAAAACCATTCATAGAGTCTCTGAGACCGATTCTTGAGTTATTAAATTTTTAAACTTACAGTGTTTATACAACAATATTCAGTGAAATCCTGCTTGCAATTTTATATATATCAAATACACTAAGAATATTATAAATATTAATTAAACATAAATACTCATATAATTAATTTATTAATATGTAAAAAACGATTTTAGCTTTGCTGATTGTTATGTGTACAGCACTCCAAGTGCAAGAGCTACAATAAGCCAATAAATAATTCGATAAACTATCTTAAGACTCTCCTGTGGGAAAATTCTTAATGGATTTGGCTTAAATTCATGCTGAAGTGCAAGGCCCTTTGGATGATTTAAAAGAGACTATTGAAAAATTTTATGAGAATTTGCAAGACAGCCTCTCTCAATTAGATGGTGAATTTCAATCCAAATAAGCAATCCATTTGAAGTAGTTTAAATAAATCAAATAGGGTTCTTTAAAATTATGAATCTAATTAATAAGATGCTTAAATCGACATTGCTTAATCACAAGATCAATTAGACAATGTATTGTCAAGAAACAAGGAAAATATTGAGAAGAGATTGAAATAGATCCAATAAAACATCAATGACAATAGATCAAATATTCAAAGAGACAAATTATAAAGAAATCAGTAAAAAGATTAAAATGTTGAACACATCCACGAACATCAATAGGCAACTACATCAATTGACGAGGCATTGTCTCTTGTGTAAGGTTTGAGTAGTGGAAACATTGCTTTTGTCGAAGCACCTATGAAAAAGACTTTAGATTATATTAAATAGAAAGTAAACTCAAAAGAGGAATATGCTCCACTAGTAGATGCTTTGATTAGTTTGTCTGGAACTTAAGATACAAAATAAATCAAAGATTTGTTGAATAAATTGAGAAATTAGATTGTCGATTCAATGATTCAATTGACAGGAGATGAAAATGATGCTTAGAAAATGTTTGAGGATCGTTAAAAGTAATTGGATTCGGAGTTCTCAGTAATTTCATTTAAAATATAATAGGAATTCTAAAATCAAGTGAATTAAGCAACCTATGATTTGGCATCTATTTCAGCCAGAATAGATTAAGAGAAGGAATTCACAAAGTAAAGAAAGAGTGATTTAGATATGTACAATAGCTAAATAGGTAATTTTAATTTAAAATTTAAGAAATGGAGAATAATAATTTTGCTGCAATTACTGGATTATACAATGAAATTAGGGCTGTTAGATTAAAGGAATAAAAGATTGCTGAAGATGCTAAAAAGTATTAATTGTATTTTAATATTAGCTTCGCTTATTCATCTTAATTTAGGGAATTGTTACAATCAAAATTGAACAAATGACATTTATATATATAATAAATCATATTAATGTTGGTTTTTGCTCAGAATTCGATTGCTAGGGGGATTGAATTAAATGAATCGATTTTGATGGGGTTCTAGTTAGGATTTGTTTCTTTGAAGATGTTGGAGTTTGTGGAGTTTCACAAATAACTTCATCATATAATTTAGAGAGTTCTTCGAATTAAGATTTTAGATTCTATTGTTTGAGACGAATCTTTTCAACCAAATTAGGTGAATGAACTATCTAAGAGTTATTATTTGACAGGCTAATTTATTTATGCAAAGTCTTAATTGATTCTGTTTGATCATCAACAATCTATTATAAATTGTAAGTTCTAATTTCATATTATTCTTTTAAATCTTTTAATTGCTTCTCCTTCTAATTAATCATCTTCTGCTATTCTTATGTATATGCTTCGAATTATGTTAATCTGGTTATAATTTTATCCTTTTCATCCAATTAACAACTCAATTAATCAATTTCTCCTTTTTGATGGACTTGCAATCTCTAAATAGTTCCCTAGAGTTCCTCAATTTCTTTTTATTATTTAGCATTTTACTGCTTAAGTATTTCAATTTCCTAATCTTTTTTTTAGCTTTCTTTGTTATCAGAAACAAAATGAGATTGCTGCAATTAAGAAAATAACGAGTGTTAACTCTCATTAACTTCTTCGATTTTAACAAGATTTGACTTTTCGAATTAACTCATAGAATAAGTAAGTTGACTATTCTGTACAGCTGATGTATTGTAGGAGACAGTCTCTTCATCAGGTATTACACTGTTGATCTTCTTCTATAATTGAGAATAAGTCATGAAGTCTCCTTTTTTTATTGGAGAAGTATCAGTTATTTTTGTTGGATGCTACTCATCTATTTCCTCTTCAGAATTAACTTCGCTCATTAATAAATTTTATTTTCTTATTTCATTTAGTTTAATTTCTTAAAACTGAATACTATTAATAAACTATCATCAAAAAATACTTAAGCATTCTGAATATAGATATCTGTGTATATGTAGATTTACAAGCTCTTAATTATTTGCTGTTAATATAAATTATAAAATTGATTAATGTCGCAATTTGCCTAAAGTCAAAGTAAATAAAGATCAGTAACCAATGTAAATAATGTTTCGTTTGCTGGATCTTAAAATAATAATGTAAGTAGGATTTGAAATAGGAGTAGCTTAGGTACAGCGAGTCTTCATTCTCTCCAATGAAAAATCAAGAGTAAACTAAACCGTAAACACAAAGAGTCTATAAAACATAGACAATGAATTCCATGCCTATGTAAGGAATCCCCACAATGACAGGGATCCCAAATACATTTGCTGTATAATAAAATTGTGTTGCAGCTCAACCATTGTGCATGAACATTATTGTGGTTTCAAAAGAAGAAATTGAGATGCCTTGGAGACTTGAATGCGAGTATTTACAATCCCTAATTACTGAGCTTCAAAATAAATAATAAGGCAAATCTGTATAAATTGTGGAGAAGACAATAACGGACAATTCCAGAGTGGAATTGTTAGAATCATAACTCAAAGAATTAAGAAGATAAAATGAATCTTTATAGTATGAATTGCATTCATCAAAAACATATTATGAGAAAGAATTACAAAGAATAAATGGCACATTTGAACTTAGGAGTGCTTAAGTTGAGGATATTGCATAAAAAGAAAGCGAATTCTATCTCATCAGAATCAAATTGGAAGATCAAATATCCTAATTGGAAAGCAAAATCAAATAATCAGAATCGTAATTGAGAAGATCATCAGATGAAAATGTTAGATTACAATAAGTAATTAAGTAATTAAAATTATTAATCTAGTTCTCGAGAATCTGAAATCAATTCTCTTAGAATCTAAATCACCTCAATTCAATCTAACACTAATACTAGTGAACTAGTTAGAATAAGGGAACTAGAAACTTAAATTAGATACTTAAATTCCGAAATTGATAATATAAATTCAAAGCTCATTAATTCCAATAATGAAAATTAACAATTAAGAATCTAAATCTAAAATCTAGATTACACAACAGATTCGAAAAACAACGAATTGATACTTAAATTAAGGGAATATGAGAGCAGAGTCACAATGCTTACTTCAGAAATAGAGAGGCTTATCTATTCAATTAAATAAAAGGAAATAGAATTAGATGAATGGAAAACTAGATATTAATAATTAGAAATGTCTGGATCTTCTGTTTTCTAAGAAAAAGTAGAATATCTATCCTAAGAAGTAGAAGTTTGGAAATCTAAATTCATCAGAGCAAATCACGAATATAACAGGTGTTAAGAGGAAATCACTATGTTGTAGGCAGAATTAGAATCATTGAGAAAACAAAGAAAAGTATTATCAATTTAATCTTTAGTAAGAATTAACAATAACCTCAAGAGTAGTTACCAAATAAGCAGCAACTTCAAATAGTGGTTATAAACAATACTAATAGTGAATATATTAATGATATTCAATATTAAAAATCAGATTATTATTCATCTTATACTTAAACATCTGAAACATCTGGGTGTGGTGACTAATAGGGTCTATCATTTATTCTTTCAAAGCATTTAGAAATCTTTGGGTTTGATAATGGTGAAGGATTCATTTAGTCTAATTCATCATAAACACTTCGTATAAAACTATTAAATACAATTTTTATTTACTTCTTCAATCCATCTGAAGCACTCTAACCAGATTCTGCTACTAAATTTTCAATAAATTCAACAATGTTATTCAATACTTGATCATTCTCAGCCTTTAATGCTAATCTAATACAATTAGCAAATATTTTATCATGATTCTCAATCTGAACTTCGGCTTTAAATTATAAATCAAGCAATTGTTTTGCTAAATCATTAGCATACAATAAAACAGTTGGGTCACTCAAACCCAAATAAACATATTCCTTAGTTACTTTAGCAATCTATTCACATGATTCCATATTTTATATCTTAAAATCTGTATTTTGGAAGCACCAATGAAGTAATTCAAAATGACCTAATGGCAAATTTAATAGTTTCTATGTGTTGAGCTATAAAATAGTGATAAATTTATTACTAATTCAACCAAATGCAATAATATTTAAAATGAAACTTATTTCACATATTGTGAGTTGATATTCAATTTGAATTTAAAGCTTTTATCAGATGGAATAAAGAAATCATATTCATCCTATTACTCTTGACTAAATAAAGCCCATTATCTTGATTCTTAAGATACTTCAAGAACAATCTTTACGAATAACTCTAATAAGATTTTGCTATCTCCTAACAAATCCACAATGTGAATTAAGGATTGAGTCATAAGGATATCTGAATCTATAGGTAAGGATGCAATTTCTATTCCTTTAGAGAAATGATTGACTTGGGCTTTTAGATCAGAAATAATTCTATCATTTTCAATGGAAAAGAACTTCTATCCTTGTTATGGAGACTTAATCAAATTCTAGTAATTTGGTGTTTTAATAACTGCTCTAATCATTTCACTAAACAATATAACACAGAGACAACGATTTTGCCACCATCTGTTTTTGGCCAAAGCCATAACATGTCTATCAATTTTCACTTAAGAGTTAGCTTTGGCTGCATTACACAAAATTGCTAATGCACTTGAACTCAAAGATGTTGAAGCGGATAGAAAATAGATATATCCATATCTTTTCATATCATTCCACAATTCTGATGATTCTTATTCAAATCCTGAAAAGACAGCCAAACATTGCATAAAATGTTCAACTGACAAATTCGATTTCATTGTCTAAATAACCTAATATTTAAACTAAGGTTCTTAGAAGGAGCAAATCATTTATATAAGAAGCTATTTCTTTTCAAAAAAGACACTTTATTTAATTAGATTACAGATTTCTGGTAAAAAGAATTCCAAAAATAAGGATCTTGTTTTTAATGCATCCTTTTATAATGATCTTGCTCCAAATTAATTGACCAAATCAATACAAACATGAACTCTTTAAACTGGTAAATTTTAGATGCATTAAAAGGTAAATTTAAAAAATTTCCATACTTCATTTGTGTCTTTGAAGATGAAATTTATATATGCTTCTTTTTATGTTATCAATTCTTAAAAAAACCCATTTACAAAATCTTCGGGATATATATCAATTAGATCAATGAAACTCTATAGAGCAGTACCATTCTATTTAAATTAAACTGTTTGTGCAAATTAAGGGAATTGCTGTCTTTGTGTTAATGCTTCATTTAAAATCTATATACATTTCTAAATTTCATACATCATAGATGGATTTATCTAATTATTTCTCTCTTGTTGATGTTGCTTCTCGCTTGTTTTCATCCATTGGTGTTTTTTAAAATGAATCCTGTATTTATCTATCATTATTTGAATTTAGCTTTTCCTATTATTTCTCTAATTGCTATTATTCCTCCTTCAACTTCAATAAACTGCCTTGAACAGGTCTGTAACTGATATTTTTGACTTCAATTTGATAGTTTAGATTTTCCAAATTTTAACTTATCGGTTTGCTTGGAACCCTCATGAAATTAGTTCTTTTAGATGAAACCGACAATGGTGCATGCTTTTCAGAAAGCTATTCTTTTTAGAACTAATCTTCTTGTTTCTACTCTTCTTGCAATTTCTCTATTCCTTTTTCTTTTAAAAGAAAAGTCTAAGTATTTTGAGTAGAAGTGGCAAATTCCTTTGAATTCACATAAGATGCCAAAGGAGGATTGATAACCCTTGGTAGTATGAATTAAATACTTTCTTTGTGTTAAGAAACTATAAATGCTGACAAGAAAATTGTAAAGTGCACTCCAATCATTATCCAAAATTTCAGCAAATCCTTTATGATTAGGAATCACTATGTCATTCTTTTTAAAAAAGAGCTCTAATTGTTAATAATTGTTCGATCTTCTTTCATCCTTTTATGAGTTATCAAATGAGTGCATTTATACTCTCCCAGGATAATACCGTGAGAATATTTCAGCAATCAAAAAACCATTGCTCAAGTCTCTAAATAAGTTATAAACATTATAGTATACCTTTTAGGATCCTTTACGGAATAACTTAGATCAAGGCCTTGAATCCATTTGATGATCTCTCTTGGTAATGCCTTTCCTACAGGTTGAAATGTTTGAGTATTTGTATTAGAACTCATAAATTTTATTAATATATTATTATATAAATAGATTTGGATATAGAAGCTAAAGCCACTATATTGTTTATGGCACTTAATCATCTGATAAATAATCACATATAGTTTCAAAGATTATATCAAAGATAGTATTTTTTGAAGAAACAATAATTTTTGTTTATACCAAACTTTAAAGGATTTCGGAGTATACTTTATATTTTTCCTTGAATTAACACAAAATAAAGTAACTTCCTAAATGAATTATTTAATATCTTTGAAAATATCATTAATTGAATACAAATATGTTATTAAAAAATTTCACTTAATATAAAAGTAAACATTCATAGTTTGTACTATTTAATCACTCTTTGAATGGTTTATTTAGATATGGGTTTAACTATAAATTCTTGGATTCCTAATTTTTTACTTTACTCTTTTAGTTTATTTTCATCATATGCAGAAGTGATAAATATTTTCATCTATTGATTCGAATTTAAAATTTGAGTTGAAATTTGCATACCATTTAATCCTGGCATTTCCATATCCATAAAGATGGCTGTATAACCTTAACAAGATTCTGAACATTTTTTGGATTTAATAATTTCTAGTGCATCAGCGCCATTAAAAGCTTTGTCAATTTAGGCATTAGTGCTATTGTGGATATAGATGATTTTATTACTATTATTTTATTTGCATTTCCAATATTTCTTAATTAAATACATTGTCATCAACTATCAAAATATGTTTACATCCTATTATGTTTTCTTAAATTAAATCGTGTACTATAATTGATTCCTAGAAACTCTAATTATCGCTACTGATAACTATTTAATATTATTGTTTTTCTTCAGATCTTTTGCTATTGAGTTGAATTTCATTCAAGTCTGGAGAATAATCATCCTCCAAATTAATTTGTTCTGGCTTAACTATAAAACACTTATGATGTAGTTATTGAATTTTTAAAGTTAAATAAAAGTAAGAACCGTGTTTTGCTTATGAAGTATCTTGAGAAACAACCTTCAATCCAGAGTTATCATATGACAATTATTAGGCTAGCTTATTACTAATCAGCAACCCCAATCCAACTCCCTACTCATTTAAATTTTCAGAAAGTCCTTCCTTAATCTTACCAAATGCTTTAAAAAGCTTAGATAAATTATGCTAGGATATTCCAACACCAGTATCTTCTACTCCAGCATTCACTAACAATCCTTACTGTACAAACTTGATTGATATAGCTCCTTTTTAAGTAAATTTGATAGCATTAGCAATAAGATTCACTAAGATTTGTTTAAGTCTATTTCTGTCTGTACTGATTAGTAAACATTTCACATTCGAAATAACTGTTAGCTTAATATTTTTCAGCTCAGCTTAAAGTTTAAACATCTACAGACACTCCTCTCCTAATTCAGTTAGATTAAAGGTCTTTTAGACTAAACTGAATTGATCTGCTTTTATTTATGCTAAATCAAGTAAATCATTAGCTAAATTTAACATATAGTAACAATTCTCCAAAACAATAGAAATATTCTAACAGATATAATCAAAGCTGTTTAGTTATTCTTTCAGTCTGCTTAATATATTGATAACTACATTTAATGGAGATCTAAACTCATGGCTAACGAAGGATAAAGTCTTGGATTTAGATTAATTTATTTGAAGGAGATCTTTAATGTTCTTTCTGTGGATAACATCTCTTGCAATTATGAACAGCAAATCTTCACTGCCTATCGAGATACTTATTTCTATTGATCTTTTTTAATTTTCAATTTCAAAGCTTGTCTCAACAACAAGTATATTCATATTATCAGCAGTTTCTCTTCTAAATCTTTTTGTGCCATATACGTATAACAGACATTTATATACAGTGTTAAGCTAAATCATTTAGGTAATAATACTTAACTAGTCAATGATCTAAATCTTGGAGATTGACTTTATTCAGTGTTTCTTAAAGTCATCTGTTAATCTTAGCAAAAATGTTTAAAAAAATTCAACTTAGATGATTTAAAATATTTAATTGATTGTTAATTAAGACTTTACAGTGAAAATAAGGAATCTCTTGAATGAAGTGGTGATTCATCCATAAGAATCTCGCAAGACAACTTTTCAAAAAGCGTCAATAAATCATGGTTATTTTTTTGGAAAATTTTTTTGCTAATTTAATTTTAATATTCAATTTTAGGTTTTGAATTAGCATCAATTTTTTCAAATTAGACTATTATTACACCCTCAGAGAGAACATCAAATAATGAACTATAATCTATTGTGGAGAGAGTCTCGTTTATCTTAATCTTTTACTGCTTGTCTGAGCTTATAAAACTCAAATCCCTAATTATAGTTCTTTTTGGATTTATTTAATTTGAAGATTAGCGGAGAGTTGTATTTTATAATGCCTCGACCATTGTATCTTGAAAGGCATTGTTGCTCTATTAATAACGCCTTCCCTCCTAAATTATGTTTTTTTAAGGGAGTAACCACAATAAAAGTAGCATATATAATTTTTGATTTGCAATAGCAATGTATTTTTAATTAAATTCATTAGAATAGCTACTATTTAAATTCAATTAATATGAAAAACTCAAAAGAAGTATTATTTAAAAAAAAATCATAATTGCTTTCCACATCTTACTATTTGCCATTTTAATCTTAAGATTTGTGTAATTATGAGCGATAACAATATAAAAATAATTCTGATAAACATTCTCTATACCAAACATTAATGATTCTACTTAAAATAAAATTAAATCCATTAATATGAGAGCTAACTATAATTCAGTTGTAAAAAATGTCTTCTTGAAGCATAATAATTCTAATGCTATCTAAACTAACAGATTAATCATCAAAAAATTAACAAATTGATTTCCAAAATCCTGATATTATATTATCATCCTGATAAATTGAAATATCAAAGAAATAATCATTGAAATTTATAGTTTGCGAGAGCTTAATTAGGTTTCTAGCATAGTCAAATTTAAATAGTTTAATATATATATAAGAAATTAAAATTTATTTTTCCATCTAATGCATCAAATTCATTTGAGATGAAAAATTAATTTTAAGGCCATCTAATTGGTGGTCCTAGAACTTAGAATGAAATTTATTAATTGTTTTTACACCATAAATTAATAAACTAAAGCTATTATTAAATATCATTGAAATTCTTCTATTTTTCCCTCCATTGCTCTAGAAACTATTAAATATAACATTATAATTTATTGTAATAACATATCATTTATATAAATTTCAACTTACCAATACGTAAGATATTAAACTGATGTATATCATTTATGAAATGATACCTGATTCTGTACTCTCACATTTATTGAAAGACTTACAAATATTAATATTTCTATCTGCACAGCCTTCACATTTCAATTCAATATTCAGAGTGAAAATATAAAAGTTTTCAAACTAATTGTTTCCAATTATATTTTTAATTATTATTTAATCAATCTTTAATAAACCTGGCATTTAGATACTGATAATATTAGATACGTTATTTTTAGGAATAAAATCAACAATCATTCATATTGTGTTGTAGCTTAGCTTAATAATTGAGTTAAGGATAATTGATTCCAAAAAAATTGAAATTTTTTTAATTTTTAAGAAATTATTTTTTCACCTTTTTTAATATATTAAGTTTAGTAATTATTAATAGAGCCATTTTCAAAGTTGGAAGTTTTTTCTAACATATTTTAATTTGAGTGAAATTTATTTTGTAACATATAATCTTATTTATAATCCATATAATTCACATTTTTGTAGAATAGTTAAGGCATTATTCATCCTCTATTTTACCTAATTAGTTGGTTCTTAAATAATGGATTGAGCTTTTATTAATGAAGATCAATACTCTTTTCAATAAATTGAGTTGAAATTGACTATGAAGACAATAATAAATTTTTAAATCCTTTATCTCTAAGCTTATTGGAAATTCGATTAATTCTAGTTCGTCAACATTGATTCAAGTCCTTTCTTTGTTAATAGTAATATAGTCGCAATAGGAGTTCAATTCACAGGAATTAAAAATTTGCAAAAATAAAAATATTACTTAAATTTGAATATAATTATACTTAATTTAAATTCTCAATATGATGGCATATTATCATTCTATTTTATTCATTTATATTTATAAAGCATTATTGAATAAATCAAAATCAACATGGTAAGATGTTATTTAGCTCTTTTTTTTGCTTGATAAGCTCTGTGTTTTTATTGACCATTTCCCTGACTTTTTTTGACTTTGGATGGGAAAGATCTCCTAACTGAAGTGACCAATTTTATTGATCTATTGGTTAGGGATCATCATTAAAATAAGAATACAGCTTATCCTTAATTTAAGATGGCTTTATTGGAAGACTAACCAATTCAGGTTCTTAAATTTGTGTTTGGTTGGCTTCATTTGATGTTTGCTATTGCGGAAGCTGTTCGACTTAATCAAAATCATTTTTAATCAAATCAGTGAATTACTATTAGGCAGCAGCCTCCAAATATTTATCTAAGACTGGATCAGATCTAATGTCTTGTCCTTATTCCAATGTATCTGGAAGAGTTGATTATTGACTCTAAGATTCAATTTCCAATTTTAAATGGCAAAGAGATGTGCTTTTGGAGATGGCTAAGTTATACTTTGATGGGTCCTTGATAATTATATATGCTTAATTACTTTAATTCTCCTTAGCATTCTTTATTGGACTCTGTGATCTTGCATCTTAAAATCATCAGCAATCATATTTTCTCTCTTGATTTTTTCATCAATAGCAGCAGTCATCAGCTATTAGACTTATTTATTGCTATCCATTTGTTAAATGAATTATATGTTGTTTTTGATTTACTCCTTTTGCACATGCTATTATTAAATTTATTTAGATTCTTATTTTCCTTCTGCTCCAAACATTTTATTCACATAGGGTTTAATTAACAGAGCTTGAATTTTGTTGGTAAATACAGTATATCTTTCTGACTTAATTGAAGAATAGTGTTCTACGGCTTACTAGATTAATAGATCAGATTACACTATATAATCCTAATAGCTCTTAAATTTCTTCTTTTGAAGCAGCATTAGATTCAACATCTAACTCTAAGTTTAGGACTTTCTCTGCGAAATTTGCTGGAAGTTTAGGCTATTATACTGGCTGTTAAGGTTTATTAAATAACCAAGACATAAAATATAAAATTTAATCAAAGCTTTTGATTAAGTAGTATTTCAACGAATTCTTTTTCTGTAATTTCTCCTTCTGCCTTGCATTCCATTAGTATCTATTGCCAAAGCTCCTCATCAATACTCCCAATCATAAGTTCTAGTTCTTCTTTTGATATCTTCCCATCGTCATTCGCATCGAATATCTTGAAAGCTGCCTTAACTCGTTCAAGGGATACCAGTTTTTCTTGGTTCATTGCTGCCATCAAAAATTCTACTTCATGATCAATAAATTACCTGAGAAATCAACTTATCCACTCTAATTGAGATCTACAATTTAAAGAATCTTATTGACTTCTTTAATAGCTAATTCTTTATCTTTTAAAACTAATGCATAACCTTCAATGAGTTCATCCTTTGATAATATCCCATTCTTATCTTGATCCAGAGTTTGGAAGGTCTTAACTAACTCGTCCTATTCTTATTAAGTAGTCATTTAGCATGCGATATAAGAGAGGACAGCCTAAGTAAAAATAGATTTAGCCTATTTTGCTATAAAATAGATTTACTTGGAATTTTTACAAATTTTATAACACTATTTAATTGACTTATTCATTTAAATTGTGTTTATCAATCCAAGGATCATGCAAGGCTTATTTGGCTGAGATTCTTTGATTTGGATTAACTTGAAGCATTTTGGTTATCAAATTTTTAGCTTCTTCTGAGATGAAGCCCCAATCTTCCTCTAAACTAAGTTTGTATTATAAGTTACAATCGAATTTAAATTTGCCCTCGCTCACTTTATGCATAATGTCTTTTTCGGTTTTCCCTGTAAAAGGAGGATACCCACATAGCAGAATGTATAGGATGACACCACATGACCAAACATCGCACTTTTCATTGTAATCTTATTTTAATACTTCAGGAGCTATATAATAAGCCTATAAATAAATATAAATATTACAGTTCCTAGTTTTTTGGTCATCTTCTTTTCAGTATCGTATTTTCTTGAGGTTCCGAAATCAATGACTTTTAATGGTGAATTAGAAGATTCATTAATAAATAAAATATTTTCAGGTTTTAAATCTCTATGAACAATTTTTTATTCATGACAATAAACAACAGCAAGCAAGATTTATCGAATAAATTCAGCTGCTTTTTTTTCACTGAAGTATGTCATGGATTTAATTCGATCAAATAATTCACCTCCTGATAAATATTCAGTGATCAAATAGTAGTTCTTTTAATCTTAGTACAATTCGTATAATTTAACAATGTGAGGATGATCTAAATTTTTAAGAATGTTCATTTCTGCAAATAGTCTTTGTTGTTCTTCAACAATCAAAGAACTTTTCTTTAATTACTTCATGGCTCTGATCATCCCTAAAATCCATCCATTTATTTACCTGTATTTTTATGAGTAACCTTCCAAACCTTTCCATACGCTCCTTGACCTAGGACCTCCCCAGTTGTGTAATACTTGTGAATGCTTCCTTACTTAAGATTCACAAAAACGTCAGCTCCTAACTTCACTGTTCCAATAGAGGATACAGTTAATTTTTTTTTAATCCCGTTCTTTGGCAACGCTATTTTATTGATATACAAATAAATTACTATCAACTTTGCTTTCTGATTATGCAAACACTTTACATTATTACCCGTTCTAATCCTCTTTTGGAGTAAGATCTTATGGAGAATCTGCAATAACTTCAAAGTCTTCATATTATTCCTTAATCTCATTAACATTGTCCAATCCAACGAACTAATCGTTGTTTAAACTTTTTTTCGATAATGTGTGTAAACTCCCTTTCACATCCACAACTATTTCATTAGTTATCGATTTTTATGGATATGAACAACAGCATTAAGCTCCCATATTATAATAATAATTTTAATAAATAATTGAAACATCATGATTGTTAATAATTCACCCCATCATTGATTTCCTTAAATATTTCATTGAAAAACTCTTCTTTAATGCATGTGCTGCCCTGAGATCCATCTATTTCGGTGTTTAAGTGGGTGTTATTTTAGATTTAATCTGAGACTCCCTTCTCATTTGATCCTAAGTTCGCTTCTCTTTCATCTGGTCTTTCCATTACACATTTCTTTCGTACATAGGTTTTCTTCTATCGAATATATCTTGAGTCGTTTTGAGAATTTTGGGTGAGAAAGTGCATTCCATTAATTCTTATTCAAGTCTCATAGCTTGTGAATCCATATTCAAAGCACCTTCCTTATTCATATTTCTTGTAGAATGATTCAATTAAGAAACATTGAATCTAGCAGATAGTAGACGAGATGTTTATGATAATTAAGGTTGAAAAGTGCATTTCTTTTTGAATTCCTCTTCCAATTTAAGTGACAAATAGTCTTATTTCTCTTGTTTATGCTTTAAAAAATTTATTCCTGATTGATACATATCACTATTTGGACGAACTCTATGTGATTGAATTTCGTTTTAACTTATTAATTCAGATTCTGAAAAGTATTTTTATTTGATATATTTTTATTTATTCAATGAAGATATGGTGTGTTTCTCATGAAAGTTGGATGTAGACAACAAGCTTAGGCTAGCTTCATCATAAATATTAATATTCATTAATTAAAATATTATATAAAACAGTTAATTAATTTATCATAATAAACCTACGAATTCATAACAAAAATTATACTTTGTGAATCATTTATTTAGTAGATTTATCCATTACTAAATTGAAATCAAAAATGCATATATAATATCAAATACTAGGTGTGATATATAGGGTAGATTCTCTTTTTGTATTTCTATTATTGTTGTTTTATTGTTCTCTTTGTGTATCTCATAAGTTGCGAAATAGAATTCAAATAAGATATTGATTAGACTTTAGCACAATTCTGATTCCGAAAGGTTTTCATAAGGATTGTTCTTTAGTAAAGGTTTTCTTCATTGGATCTAGAAAGAGAGAAGTTTTTGATTGTAAATAGTATTAATAAAATTGTCTAACTGATTATTAGATAAATATTTTATTGATAAATTTACTAGTAAGTGTATTGAATTTAATAACGAATTTTTATTTTAAAACAGGTATGTGTAGTGTGATTCAATCGAATTGATTGTGCTAAAATGAAGGTTTTAATTAATTAAGATTAATGACGATTGCTTAATATAAATATTTGGTTTCTTAATTGAGTTGTATTATGAATAATTATATATATTAAATCAAAAAAAAAAAAGAATAAATGACAACTACTCTTCCTTTTATATCGAAGAATAAGAACTAGTAATGATTCTTTATCATAGTAGTGTGGAAATGAAAGCGGTAACTTGGTAAAAGGACTCTCACGGACTATTTGACTATGAAACAAAATCTTTAAGCGTTAAAAAGCATAGGGTCGAGGGATCGTGCAAAGTCTGCAGAGAAGGTTTCGCATATCAAAATATAATTTAGAAAATGAAATAGTTATTTAAGAAGGCAAAAATAAGGATGAAGCACTCTAAGCTCTAACATCCATATAAGCCCAAGGAGGTAATATTATAAAAATATTTCTTAGACTAATATTTTATACAACCAAGCCAAAGCACAACAGAAAATGACAATTACTTGATTGTTCGTAGTTTAAAAAATGCCGATGGTGTGTAGAAGGTACAAATCTATTTTACATGATAGGGTTACACATTACAAGAGGGTGACTTGTTGAAATTGGGCAGAGTGGAGTATCATGTTATTGAGATAAGAGATGCCAAAGGATAAATAAGATCAGTGAAGGACGTTTTCTAATCAGAAGCCAAAATTGCTCCACCTTTGGAAGGTGGTGTTGCCAAATAATGCAAAATTTGTTTAATTGAAGAGGAGACTCCCGAAGATCCCTTCATCACACCATGCAGATGCAATGGAAGTTGTGCTTATGTACATTTCAATTGTCTCAAACACTGGCTCGATAGCAGAGGGTATAAAAAAGAGTCTGGTAACACAATTTCTTACAAATGGAAAAAGTAATCTCAATCAATTCTAAAATTGTAGATTAGAATGCGAGGTTTGTTAGGAATTGCTGCCTTAATAAATTAGATTTAAAGGGAAGGTACTCGATTTAGCATCCTTGGAAAGACCAAATTAACCGTATATTATATTGGAAAATACACAAATTTCTGAAAAGGACAAGAAGGCTCAAAGAGGAATTTACTTGATAAAAGGGACACCAGATGACTAAGTTAAATTGGGTCGTGGTCATCAATGTGAAATTCGTATATCAGATATCTCAGTGTCAAGACTCCATGCATTTATTAAATATGAAAAAGGCAATTTTGTTATAGTTGACAACAACAGTAAGTTTGGTACCTTAGTTCGATTATCAACACCATATCTTATCTGTATGGATAAAATTGCAATTCAAGTATGAATACTCAATAGAAATCTAGGTTGGAAGAACAGTGTTAACTTTTGTTATGAAATCTTTTTCAAGTCTAAATGCAAATACTCATGCTGCAATTACAGCTCTACACAATGGAGAATAAGGCAAACTCAATTTTTAACCTGGCATTAATAAGACACAAAGCATAAATAGCCAAAAAAAACATGACAAACACTCTGGATTATGAATTTTATGTTAAATACAATCTACAAATACACTATATAAAATCAATAATAACACTTCATTCTATAATCCATTATTAATCAAATGATTTATCAATGAGTAATTAAACATTATTCACTGTTTATCTATTAATCTCTTGTCCCTAATTGATAGTTCAGTTGATCAAATAGCAACACTTAAACCAATTATTCTAAAATTTAAGTCGGTATGGAATATTTAAAAGAAATCATAAGTTAAGGGTTTGCCTCATATTAATAGTTACCTTTATGTTAATTTCTTAATCCTTTAAAAGGTAATATGATAAATATAAATAATTTTAAGCCTCACATCTAATGAGATATTAGAATCTCTTATTTATAGATATATAATTTAAGTGTATCAGATTCAACAATAAAAAGACTGAATACTATTTAATTAACATTTTCATAAAACAGATTTATAAATATAAAACTAAATAAGAGATTAAAATGAATGAGAATAGGTGCATCGTAAAGAGGGTCATGTATATAAGGGAATGCTTAAATCTTCTTAAATTCAACTATATCATCTAAATTATTAGTAAATCAGTTAAATTATATCTTATTAAAATCTTTAACTTTAGATACTAATCAAATATAACCTATTAGATTAAATAAACAAAAAATCAAACCATTAATCCTTTATTAAATTTCTAATTATGGAATCGCTCATATTTACTATTATATACTAATAAAATCATACAAGATAAACAATGAAATGTAATAGCTATTCAAACATTATCTGGGAATATGTCTCCATTAATGTGCAAAAATGTAAGAGAATTAGAAATTGCTACAATTATTCATTACTACTATAAATTGCTCGAATATTTAGCATTTAATAACTAATTTTAACGAATATATATATAAAATTAAATTGCCAAAAATTAATGCAAGAAATTGACTTGTTAAGGTTACATAGAGAAACCCTGAAGTATTTGGAAATCGAGAGTATCTTTAAGCGATTGACACAAACTTTTATTAATAAAATTTACAATCTTATTAGAGATATCTTTGCAGAGGAGCATAAATTCACCATATAAGTATATTCTTAACTGAAAATAGGAATTACTCAAAATGGCCAACCAAAAAGAAATTCCTCTCAAAGAATTCAAATTGGTCGAGCATTACAAGCTTAATTCACAAATATTCAAGACCAATTTATAAACTATTTGTTCTATAGTTATAGATGATCTCTAAAACACATTCAATAAATAAATTATTATTGAAGAAAGATCTATTCTGGAGCCCAAACTACTCACTTAAATTGATGAAGAATCCCAAATCTGCTTTACTGAAAATTATAATGAAATATCCCAAGAGTACTCGAAAACACACAGAGATGATATTAAAACAGAGGAAGCTCCATTAGTGAATCAAGAATCTAAATAAGTCTAGAAAGTTCCATTGGCTAAATTATTGTCATTTGACAAGATTACTAGTTTATCAGTAGCCAATTCCCCAAGGCATTCTAGAGAAAATAGTTTAACTACCCACACCTTTAGATAATCTAACAAGCCAATATAGCAATTGATGTTAAATTCTAACAATGGATCAAAAAAATAGACAGTGACACAATTAGCCAAAAATAAAAGTTTAGAATTAAAGTCCATTGCTGAAACCTTGATAGCTTAAAGTAAGATCAGTCCAAAAGGAAATCAAACGATTATTTTTAACAATTTGATGTCAAAAATGAATAATCTGAAGGAAAATACATTAAAACCATGAGATAATTATTTACTATAATATAATAATGACTAAAAAGTATTTTCACCATTAAAAATTATTCTCATTTTTAACATGCTTAAATTATGTTAAATAAATCTCCTGTTCATTCTGATATTAGTTGTCTATCTGAACCTTCTGAGATATCATTATCTCTTTTAATTTTGGTATCTATAATAACAAATTTAAATTACTAGATCAATAGCTTTTTCAGTATTTTTTTATATTTAAATTTATCCACCTCCATTTAGACAACCTAAGGGACAAGCCATGATTTCAACATATTTATATTTACAAGTTTTTGTTTTGATTTATGAAACCAAATTAGCAATGTTCTTTAAACCAAAGACCCTAGCATAAATGCCTTATGATTCCATATTTTCATTGTAGATCGTAATTTCAATAAAATCTTTGTTCTTTCTAATATTATATTTGACTGTCCAATTAGGCATCATAACACTTTTTATTATATAATCTAAATAATTATTTGATGATGTGTTATGGTATTCTTAATCTTAGATTGCCATTGTTTAGAGTTGAACTTATTGAGGAATAATATTTGCTTTCTGAATGTAATCCTTAACAAATTACTCGATTTCCCTCGAACTCAAAACTATATTGATGTCTTCATTATTCTCTTGTCTAACAGCTTCAAGTTTTTTATCATAACATGGCATTATTGTAGCAAGATAATCATGGTTTTTCTTTTGAATTGCTCCAAAAATTTATTAAGGACTCTTCACTTTGCTCATATGATTAATTATTGATTCATCTAAGGTCTTTTCAGCGTAACATACCCATCCTGGACATTCTGAACAAAGTAATGGAGTTAAGTTTGTTTCTTTAAACTCTTTAATTGAGTTATTAATTGCTATTTTCGTGTATTCTGCCAAGTCATACAATTTAACATTCATTTCCTGAAATATTTAGTGTAAAATAGAGTGCATTTCTGAATCCGTGTAATTCAACACATAAGATAGGGAAGCTCTTGCCTAAGGACTTATTCCAATTGCAGGATTTTAATATTTCTTAATTGCTTATAAAAACTCTTCGAGACTTTAAGTTTGGATCAGTATAGTTTCTGCAGTAGTTACACATCCACTACATGCAAGACAGTCTTGTAAGGATACTTTAGCAACATTATTCTGATTTTTAATCAAATTAGGTTTTAGTTAAATGGAAGGGTCATCAAGTTGAAGCTTAACATTTCTCATTAGAGGTTTTACGCATTCTTGACTTGGTACAATGTAGTCACTAACAGAGGAAATTTTGATTGTGGAAGAAAACATTGGTTATGTGATTTATTAATTAATGGTTTAGAATGAAAGAATATAATATATTAAATACAATTGTTAGATAGGTATAATTTCATTCAGAAATTTTGTTAATTGGCTCTTTAGTTCCTACAAATAGCTAAGATATCAATAATTAATTAATACCACATCCTAAGGCTTGTTCTTCTCCATTTGGTTTATGCTCCATTTTGATAGGACATTTGTCCTTACCAGGACATTTGGGGAGTTTCTCTTTAGGTATTTTGGATACATAATCTCCATTACATTATCTCTTATGACAATCTTCACAAAAGTGAGTTGTACCCCTTTTAGATACATGAATATGTATACCAGCAGAACCACACAGCTATTTAACAACAAAACTTGCATTTGAATTCAATATATTCCTTTCCATGAATTTAACATGTTTCTCCAACTGGTACATCACAACAATTGGCACAAATCAATTCTTCAGGTTTATATTATTTATCTCCTTCTTCTAATGCTCTTTGACAATCTTTGGCTCCTCCAAAATAAGGGGTCTTGCATTTAAAGCATTAATAATAACAATAGATAGCCATAGCATACTCTTGGGGTTTGCCATAAAATTGTTCCCCCACTTTATTGAGCTTCTCATCTTTATCTCTGTTTTCATATTTCAATCTATCAAGTGATTTCTTCATGACATCTTAAAAGAGTAAATAATATTAATTCACGAGGTTCTAAGGTTAGGATGGTTAGAATTCTAACCAAGAATTACAGAGAGGACACAAACAAAACTTGAATACTATTCTTGGTCCATTCCATTTCACATCCAATCTTTTAAGTATACAAGTGTAATGAAAGATCTATTATTATAAATATTGAATACATGGCCACACTTTGATTGGATGACAGGAGCATTCTTTAAACCCTCAACAAAGCAAATATTACAATAGTCGTCTCCTTTTTAATCTCCTTTGCAACATTAATCATTTAAACATGTTGAACATATCTATTCATTTTTGAATCCTGGACAAGGATGTCTACAAGCTAACATTTTATTGCAAGCAAATTAGGCTTTCTCTTAGCATTCCTTTTCCTAACAAATGTCTTATAAGGCTTCGGGCATATGCAATTGAACATTATGTATAAGTTAATCACAATATCTACAACATCTAAAATGTATTGCAAATAAAAATTACTTGGATGCTTTCTTTATTTTGTACTCTTCACAAGTCATACCTAAATGATATGGAACTGCTTTGCATTCTTTACATTGTTCTGTTCTACATTTTTAATTGAAACACATAAATCTATTATTAAGATAATGTTCCACATATTTTCTAAAATTGTTAATGATTAAAATACGGTTATAATTATTAGTTTGTGACAGGATCTTTTAAAGTTGTAATATGACTTCCTTTCTCAAAAGCACCCTATTCGGAACAAGCCGAACATTTTACAATGTTGAATTGTCTTTCTACCATAATAGTTGCATATTAATCATGTTTTTCTCTACCAAGCAATTGCTTAAATAACATTAATAATTACTATCAATTCTTATTCTGCCATTACTTTTTTGCATAGCTAATTTGGACAGAAAAATGCTGTACTATTTTTTGAGTCCTTTTCTATCTATTTCATTAAACAAGGTCTGCAGATAGGTGTAAAGCAATGTTCAAAATATGTAATTATGTCTGCATGAACTTACCTTCCACAAACTTTACATTCTTCCAACTTTTATAATTGTTACATGGATTTGAAAATGTCAACCTCATTTTATTTTTGTGCAAATGGAGGCTGCTAATTTATTTGACTATTGTTTCTCTATTAAATTTAAGATCCATTTCCAAATTGAGGGGGCTTTTATATAAATGAGGAGGCTTATCTATCCTCCCCTGCCTTTATTAAAGCATCTACTTTTTCGATGAAAACGTAGAACTCGCTCTTTAAAGCAAACAAATGCTGTCTTTGCATTCTCTCAACCTAGAGTTGTTCAAACTTTTGGAAAAAAGGAGACGATTGTCTATAAACTTAGCATCTTCTGATATGGTCTGTCATACTCTATTGATTTAAAAGAACCGATTCTGAACAAAAACAGACAAAATTGATTTAAGATGCAAAAGGTTGATCCATTTTTTTGTTGATAATTATAAATAATAAATTAATCGAAAATCCTATTTATTTGTATCCCTTTTACTCATTCCATCTACTCAGCTCTTATTCCACTCAAAGAAGAATCATAATCATTTAGCCCCTATTTACTAATTCTATTATTCTTATATCAAATAATAAATTATGATAGATCAAATAAATATATATAAATTATATTTTCAAAGTATAAGCATTCAAATAAATTCTTATAAATGGATCGAGGGTGTATTAACATGCTCTTATGGAATCAGAGAAAAAATCATATCTAATAATTTTAGCTAGAATCCTTTATTACCATTCATCAAACTCATTCCATAAATATTTATATTCTAATACAATAATTATTTATTCTTTTATAATTCCCTATGTTAAGTTGATGAGTTTTTATGACAATAAATAAATACTTAACTTCTGTAAAATTGATTCACATTACGTTTCTCGTGTATATGGATAGTTTCTGCAGCTACACTCATTGTAGGCAATGATATTTTAATTTATTTAACATTTTTTATAAAGTGCAATGTTATTTCCAAAGAAGCCAATAGAAATTCATTATCAATTTGCTTAACTTCTTTCAATGTTTCTAATGGCAGTTTAATTTTTATCTTAAAATATTTATAAGAAATTTATAATATATAATAGGTTAGGCAAACTATTTCTTGGATTTATAGCAATTTACCACAATGGCAAAATTTCGATCTTATGTTTTCTAAATATTAAACCTATGGAATTTGTCGATGCCTTTTTGCATTAATGTTTTTTAGCAATCATAAGTAGTTATTCCTGCAATAATCAAATATGTATGGAATATAAGCATTCTTAATAAACTATTTATTATTCAATATCTTATCTTTCTCATTGTACTTATTATTTACCAGGATTATTTCCAACTGTAACAAAAAAATAGTTTGAATAAAGGACCAATATTATAAATGAGATCTAGAACAATCAAAAGGATTTTTCACGAAAGCATTTTATTCATAAACTATCAAAATTGTCCAACAAAAGAAATGCATTGTTAAATAAAATAGTCTGACATTAGTGATGCATGAAATTTCATTATTCATATATTTATAATATTTATTTTATTAAATAAAGGTTCTAGTAATTATTATTTATAAAAAAAAAAAAATATTTAATGATTCAGTTTTAGCAATATATCAAAAAATATTTTCTTAATGCAAAGAAATCCAATAACTTCTTTCTAATTTGAAATTTAAGATTAAGAAATTCAATCTTTTAAATTGATTATAAGCTTTTATAAGTATATTAAGCAACTACAAACTGTTAATTCTATTAGCATTTTCCATATAAGTTATGATAGAATTATAGATAATTCTAAGGCTAGCATTTTTTTTATTGATATTAAATAATCATGTCTAGTATTTAAGATATTTAAGGGTAGCCTGTAATTGATGAAAAAGCCATACTATAAATGATCGATACTGTTTTATCTTAACTTTATTAGTTTTAGGAATAAAAAAATCATAATATGAAGGTTTTGATTTTAGTAGGAGTGACTGGCTCAGGGAAAAGTACAATATTCAATCTCCTTGGTGGGGCTAAATTTAAATTGATAGAAAGTGAAGATGGAGTAGAAGAATTAGAATTAGAAGAGATTTCCTAAGAATTCTCAGTTATGAAAGGAGGAATGCAATCTGTGACTAAATAACCTAAGTACTATTTTAACGAAGAATTTAATCATTTGCTAATTGATTTTCCTGGATTTTAAGATACCAATGGGGAATTCGATCAAATTATGATATAGATGTTATTTTATAAAATATCCACTCAATCAAAAGTTAAGATATTGTACGTAATAAGACACCCTGAGCTAGAATTTTAGGATAGAGGTACAAATTTGTAAGAGTTTGTAAGAGCGACATTTAAAGAGCAAAGTATTGGAATTGAAAATTTAACTTTACTACTAAATGCTTTTAATGAAGAATATTATTCTGATGAAGAAGTTAAAACATCAGCAACTGAATAAATATGTCAATTATACAATACTAATAATAGTTTGAATATTATAGTCCTTAGAAAAATCAATTCAGAGGATGATATAGTGAAGTAATTTTCTGATGAAAATAGAAGAAAAATATGGGAAGGCATAATTAAATCAGAAGAAATAAAATTATAACCAATAGAAATTCTACATACAGAAAAAATTAGCGCTTATTTGAGTGAAAAAAGCTTCAAATGTATAGAAAAAGTGTGGTTATAGGTTTAATCAAAATTAGCTTAAAATTTATAAAAAGCATAATAAAATGATTTATCAAGACTATAGAAATTAAGATCTATGTTTGAAGATCTAACCAAAATAAAAAAAACTGACTATGTAGAATCGTTTGAAAAATTTGTATTTTCTTTAGGCATTATTGCTTAACAATTATGTTGTTCATAAGAAGTAAAATATAAAAGAGAAGAATTTTTAAAGATTTATTAATTTTTTTAATAATTTTCAGATTTAATTAATGGGTACTCTGAATGCTAGAAACATTCTAATTTTGCTCGAGATTTATAAAATGATATGATAAGGATGATTGAAAATAAAATTGACTTCCTAAAAGAAGTTTAAAAAGTTGAAAATACAACTGTGGAGAAGAATTAGGAAATAAATCTTAAAAATAAAGCCTTATTAAGAGCAGAATATTCAAGAAAATTGAAAAAACAATACTAATAATAATTAAGATAATTGGAAGCAGAAACTAAATAGTTGAAATAGGAGGTTATTTCATAAAGATATGAAAAATATGAATTAGAAAATAAAACTGCTTTAATATAAACTCAATATTATAAATTTAAATAACAAAGCGAATAAGATTAAAGAAATCTAGATTAGAGAATTTAGCAAGAAAGGAATACTTAATATTAAATATAGAGAATCTTCTAACAAAAACAAGAAGAACTAAACGACCTAAAAAAAAGGCAGTAATAGCAATTAAATGCAATTTAAGCTGCGCTATAAGAATAAGAATAAAAGAAGAGAGGAATAATGAATCAAATATCTTCACTTAAGAAGGTCTAAAGTTAATATCAAAATTAATTAAGAGAAATTCGAAGTTATAATTCAAGCCTAACAAGCCAAGTAGAATATAGATAGAAGGAAATAAACTAATTAAAAACTACCGTAATTGCTCATTCATATGACAGTGGTGGTGGATGCCAACTGATTTGAAGAAGTGTGAGCTTTATTAAAAAAATAATTTAATATGTAAATTTATAAAACTATTATTGATTAAAAACTCATGCATTGAGCCAATAATCTTAAAAATTTATGATTATTAATATATCTTCTACATTAGAAGAATTTCTTTGTAAGAGACTTTAAGTATTCTAAACATTATGAGAAACATTACAACATACAAAAAGATTGTTGAGATGAGATTGGAAAAGCATAAGCAATTTCAATAATCGGGGGTAAAAGAGTGAAATATGAGGGAATGATGGGGTATAATTATAATTATTCAAATGTTCTTTAAAAAATTTAATAAAAATTACTCTTCAGTAGAACCTCCGTTAATTGTTAATTTGAGAATTTAATTATTGCTAAAGCTAATTAATTTCACTTTTAGACTCTTAATATCTATTTTATAATATTCTCATTGTTTAATCAAATTAATAAGAAGAGCTATTAATATCTGAATATTTTTGATTTAATGAATATTAGTCTTATTAATTTTATAATAGTAACTGCAATTACTAATTACTTAATCTATTGGATTAAGCTTAACTTGTCTATTATAAATTTTAATACCATGAATTCCAATTATTTACCTCAATTTACTAAGAATTTTTTTAATTTTAAATTGCTTTTAGTTGTTATTCAGCTTTATCTTTTAAATTTCTTTCCATTTATACCGATTATTGTGCTACAAGCGCTCCTTCTGATTCTATTTTTTACTGATATTCTGCTTACTATTTTTATTATATTGCATTTAATTTTTCGCTTTCTACATATTTTAAATCTTTCTATTTTTCTAAAATTGAAATTTATTGCTTAATAATTTCTAAATTTGCAAAGCATGATTTGCATGCTAAAATTTAATTAATTAAACAATTTTAATAGCCAGCTATTATATCTTCAAACTATGAGAAGAAAATAAAAATTTTTGAAAACTCACAACTAATAGAACAAATCTCATTTTAACAATTCAGTTAAGTGGCAATTTATTAGGATAATTTGATAAAATTTGTATATTGAGTATCATCCTTTGAATTTAGGTTTGAAAGTAAAGTCACTAATTTCTCAAATAGAACTTTAATATTACGTAACTACCTTTCTTATAGCTTATCAACCTTTTGTTTGCATTAATTATTCAATTTTTCACAAATGTTATTGTACATCTAGAAATTTTTCTCACTTAAATATTAAGTAATCTTTTCGCTATGTTACACATATTTTGGAGAGAATTAGATATCTTATGTTTGATTTAATTCTGCCATCAATTAATCTCTTTTTTCTTCAGAGAAGATTTTTGCAATATCTAAAGGAGATTTACACTTTCTTAAGACTGAGATTTGTTTGAAATCAGATTAAAAAATTACTTATAATTATTTTTTAACACTTTCTCTTAGTCCTTAATCAGACATTTTATCACCATAACAATTAAGCAATAAGCAAATTTTTTCAAGATCAACTTATTAACCTTAAAACAAAATTTTAATAAAATCTTAAAGGCCTACTCCTCTTTCATTAAATCTAGTTTCTGGGTGTCTAACAACATAGATTAATTTGACTTTAGACTTTGAAACAATCTTTTAAAATAACATCTAAATGAGAATTTAATCTAATTCTCCATTCGGATCTTTAAATCCAGGGAAATCAATAATTAAGTGATTCAGTTTTTCATCTAAATAGTATTTGGGTTGCTTTGTGACTGAATTCATTCCTCCATTCTATAAAGCAAATTATTCAGAGTTTTCTTTTAATATTAGTTATGACCCATTTTTTATTTCCTGCCATTCATAATTCCCTCCACATAAAAAGTTAAACACTGTGCTTTTTCCTGCTCCTGTTACTCCAACTAATATTATAATTTTTGGTTAATCTTTCATTTTTGATTCAAATAAATCCATTAGCTTTTGGATACCATTTATTAGCTATAAAAATTAGGATTCATCTAATGATCCTTTAGCAATCATTCTATTTTTTATATTTTGTAAAATACAAAAGGGAGATTAATAGACTCAGCTAATTCTATCACAAATATTAAAATATTATAGATTTAGAATTGTATAATTTTTATTAAATTTTTCATCAAATCAATTAGCATGAGGATCGGATTCTACAGGCTAATTCTCGTATTTTCTTTTCTAATTCTCCTTAATCGTTGCGACAATCTTGTATTAACTACATCAACTCATCCTTTTTAATAAGTTCTTCTTATACAAGCTTTGCTAGTTCTTTGTGCTCAGATAACATATCATTTAGCATCTTCTCTAATTTTTCATTTTCAGCTTAATTTTAAGTTTAGACATTGGAGAGTGTTTAACTTATTTGTTTTAATTCTGTCGAATTATCCTAATTCTATTTATCAACTTCTTATATTCTTGATTAATACCTTAAATTCTCTGTTTCCAATGTATTTTTCATATTAATTTTATCTTTTTCTATTCTTTGATTTTCATCTTATTATTATTAAAACTATTGGATTAATATCTGTTATTGAGTTTGAATTTCAAATTTTTCCTGCCTTTCTTTATTCAAATCATTTTATGTATTCTGATATACAATTAAATGCTGTGATAAGTTTTATGAAGCTTATTATGCTAATTGAGATTACTTTTAACTATTTTCATCTGCTCGAAGCCTTAATTAGGATTCTTTCATTTTTTCCTTCTCAACCTTCAAAAGATCTTGTTATTTTTAAATAAGATCAAGTTTACCTTTAATTATCCTAATGATATTTTCACACTTCTCTTAAGCAATTTTGCAATTATTTTTTATATCTTCATAACCAGGGATAAATTCAGAGAGTTAGGCAAAAAAACTCAATATTGTCATAAAATTTGAGTAATCTTAACATTTTTAATTTTAGAAATTTAAAAGTGAAATTGATTTTACAAAATAATTAATTAATTCTTAAAACCAATTAACCATGTCTTTTTTTTGATTATTGAGGAAAAGTGATATCTATTTTAAAGATTATTCTAAATTATTAACTTATTCACAGGTTAATTTTTCTAAATTATCATTTAAATTATTTTCTAAAGTTGAACATAATTAATCTAAAATTTATTCACTTTTTTCACTCAACTGCAGACCAATTTTTTCGCAGTTAGGTACATATTTAAGAGAGATAAGGACTGGATTAGATTTTAAAAATTATTAAAACAGATAATTTCTTTTTTGAGGTGTTAAAATTTGTTCAATATCTTAATTTTTTGAAATTTTTCTCATTACACAAATGTTTTGAGGCCTACAATTATAAATCCTTTCTAGTTAACTTTGAACATTCGTGATTAAATTCTCATCTGTTAAATTATCATTATAGCAATTTAACATCAAACATATTTAGGATATATCAAAATTTTCACCTTAAAATGTTTAACTTATGAATTATTATAACGAAGTTCCTCTATTATTAAATTGATTTTCTAGATGTTTAATAACATATACAATTCTCACATTTGCAGATTTTACGATTTAATAAAATAATAATTATGTGAGAACTTAATCTATCTTTCCATCAGTATCTTAAAATCCTGGGAAATCTATTAATAGCGAATTAGACTAGTGTGAAAAGTAATAATTCGGACTCTTTGTGACTGATTTCAATCCTCCTTTTATGATAGAAAATCTTTCTGATTTATCTTTAATACATAAGTTTTATCTAGATTCTGGTCCATTCATTTCAAACTCTGCACCACTCAAGAAATTAAATAATGTACTCTTGCCAGCGCCGGTTACTCCTATTAAAATAATTACTTAAGAGTATTTAGAATTCTGGTCTTAAAACAAACCAAATAATTTAGAATGGTTGTTAATTATATGTAGGAGTTCTTACTCATTAAATTTGGTTTGCATATTAATAATTATAATAGAAAGGCACTTATTTCAATATATATTGAACCTAATTCTATTATGATTATTTGATATATAATTTTTATTTATAGGTGTTAATTAAAACTTTCTTAACAAACAAGTTAACAAAACAATAATTTCCAATACATAAGATTTAAACTTGTTGTCAAATAAGAAAAAATATTTTATGTTTTTAACCAAAAAAAATACATCAATATTAGAATCTTTATACTCAGAAATATTTCTTTATCCCTAAAGCATATTATCATCTTATGAAATCAAAAATTAATAAAATGAAAAAACTTTTAACAATAATTATCTTATTTCTTAGATTAAAATCATTGTATTTATGGTTTTATCTATTATTTATGAGATATTATATATATATTTAAGATAGCATGTAATTTATATCACCCCATATCATAATTATGATTTTCAAATTATTTACTTGCTTATCATGAAAACTTATTATTTGATTTAGTAGTTAATATAATAAAAAATTAATAATCATATAGATAATATAAATGATTCAAAATTCCTTCCATTTTTAAGTTACCATCACATCATGATCAATATATGGTTTAATTTATTTTGCTTTGGTTCTAAGGGGTTCTAAATTCATTTTCAAAGTTAATAATTTTGATTCGTTAACTGATTTATTAGTCATTGGAACATATTTTATTGATCTTTCAAGTAATTTTGCTTATTGATGTTGTTCTTCAATAAAGGATTGAGCTCTAAATCTTTGATTTATAACTTAATATAAATGAATCTTCTTTTTAGCTCTTTAATATTCTTTTTCTCTTTAGCGAAACTCTTTTTCTCTTTCTTCTTAAAAATCTCTTAATTTTGATAAGTTTTCTGCAATTTGTATTCTTCTATCTAAAAGGATATCTTGGAGATCAAAAGAGGATTGAGACATTGATTTGGAAGGGTTTCTGTAGAGAGAATTTTATTATCGTTTGCAAGTTGTTTTGGTATTAATAGAAAGCATATAGTTTATTTTTATAATATTTGGTAATAAAAATATTTTATTGTTTGAGTGATTGCATATCAATATGTTTTCATTCTTTAAGTGTTAGTAAAATGTTCATTTGAGATGGAGCTATTAGGGATATAAAAATTTTTATTAATATAATTTATATATAATACAAAATGAAGAAAAGCCTGAGCGCTCTAATTCCCAATAGTTTTATAAAGAAATATTCATTCAGACCACCAGAACCAGCAAAATACGCTTTTGAGTTTAGAGATAAGAAATATCATTTTTTTCCAATAATAAATGGATAGAGGAAACAAATATTCAATTATTACTTACAAATAGATTCATACGTACTCAAGAATGATAAAATATGCGTTCCAATAATACATTTTTCAGGGTATATATAAAATTTAAGCATAGATTGTAAAATACGAAAACTGAAGTATCACTATCAAAAGAATGCTTGTTTAGTTCTAAATCGTTTTAGTGTGATTTTGAGAAATTAACCCAGAGGAACAGGACGTTAGTAATATTTTCTCATGCTAATGCCAGTGATTTGGGAGATGTCTATTTTTTTGGTGAAAAAATAAGTATTGAATATGGGGTTGATTTCATTGCATATGATTACACAGGTTATGGGATAGGAGTTGGATAATATAAAGTTAGTGAATAGCAAACTTATGATGATTTGTAGAGTGTAGTATCGTTTGCGATTAACAAATTGAACTACTCTCTGAATTAGATTATATTATGGGGTTTTTCGTTGGGCTCAGGTCCTGCGACAGAAATAGCCACTCGTTTTGGAGGGTTGGCAGGCTTGATATTGCAGGCTCCAATAGCCTCGATATATAGTTGGTTTGGAGAAGGGGATTATGGGAATTAGGACATGTACGTTAATCATAAGAAGATTAAAAATGTTCAAAGCAACATATTAATAATCCATGGGGATTAAGATAAGATTGTTGGTCATTAGCATAGTGAGAAATTGTACAATAATTATATGCAACATAATGATGGAGGGAAAATTCAATTTATATTGGTAAAGGATGCTGGACATAATGATCTATAGTTTTATATTGAGAGAGGAGAAGATGATTTGGGGGCATAGATTCACAATTTTTTGAGGAAGAAAGGAGGAGGAGCATTTAGTGAAATGGAGAATAAATTATTGAATTAAAGTTATTTGAAGGAACACATTCCTGGGTAAAATATTTACCAATGCAATTCATTGAGAAAGTATTCATCTTCCTAAGAACTTCAGATTAAGAAAGCACATAGTTTCTTTTCTTTTTGTACTTGTGATTGATATCCATTAATTCTTATTTGTTTCAATGTATTAAGAAAAAACATATATATATATATATTTTGAAATAATCATGGAGACAGTGACTTTTGGAGGCGACAATCCTCAACCACGTTTTGGTCACACTATTTGTGTGATAGCCCCTAACAAAATTGCTCTTTTTGGAGGTAGGATATTGTTTAGAGGAAGGTGCTGTTGGGGATACTGGAAAATATATTATAACAGGAGATGTTTATATAGGGGATGTTATTTAGAGAAAATGGAAGAGAATAGAAGCAAGTGGAAGTGTTCCAACGAATAGAGCAGCACATTAGGCATTGGCCATTGAATTGAATTAAATGATCATATTTGGAGGAGCAGTGGGAGGAGGAGGTTTGGCAGATGATAATTTATTTGTTTTTGAATTACGCGATGATACAGGTACATGGGTTACAGTACCAGTGATTGGTACTACTCCTGGTAGAAGGTATGGCCATACTATGGTACTCATAAAACCATATTTAATTGTCTTTGGAGGAAATACAGGATAAGAACCTGTGAATGATGTTTGGGAGTTTCAATTATGGAGAAATCTCCATATTCATGGTCCTAAATTGGAATGCTCATCAGAATTACCTTGTGTTAGAGTCTATCATTCAGCTGCTCTCTGTAATACAGGATCAGCAAGTGGAATGATGGTGGCATTTGGAGGTAGAACAAGTGATTAGAGTGCTTTGAATGATACTTGGGGATTGAGAAGACACAGAGATGGAAGATGGGATTGGGTAAGAGCTCCTTATAAAAATTAAAATGAAATACCTGCTCAAAGATATTAGCATTCAACTTTATTCTTTGGGAACATTGATGTTGGTAATAGGAGGTAGATCAAATCAAGTGGGTGAAACTCTACCTTTTGAAATTTATGATACCGAAAGCTCTGAGTGGTATAAATTTCAATCAATCCAGAGATTCAGACATTCATCATGGTTAGTTGATTAATTTCTATATCTCCATGGTGGTTTTGATTCAGATCAACCCAATATTCCTACTGAAGGTATCTTGAGATTAGATCTTAACAAACGATTTGCATAAACTCCATAATTGTTGAGGTAATTGAATACTGTAAGAAATGATAATACTTTCATGTAATCATTCAATCCTCGTGCTACTCCAAATTTAAGCAATAATAGTACTCAAGAGTAATTTAGAAAAACAAATTAATAGACTCAGTAGAAAAGTATAATTTATTTTATAAATATAGACTAATAAAGTTAATAGTAGGGTCGTGTTTCATCTGCGAATAACAAAAATGTTAGATTAGCTAATTAAGCTTTGGTGGCCATGGTTTATGGTTCTGAAGAAGACATAATTAATTAAGTTAAGAAGGTGCCTATTGATAAGTTGTAGGATGAACACAAGAAATTAGGTGCTGGTTTTTAAGATCCCAATTCCTAAAATAAATCTTAACTTGTTGAATAAATGCTTGCTCCGTTTTTATAAAATTTACTATTGCCTAAAGATTACCAATCTATCCCTCCAAATTCAAATCTTATGACTGGGATTAAAAAAGATTTCATTATCAAGTTGTGTGATGAAGTTTAGAGAATTCTTGAAAAGGAGCCGATTGTCTTAAGACTAAGAAGGCCAATCAAAATATATGGAAATTTGAATGGTTAGTATTTAGATCTCATGAGATTCTTTGATCATTTCAAAGCTCCATATGATAATCTTTACAATGGAGACATTGATTCTTAAGATTATTTGTTTTTGGGAGACTACGTTGACAGAGGCACAAGATCTCTTGAGATAATTCTACTCTTATTCACACTCAAGGTAAAATATGGAGATTAGATTCACTTATTAAGGGGGCATCATGAGGATCCCAAAATTAATAAGATCTTTGGATTTGCTGATGAATGCTTTTTAAAATATGCAGAAGATATCAATGATCCTAATAGTATCTATCAAAGGGTGAACAGAGTATTTTAATACATGCCATTAGCTGCAGTAATAGAGGATAAAATATTTTGTGTTCATGGGGGTATTGGATAAACAATACGTACAATCGATGAAATTGAACTCATTCAAAAACCTCTCTAGATTGTCCATGATCCTGTTACAGTAATTTATTAGCAATATAATAATTTAGTATCAACAGAAGATTGCTTTGGAATTATTATGGTCTGATCCCTGTTTAAATGAAGAAGAATTGGAAAATTTACCGAATGTTGAACGAGATCTATTTTAAAATAAATCTATAATTAGATTTGGAAATAATAGAATCGCCAAATTTCTTTAGGAAAACAATTTGAATATGATAATTAGATCTCATGAACCTACGAATGAAGGATTTGAAAGATTAAATAATAGTGTCATCACTATATTTTCTTGTAGTGATTATGGAAAATGTGGGAATAAAGGAGGTATTTAAATGATAACATTATTATTCTAGCCATACTTTCTATAACTAAGCGAGGAGACATAATTCCAAAGGTTATTCCGACAGCAAATCTTATCAATGAGGCTAGATGGCTGAATTTAGAAGATGCTGCTTAAAGGACTCAAGGATTTGTCAAATCAGTGGATATCAATAATGATGAATTACAATATAGAAGGAGACCTTTTACTCCATCGAGATAGAAAAGAATTGGATCACAAAAATAATTCAAATGATATTATTCAAGTTATTAGATTAAGAATCTTCTATTTATTATTCTGCATGTTATATTAGTTTTATTTGCTTGTTCTTTCTATTCACAATATTTGAAATCTATTCATCTTCAGAGATAAAAGTACGAATTTCCTCACAAAGCTATTTTAATTATGAAAATAAATACATCTTATTTAATGCTTGTCAATTGATTAATCAAATCTAATGCTCTATTCAATTCAACATTTAAGAATTTCTGATCCTCAACCAAATTCATCTTCTTTAAATTCTCTTCATCTACATGATTTAATATTGTATCAATATCTCCCTCCAATTCCTTAATATTTTTATCGAAATTAATGTTCTCTAAATTAATTTCTTTAGCTTCTTATTATATTTAATTTAATTAGTTGTTTATCACTTTCTATTCCTTATTCACAGCCTCCAGATTCTCATTCAATTGTTAATATTAATCATCCAATTGACCTGATTGCTATTATTATATCTCATGCTTCATCTATATTTACTATAAATAGTCTCCTTTCTACCTCTATTCCTTATTCAACATATCAACCATTTTTTTTTATTGTAGAATAACTTTCTCTTTTTTTGAAATCTCAAATTCCAAATCCTATCTTGTCTGCTCAAGCTCCTTGTTTTACTTGAAATGCTTATCGAATTCCTTCTCCAAGAGTTGATTTTCCTTTTCCAATGAATTCTTAGTCTCAATCATATCCTTCATAGTAGACTCCAACTCCTATCTCTCTTGTTGCAATTAATCCTTTTGGAGCATGATTTCATTGGTTTCCTTCTTTAAAATGGCCAATTCATTTTATCGTATTTGAGCTAATTCCAACAATTAAGGATTATTGTTAGGTAGTCGTTAATGCAATTATTCTTGCAAATATTCCAATTCGCTTCTGAGTTGTTTTATTTCATTCAAATCAACCTCAGTTTAGGCTCTTCCAACCTTTTGTATCTTTTATAGCTCCTCCTAAACCTAAGCATAGGCATTCTCAAGTCGAGATAGCTGATTGTGTAAACTTCCAAAATCTATTTGTCTCTGATGATATTGATACAATTCCCCTTTCAATTAAGCTATGATATTATCTTTCTTCTCACTACTCAATGGTTTTTTGTTTGACATTATTAAAATGTCTGATTAATAAATTAAATCTCTCCAGTGTGCAGCTATAGAAACATAAGCCTATTATGATGTGTATTGGCAAATACCTTCGAAGTAAGCAGCTGCATATAATATGCTTCTCGATAAATTCAACAGTCTGAAAGCGAAGGTTGAGGCTGATTTTGATTTCATTCCACTCCACCCTCAAATATTAGAGATGATAAATTATTTCAATCAAACTCAAACTTCAGAAATCCCACAAATTAAGGAGACCGATCAAACTTTATTTTTAGGACCTCCCTCACGTGATCCCAGTCAACATTACAATAGATCTATTTAGAGAATTTGTTCTCAATTTCTAAATGAGAATCTCTTGGAGGATTTGGCTGACTTCACAGTCGAAAAGTAAGTATTCCAAAATCTGAACTACATACTCAAGTGTAAGGGCCTAACCACTGTGAACACGCAACCAATCACAATTCCAGTACTTAATAATTATCCCCTCTGGTTTAGTGAAGGATTACTAAAAACACTCGAAGCCTATTAAAGTGGCAACTTAGTGCCTCCAGAAATTGATTTTCTCACAGAATAACAAATAAAATTCGTTCATTCAAGCTTAAAATACAAAGATTCCAAGATAAAATAAAAAAATAGCAATCGAAGCAAAAATGACCAGAATACAGTATCACCACCAAATAACTTGCTTCAAGTACGTTATTCTGAGATGGAAACTCAGTAATCCTAATCTTAATAGAACTTTTATTCCACACAAACAAAGCCTAGAACCAAAAGTATCCTCGTATCCAATTGGTTTCATTTCAAGACTTACACAAATCTTAGACCCAGAGACACTCCAAATTAAATCAAAAGACACAAGGCAGTATCATGTTCATAAGTAGATCTACAGACTCCCTTCAGCCCATTAAAGCAGAGTCCCTATAATTTAAAGGCTAGCGTAAAGCCAAGATGGTTTGAGCATATTTATTAAAAATGATACTGAATTAAATTACAAAATATTTCTCTAAATCAATTGAATAAGTCTAATCCATAGGCACCTAATTGAATAAAATTAATAATAAGATAGAATCTAAAAATTCTTAATCCAAGAAAATTGGGACAAAATCAAAATGATTAATTGAAAAAATGAAAAAGAAGCTCTGTTAGAAATGGGAAATTTTAAGATGGTTACTTGTTTGAAAATTGCTTGAATGCTAAGGATTAATTTGAGAATCACGATCTATTGTTCTACAGAATAGAATTGACTTTGCCATTAAATTTCTGATTAAAAACTTAATTGAAGATGAAAATCTGTAGTTTACTGCTTTTTAGAATTTATTCTAGTAAAAAGACTAAGATTTGAGGAATAAAATAATTGAGTATACTTTAATTCTATCGCAATATTCTTGATATTATTTGAACTATCAGATTATACTAAAAGGCATAACTCAAATTTTGAATTATTGAGTTTACCTATTTTAATTGGCGTAATTGAAGTTAATTAAGAAGAATTAAATAATTTGAAATTTAATCTAAAAAATGAAATTTTGAAAAACATAATTCTTAGAAAAAAGTATAGTTTGATAAACATTAAGTTAATAACTTGGCCTTGTTTGATTTGAATTTATGGTTTCTAAAGTTTAACCTTAAGAGGAGAATAATAACATTATTTGATTTATTTCAATAAAGTATAAGTTAAAAAAAACAATTGTTATAAATCATTTTTAATTCTATTCAGATTTCCCTATTAATTCATTGTATGTTGATAAAAATAAAGAAAATCAGTTATTGCTAATGCTATTTAACTTAAAATATTAAATCTAAAATAACTTAATTATGAATGAAGTTAGCTTATCTGTTTTAGATTCTATATATACTTAATTAGCTTTTATTATTTATTTATGGTGAACAGAAATTAGACATTCAAAATCGATAAAACTTAAATACAATAGGCACTGACTCAAACTAACAACACACAGAACAGCAGAATCGAAAATTTAAATAACAAATTTATCAATATATTCCATCTTAAATTTAAATTCTATATGAGTTATTTTATTGATAGTTGTATTAATTTTTAATTTGAATATCATTCAGATGTGCAACAATATTAGCATAGCAGTCATGTTGTCACATCCATAGCCAGTAGTAGTATCGATTGCCAAAGAAGAATCGAGCAAGTTTTCAAGTATTAATGGTGGTTCCATACCCCTGTCTAATCTTTCTCCAATGAATTACATCACTTTATAACTATTCATCGTTTCGAACAGTCCATCACAACCGAGAAATAAGAATCTAGATATAGACAGCAAGTCTTACTTATCATCCTTATTCAATTTTATCTTTCTTATTTCAGGTTCAGCAATAACCATTTGCTAATTTGCTGGTAATGATTCTTATTTGAATTCGAAATCGCCAAAAGCACGTGAGACTGATAGTGTTCCATTGAGACGGCCTTCTTCATTCACAAATCCTCCTGCAAATCTGATCCTGGCTAATTCATTACAAGGAAGGTGATCTTTTGTTAACTCAATAGTTTCATCATCACGCATCAGAAGACAACGAGAGTCTCCTAAATTGGCAACATATAAGGTCTTCTAAATTACCAGGGCCACTACAGCTGTTGAACCAATAAATGTATCTAAAATGAATATAGGAATAATATGATTACTTTTAGCCACATTATTTTTGATCATCTCATCCAACTATACAAAACTATCATGTAAGGCTTAGGTATAATCTTCACCAACGAATGCAGGTTGCTGAACCAAAACGTCTAAAAAATTCTCAGCCAAATAATTTGAAATTCCAGCACCACCATGTCCATCAAAAACAGCAAACATAGATGCATCTTCCCTAAAATCTACTTTCATTATGTGGGCATCCTCCATTTAAAGTCTCCAACCTATCTTGTTATATTACATACTAACCTTGCATTGACGTAGTATGACATTATAGAATCCCATTGGACTATGAGTCATGTATTTTTTGCGTGATTGGTTACGATAGAAATTAACCCATTATTTATTTTATTTATGCTTTTGGTATCAATTTATTTGCCTTTAGAAGAGAAAATTAGAATCATTTTATAAAAATATTCAATAATTTTATATGTGCTTTATAAACCAATTGTTTTTAATTACTTAATATCAAAGTTATTAATATTCCTAAACTTTTTTCGAAATCATCCAACTATCATGTCTTTGACTATAAAAATAGCATACAAGTCATTCTAAAATGTAAGAAATTTTGAAATATATGTTGTTTTTCTAAATTTATTTCTTGAATATTGAATTGAATTTAAATTAATTCATTAGAGAAATAAAATAACTATCATTATGATTTAATGATTATAGATAGAAATATTCATTAATTAAATAGAAATAAAAATAGATAATCTCAAAAATCCTATTTATATTTATAATATCATCAAATAAAATAAATTTTAAATGGGAAATGCTTGATGATAATTATGACTTTAAATTCATATTTGGTCAAATAGTTATATCTGAATGACCAATTTAAGATTTTCCTGATATTGAACAATATATGAGAGTTATACTAATAATGTATTCCAATTTTGTTAAGGATATTATTGGAGACACTAAATCATTATAGTATTTTCAAATTATAAAATGAGTAAGAAGATATCTTAAGCAATCTATGGAAAATCCAAACCAAAGAAGACCAAATCCTTACTTGATTAATAGTTAAAATCATTAAAATAATCATAAATAAATAATTGATACATATCATATTAGATCGCCTTCAAAAACAGATCCAAATCAATTTGATTAAGTCTCTAAAATAGCAAGCATACCTGAAGTAAATCAAGATTTAGAACAGGAACAAATAAAATCAGAACAAATAGATTTTTTCTGGTAGGAAACCAACTTAACCAATTCCAAACATATAATCTAAAATTTAGGATCAATCTAAAGGGTAATCTTTGCTAATGAATGATTAACAACCATATATAATCCAATAATAACACGCCCTAGACTATGGTTAATTACCATATAAATAACCTCTAATGAAATAAAATGATGTATTAAGTGAAAGATTCAATTAGCGATATTGGATTGCAATTGATTAAACTAAAAGATGAATCTTAATTTATGAATAAAGAAGTAGATATATATATTGAATAAATAATATAGTTATAATGCTTAGTCTATTGAAAATAACTTAGATGTTATAAGCTTATAATAGAAAATAACTAAAATTTATTATTATAAAATTAACGATATTATTTGTGATATTAGTAATAGGGAATAACTTAATTATATTATTTTTTTATCTTCATATATTTTGAAAATAAAATAAAATGTCAACAAAAGAGGATAAACAATATTTTAAGACAGGAGTAGTAGGATTTGTGTTCATGTATTCAGTGCTTAAATTTGGCCATTACTTTAACAATAATCGAAAGACGAAGAATCAAATAAAAAAATTGAAATCATACCCAATAAAAAATGTATCCGAAGTAGTGAAAGAGGCTTAAAATCAAACCAAATCAAACATCTGCTTTATTGAAGGAATTCCTCAATAAGGATCTCTACATTCTACATTTAAAAAAATTCCTGTAATATTGCGAATTTAATAAAGAACATCACTCTTTTCATGTGATTCCTTCTTGGAGCCACGAATAAAGTTTGATTGGAAGGAGTAAAAAAATATTTAAAATATATAGGGCAAGTGTATCATCTGATTATTAAATAGACAAGCCCCCATATTTTGCTTTGAAGGATAAATTAACTCAGAATGAAGCCCATGTATCTATAAGAGATGACACAGATGTATCTGCAGCCTTAATGAGTTTTGGTTTCAAGGATGAAAAACGTTCATTGTCATTTGCAGAACACATTGGAAATTATGCAACAATTTTCTACTCCTCCATATTCAGAGTGTTTGGACCTATTGCCCTTACTTAAGTGCTATTTAGGGATAGCTCATTCAAGGGAGTACATATAGGATATAGAGACAATGAATTTGGAATAAAGGCTGACGGATTGTTGTCAGTATTGGGACAAGCAGTATACAATACAGATACAAAAAAAATAACTATTGAAAATCCTTTGGCATTAACCTTGTCTAAGAATAATTACATCTATTAATTGGAGAAGAAGTTGTAGGAGAATGGAGTGGCTATTAACTTTTGGTTAGTTTTGACTTTTCTTAGTGGTTTGTATGTTAGTAGAAGGATATATTTGTATAACAAAAAGCATCCCAAGATATTGCAGAAGGTGATTGCTTTTATCAAAAAACATGTCTTAAGAAGGGGACAAAATATTGAGGGCGATGCTGCAATTAACCAGATAGCGAAGCCATAGGAGAATTTGCCTGATGAAAAGAAGGCGTAGGCAAATGAAACAGCCACAGCATTTTAATGATATATTAGGAAGAATTTTATAAATAAAACATTATTTATTATTTGATGTTATAAAAGTGGGCAAACAAATTTAATTTCTTTAGTGGATTCGTTTTGGGTTTCACGATAACTTGGATGATACCTAGGAATGCATTTGATTAGATTGCTATGAAATATTATGATATTGTGGATGAAAATTGATATAATATATAAATTTGTGAAAATGCATTGTTTATGCAAAGAATCACTTATAATTAAAAATAATTTAGCAATAAATTGTCACAAACTAAAATAAATAATTTTAATTAAGTTTCTTTTAATAATGGAAGAAAAAATAACATCCATAGTGACGGATGATAGAATAGATGAGATCTTTCATCTGAATGCCACTAAAGAGGAGTTGATCATAATACTCAATTACATCATAATGGACTATAAAAAGTTCTCAATGACAGATAAGATCTTGTTGCAATCATAAAAATTACAGAAATTAGCATTAGAAGAATGTGTAGAAAATCGACATGTGTTTCTTTTCTTGCCAGGAGTAAAGAATTCTATGGACATCAAATCACAAAAAGAAGTCAGATATACATATGAACCAAAAGAAGGAAAGATTTTAAAGGAAAAATATAGGAATGGACGTAAAACTGAATCAACAGAAGTCACTTATGAATAAATTAATAAAATGTTAGGATCCTTCAATCAGAGTACAGGTGCCTTCTTATAAAGCAAACCTAATTTCGCTGAAAGTAGATTTATAGCTCCTCTTTTACCTTAAGAGGAGGTGTCAAAAAGAGAGAAGGTCTAAGTGAAAGGAGGGCAATTACAATATGTGCAATAGCCCAGAAAAAATAGACCTGCTTTTAAAAATTATACTGCAGAAGAAGTCTCGAAACATAATAAACCAGGAGATGTATGGACTGTGCTGAATGGCAAGGTGTACGACGTCTCTCTCTACTTAGACTACCATCCTGGGGGAGTCGAAAAGCTGATGCTCGGAGCTGGAAAAGACTGTACTAAATTATTTAATTAATTCCATTCTTGGGTGAATGGACATGCATTTTTGGAATAGGACTACATAGGCAACTTAAAATATTGATTATTATATGTATAATGATATATAATTTCAATAGAGAAAATAAATTACCAAAAACATAGAAACAACAACTGCAGCAATAAATAATTTTGTTTTTAATGCTCTACTCTCTTGATCTTATCTGACTTATGTTGCCTTGACTAATATAAAATTAATTTACTGTTCTTTTCATTTGACCTGCTTGTTCTTTAAAGTTTTAAGTGTTATGGACTAAAATCGAAATTTAATCGTCTCTTGCTAAGATTTCGTCTAAAAGCATTATAATTATGGATTACCTAAAGTCAGAGACATTTGATTTGCTACATCTACCAATTGGTCTTTTAACCTGGCTATTTTTTCTTACTCTGGATTACTGTTATAATGATCCTGGAAAATAGCATAATAATATTGATACCATCTTGATCTTCAAGCACTCTTTAAATTAATTTTGCATCCCATAATTAACTGCTTGTTTTCTAACATTTTCTTTAAATTGCTAACAAAACTAGTCTTTGATATCTTCTAAAAATGCAAAGGCAATAGCCTTTGGCATTAATGTGTCTGCCAAACATAAGTAAGTGAAACCATTTTAATTGATGTAATGGATCTGATAACTAGTATTGATTCCAAATGTACTCATTACTTATTATCGTAAATATATGTTAATCGAGTCTCCCTTTATAATTTTTCAAATAGTTTATTTGCTATTGATGGGAAATTGCTGGCTTTATTTTCATAATCAACTAGGGTTGTATCCACTCCCCTTGCAATGACTGCATAAATCAAGGACATAGAAATTATAAAATTATTTAATAATGAATATTCGAGGATTCAAGTTCTTAGTCGAAGCCACAATCATAAATGTTTAGATAAGCGTTCAGTTTAATTGTAAAATATAGGTCATTCTAAAAAGAGGTATACCATTTCATTCTTAATTAATTCAAAAAGGGTCGTAAAAATTGGAAACTCAACCTACATATGAATTGTAGAAAGGAATTGCCATAATCAACGAGTCCTTAAATTGCACTATTTCAGTCAACTTGGGTGCTGATGGAAAGTTCGAAGAGAAGAAAACTCAAATAATAGTCATTCTGGTCACTGATAAAGGATAAAAGAATGCTGGAATGCATAACATGAATTTATCGCAATATCTCAATCAACAATAGTTTGGTATGAGGATATTCACTTAAAATAATTAGAATTTTAAGAAGTCTTGCCATTAGAAAAATGCCCAGATAAAAATGCTAAAGTTGTAGTTAACTTTAAAATTAAACAGATAGGAGAAATAGATCAGGAGTAATATTAAAAACATAACCTAGATTGGAAACTACAGATCAGTCTCTTGATACTTCCCAGGTTTCAATTTAAACACCAAAAAAGATGATGTAGGAACTAAAGAATGACAATAGTGGTATAATAAGATCAATTATATTAGACAAAAAGAATCAGGATTCTGATCTGAATAATTAGATTTAAAAACTTAAATTGAAATTAAATGATATGGTGGATAAGGAATTCCATCAAGAGAGTATTCTAAATTATGAATAACAATTGCAAGAATAAAATGCAAAGCTAAAAACCATCATTAATGAAAACACTATGATTCATGCCCAATTAAAAGCTAAGTCTTTTGTTATTGATTAACAAACTGATGAGATTGCTTAATTGAAATCAAAATTAAATGAATATGAACTCGAGAACTAAGGAAATTACAAAACTCAAATTAACATTTTAAATGAGAAAAACATGCAATTAGAAAACTTAGTCATTGAATTAAAATAAGAAATAAATAACCTGAATACCATTATCTAGGAAACCCAAAAGGAATCCTTTAATTCTAATGAAAATAACTAAATTGAACAATTAAATGAGGAAATAGAAAGCTTGAAAAAGTAGGTTAAGGAAAAAAATGAACAAATCTAAAATCTAAAAAATCTAACTTCAGGAACTATTATGGCATTATAGTAGAGAAATGAAGCTTTGGAAAAACGATTGAATGAATAAAAAGATGCAGTAGAAAAACTTAAAAATCAAGACGTATTTTTACAATTTAGAATTAGTAAGCAGCTAAAGCCATTTCTAGCAATGACTCAAGTATCTTAGTTGAAGAACTGTAGTCGGCTTTGAGCATTAAGAAATAGGACTTTGAGACTTTACAATAGAAGTACGAATAGGAATTGGCAAAGAAGGAAGAAATTGTATAGAATTTATAACATAAATTGGAAGAATCAATGAGAAAGGAACTTGATACTAGTAAAACAAGTTAGGATTCTAAAAATTAAGCGTATTAATTAGAGAAATAAATTGAAGTGTCAACAAATCAGTAAGATAAATCCAAAGTAGAACAACAAATGGCTAGGCTAAGAAGTCAAGTCCAATAATGGCAATCCAAATGGGAAAGCAACCTAAAAGTACTTAGCGATTACAATAATGAAGTCTAACAGATGCAAAGACAAATTGCCGATGTTCCATCTTTCATTGACGATCAAAAGGAACTTCCCGATCAGTTACAATCATTGAAAAGAGCAATATAAAGCAAGCTTTAAGGCTATCAATAGTCATAAATCTCCTTAGAGTAGAGGGTTCAATAGTTGTAATAAGAGTTGGAAATTTGTTAATATAAATTGAAATTGGAATAAAGTTAATAAGTAATATAATAATATCTATGGAGTGTTCTGATTCCTAATTCCAAGAGTAGATGCATGCTCACAATGAAGAAACCTAACGATTGAACTCAACACTTTAACAGTATAACAATATAATACATACTTTAGGCAGTCAGACGAGTTGAAAGAATTGCGTCAATTATCTGAACAGTAAAAGCAGTCAGAGTTGGATTTGTAGAAACAACTTGAAGAGACTAAGTCATAGTTGAATACCGTTAGGTAAAATATGATGAAATGTAAATAATAATTGGCTGAGGCCTTACAGGAGAAAGTATTATTATAGGCTAAAATGGCAGAGCAACAAAAATCGATTAAAGAAAAGAATTCAGAAATTCAGAAGAGCTAAGAATTGATCGCAGAACTAGAGTAATATAATATTCAAATGGAAGAGACTATAACCACTACTCTTGATTAATATAAAATACAAAACTAGCAGACCAAGCAATCCTATGAAAAAGAGAAAAAGTGGAGACAAGAACTCTCAGAGTAAATAAAGGTACTCAAAGAGGAATTATCAAAACTTCAATAAGGATTAGGAACTCAATAGAAGGTAGAATAAGAAATAAAATAATAATGTAATTGTCAAGAATAATTAAAATAAAATTAACATTATATTGAAGAATTATAATAACAAATAGCAGAATTATAATTATTTAAATTGGAATAGGGAATATAAAGAAATAGCATTGTATAAATAAGAACAAGTATTTATGCAAGTAGAAGAAATTCCTTAATTTAACCATAAGTTGACGATTTAAATAAAAAAGATGATGCTTTTGTTAGTTAAAGAAATGTTTAATAAAATGATATTGGAAGAATTCAGGAACTTGAAGAATACATTAATCATTTAACAAATGAGAAAATTAAAGTATCCAAAGATTATTAAAATGAAATAGAAAGAGTACTCTCAGCAAATGATGAATTAGATAAAAAATGCATAAAATTGTTATAAGAATTAGAACTTAGTAAAATAAAGATTGGAGATATATTCAATGCAGCAATTGAAATTGGAGGAACTCCACTGGTCGACAAACTTTAGATTGCATTTGGTATAGAAGAAGAATGAATATATAAATAATTAATGATTTAATAAATAGTCATACCCAAATCAATTTATTTCAAGGAAGGCTCTTATTTTCTCGTCATCAACGCAAAACCAAATTCCAAAGTGAGTCAAATAACAGGCATTTCAGACGAGGCTGTTGATGTTAATATTGCAGCACCTCCTAAGGATGGTGAAGCTAATGCTGAATTATGTGATTTCGTTGCATAGACCTTAGGAGTTAAGAAAACAGCTATCTAAGTATAAAAAGGAGGCAAGGGAAGAAATAAGCTAATTAAAATCGAAAGCAAGTTTAAGGATATAAACGAATTTTATGAGAAACTAAAATAAGGATTGTGATATTAATAGAAATAATTTTGCCCAAAATATAACTTCAAAATAATTTTTACTATTTTAGTTTTATATGGAATTCTAATGTAGCAATTGTTATTAAGTGAGTAACAGATTTGTAATATGTTTTTGTTTAATATTTCATTATTATTATTAAATACCGCCAATTTACAATGAGCACAATTAGTAGAGAGGAATATGCAAAGAAAATGAGATTAGCTTTATCAGACAATCATATCTGTAAACCTGAAGGAACTGTTAATCATTAATATTTCTTAGTCAAAAAAGGCTAATATTGGGCAGAGGAGAAAATATAATTCCTCATAGAGTAATTAGAAAAAGTTGGAGTTGGAAATTGGAAGTTAATGTAAAAGGGACTATTAGAATAAACTGTAAGATATTAATTAGATTTGTAGAGTGATATTGAATTAGAATTGAGGACCTGCTTATTATTTAAAACTACAGATATTTAACCATATATGGATAAAAAATTCACAAAAAATGAAATCAAATCAATTGCTTAATAGAACTTAGAAAAAGCCTAGTAATTAAGCAAATTGAAATATGGAGTATTCGTTGTTTGATATCATATATATATTAAGAAATATACGATGTTATAATTTACTTCTCATTTCTTTGCATACTTTACTTTGAGTTGGCATTCAGGAGTAATTTTAAAATTGCTGAGTCCTTTCAAAGCTACAGTAGCTTGGTCATCATTTTAATATTCAACAAAGGCCAAGCCTCTTGCGGTTATTACCTTAATTAAATGAATAACCAGGATATTGTCTAAATAACTCCGATAACATAATTTCGGTGACAAATGGTGGTAATGATTCTATCAATAACACATTATTAACTTCTCCTTAATTGAAAACAGTATTGTTATTCAATTTGTCTTCTAATTTTTTTTATTTTCTCTCTTTGGCCAAATCTGTTGGCAAAGTTGGCTGTAATTCTTTTTATTATTTCTATTTGTAATAAAATTTGCCTTCCATTCTATCGAAGATTACGCTCTTCTTATATGCAAATTCAATGATCTAAATAAATTGGCAAAAATACTAGTGGTTTGTCATAGACCATCATTCCAGACAAGGCTGATTTGGCATTGGTGGCATAAGTAATATTTTAAAACACAATAAAAGCTTGACCTCTTAATTTTTATGTTTTTTTCATTACAATCTATAAGACTTCTCCAAATTAGGAAAAGAGAATGTATAACACAAATTTTAAGTCTTCCAATTTAATTTTATCATTCAATCCACTGACATAAAGAGTTTCTTTGGGTGCTGAGTCCTAATTAATTTGTTAAAGAGGATGAAGATAAGGCTAATTCATTAATAAAATCAAATTTATATAAATATTATCAAGAATTAATTTTTGTTCATCAAAATCTCTCAAGAACTAGAATTTTAGATGAGAGCAAAGTTTATACGTTGCTTAACTTTGCTTTTTAGAATATAGAATTCAAATATATGTAATAAAACAAAGAACCAAGTTAATTTTAACAGTTTATTAGTATATTTGAATGATTATATCAATAATTTGAATCCCAATTTTAATCTCTTGCTTTTTCCTTTTTATAGGGTACACCTATTGAAATTGATTTCCTTTGATGCCAACTTGTTATGAATAACAGCCGACTGGATATCTTTCTCTTGAATCATCCTAGACTTCTTCGGTAAGAAAGGAGGCTTGAGTTCTTTATCCATCAATTTATCCTAAGTCAATTTAAATCAAAAAGTACCCAGTCAAATTTATCAAACCAAGTATTGGCCTTAAGAGAAGCATAGCCTCCACCCAAACGAGCCTCTGGTGTTTTTGATAGTAATTATTCAATAAATTTCTTTGCCTTCTTATCCTTCATAAAAGTGGGGAATGTAATTGACTTTTTTTGAATTTCTTCATAAATTTCATAAGGATCATCAGCATCCTCTGCATAAGGCACTCCACCACACATAAATTCATACAAACACACTCCAATTGACCAAAGATCAACAGAGAATGTATATCCCTTGCCTGTAATTATCTCTGGTGCCATATAATGAGGAGTTCCAATGATAGTATATGTTCTAATTGATTTCTAATTCAAAAACTTGGCTGTTCCCATATCTATCATTCTTAGGTAACCCTAATAGTTCATAATTAATAAGATACCTTTTCATCAACCATTATATTTTCTGGTTTGATATCTCTGTAAATAATTTATAATTTATGCAAATATTCTACACATATCAATAATGATCCAATATAAAATTGGGAATCACTTGTAGTCAACAATCCTATTTCTCTAATGGCATCGAATAGTTCCATCCCCTTAATAAATTCTACCAAGAAATAAATGTAATTCTGATCCTTCATACTTTTATAAAATTGCATCAAGAACGGAAAGTTAATGGTTGACAAAACTTGTTTTTCTTACTAATATTATATAACAGTTCATTACAGCTAAATGCCTTTCTAAATGCTGTTCAACAATCTGAGCCTTGCTGATACATTTCAAAGCGTATAATTTTTCATCTTGTGCTGTTCTCACCAAATAGACATTCCCAAATTACCCCTAACCCAATTTCTTGATGCAAATCAAATTATCTAATTTTAAATTTGAATAATCTTTCTTTTAATATACATTCGTCCTATTTAGATACTTCTATTCGTGTGAATTTTCATTCTTCTGTATCATCTGCTCTACACTACCTCCGATCATATCAAAGAACATTTTAATTTCAAATTCTGCAATGATAGATTCATCAGTTTAGACTTAAATTGTTTCAGTGACTTTATTGTCTTAACCCTATGATTTCAGAAACTACTCTCCAAAGATTTTGCCTTTACCCAATACTAATTTTTTTGAGGGCATCTATAGACCTTATAATTACGAAATAAAGTGTTACTGTCGCTATTTCTCCTTCTAAGATGATATAAACCTTAGTGCAAGGCTGTCCTGATTTAATAATCATTTCATTCTTCTCATAATGCACCTATCTAATGTTTTACAGAATCTTTTCAATCTAAATTGAAGTTAGCTTTCCCAACAAAGGACTCTGTTGCAAGGCCCATTTTTAAGTGTTAATATACTTAACAGTCTATATTTTTTAACCTAATATTCTCTGGATATCATCCTTGGACAAGGAGAGACATCTCACTTCTTCTTCGGCTGCCTTTACAGTAGCAGCTCTTTAACAACTTTAATACAAGGCAGCTTCACCAAAGGATTCCCCAGCATTCATCTAAGATACTTCTTTGTCTCCCTTGATAATGGCCACCTTTCCCTTTTTGATTATATAAAATGAATTGGCCACATCACCTTCAGACACTATGATTTCTCCCTTCTTAAAAACCGAAGTAATTAACACACTAGATATTGCGTCCCTTTATTCTTCCGTTAAAAAAGCTTTAATATTAATTCTTCATTATTACAAAAAAATTCAACTTTTTTCATGAATTCCCTATTTTCTTCATAACTTCTCTGATTCTGTTACTCGACCACCTTCCTAAAAGTGTTTCGATCAATGGCCCAAAATGCACAATCTAGTTAATTGGTTAAAGTAAGTATGTACCTCCTATGGCTTTGACACTGGCACTCCTGGGTGCATTGTAGAGCATGGCCAACTCACCGAAAGCATCTCCACTTTTAAGAGTTTTCTTGAGTTCACCGTTAATTATGATTTGACACTGTCCTCTCTCAATCAAAAAATATGAACTGGCCATGTCTCCTTACTTGAATACGAATTGACCGTCAGGAACAGTACAATAAAACATTTAATCAACCACGTATTCTATGTCACTCTGAGGCACAGATTTAAAGATGAAATGCTCATTGAAGGCATTTAACATCAACTAATAGTCGAATGGGGATTTCCTCTTATCAAGTTTCTTGACATTTTCAAATATTTCCACTGTATCTGAGACTGCATTAATCTTAGCCTATTTCTTTTTATCACCACGTTTTAGCTAATGTAAATATTGATGAGAGTACTTCAATTTGCTACACTTCTTAAACCTGTTAATCTTCGTCTCCATCATCATCATTTTGCTTATGAGTAGTCTTCTTGGAGACGGTGGTTCCATTCTGTTGAGGGATAGTGATGCTTTCTCCTTTTTTATTCACGTTCTCACTCCTGCCTGATATAAGCTCCATGTTCTCAGAAGTATATTATTAACAACGACATGCATTTCCCATTTTTTAAATAAAATACAATAAAAAATCAATATTTGTTACACTTTATGAAATATAGTTTCTGTATTTACACCCAGAACTAAATTGCCAAACAATAATTCCAATCTTTATAAAAAAACGATATTTAAATTTAAGATTTTGATATTCACATCTAATCACAAATTATAAATAAGATTTTCTTTCAATATAATATTCAGAATAGCACTAATTAGTTATTCTTTGCCATTTCTATTTCAAGAGTGTGATTCTTACAGAAGTGGCTATTTCATTAATAATTTAATAAACAAGATATTTGACACATCTATATTAATGAATAAAATTCCAAATTAGAAATTATCGATGAAATAAATAGCTACATTTAACTTTGCTATAAAATTGGCCTCATCCGCAATCTTACAAAACATTTTTTGATACATACAATAAATTACTTATTATTTAGATATTTAATTTATCACAAATTCACGTAATCAAATAAAAAGGGATGCTTACAGATCAACAACAGATAGGGGTAAAGAATGGGGACGATTACGATTTTTTTTATAAAAAAAACAATAATAAATTTTAATTACATATAATTATAATAATAAATGTAATTTAGAAAGGAGAGAGTGAAACTCCATGGCAAAACAAACTTTGAATATCGATCCTTGGGTAGAAAAAGACCTGATGATGCAGAAAGATTAGAGTTTCTGTCAACTGCAAGAGAATAAAAATTTGACGAAGTAATTGCAAAGCGATTAGCAGCTACAATCTAAAATCCTCTTTCTCAATCTTAAGAATTTTATAAGAGTGCTCATAAAACTATAAAACAACATCCCCAAATAAGCAGACCTAGGTAAATCATATAAAATAAGAAGATTTGCTCATCTTGAGGAGAAACCAAGACGAAAACCAGTTTGGGTTGGTGATTCATATTTAGTATACACAGATGTTGATGGAAGAGAAGAACAAAGATCTAATCAATATAGATCGTATTCAAGTAATAGTATTTTGGTATGTCAGCTACGCAAAAAGCTGATCTTGCATAGGCCAAAAGAGATGAGCATGGTTAAGCAATACAAGAAACCTAATTAGTGGGGATGGAGGAATACGCTAAGAACACATTGGAGGGCAAGGTCGACTTAACAAAAGTAAAGGAAATTAGAAGAGCAATCAGGAAAGAAGATATGCAAATCGAAAGAATTTTCAGAAGATATTTACACTGTGGGATGAAGAAGGGAAGGGCAAGGTTACAGTCAAGAACATCTATCATATGATCAAAAAATTAGGCTTAAATATGAATTTAGATGAAGTTCGAGTGTTGGTTGCTAGTGCTGATGAGGATTACAGTGGAGATTTGAATCTGGATGAATTCATGAATTTGATATTTAATGATAATGAGGCCTTGAATGTTGATTTGGGAAAGTTGAAGACTCTGAATGGAGAGTAGGAGCAATAGTTATTAGAAGGTGAAGATGATTAAATACAGGATGTGTTGAGGGAGAAAATGCAAGTGCAGGTTGAAAATAGACAATTCAATTAATTGAGTTTGATATTGAAGAATAAGTTATCTCAATTGAATACTTCATTTTTGGAGTTGGATCCATCGAAATAGGGACATGTCAATTTCGAAAGATTTAGTGAAGCCATTTAGAAGTAATTCATTATATTGAGAATAGATTACAAATATCTGAGAAGATTGTTAATGATGAAATAATCAAGAAGTTTTATGATAAATTTAAGAAGGATGAATACTAAATTGATTACAGGAACTTTCTAAAACATTTGAAGGAATTTGAATTGCAAAGTCAATATGTGTAGAAGGAAGAAAAGAAACAAAAACCCGTTATGACAATCTCGTTGAATCCTTTATAAGAGGAAGAGAAGGTGCATATTTTTGATTGTACTAAAATCAATTCTCATCACTTAAATAATCTGAGATAAAGAGCAACAAGAATGATTAAGGTATTGTAAAGGTATCTACCTGAAAAAAACTAATTTGTCGATAAGATTCTGAATCCCCTCAAGTAGCAATACATAAATGCACCAGATCTCACGAATCAATTGCAATCTTATCTATCGAATTGTGGAGAGAAGATTGACACTAAAGATCTAGGGGCATTACTGTCCATACTTCAATATAATAATTTATAAGTTCCCAAAGACATGGTAGGGTTTTATGTCTATGAAGAAGGAGATGATGACTTTTATGAGAGATGCTCTTAGAAAAGAAAAGGTCCTGCACCATTAAACAAGGCTGTGGAATTGACTCTGCCTGCTCAAGAAACTCAAAAATCTTCATTCTATGATCCAGGATTTGGATTATCATCTTTATCTAATAAATTTTCACCTGAAATGGGTCAAATGTTGCAAAAAGTAGAGTAATGCATCTTTAAAGCCAGTGCTCGACAATATGATGTCTACAATTCATTTGATAAGGATAAGGATGGTAAAACTTAATTCAATAATAGGTTACATATCTCATGAGGATTTAAAAAAGAAACTGTAAGAGTTGCATATTTTATCAAATAATGAGGAATAATTACTCATCCATTATCTGGATCCAGAAATGAAGGGTTCAGTTAATTTTTAGGAGTTTTCATCCAAACTCTATCCTGGAATGACATTGTACGATAGCAAGGGATGTGTGGGAGTGGTGCCTTCTCTATATCCTGCCAAAGAAAGAAATGAAAATATGAAGACTAAATTGCCTCAAATAACACGTTCCTTTGAAGATACCTCGTCTAGTATGCAATTATTAAAAGGGGCCACTCGTTTTGGGGCAACTCCATAACACAAAAATACATTTTTAAATGTTCAAAGGCCTCCTTAGGATTCAGCTCTTTTTTTAAATGAGGATGGAAGATTTGAAAAGAATGCTCGTTTAAGATATTTGAAGGAAGATCAAGAGAAGGAGAAGAATATTTATGAGAACAAATTGAATAGAATTCGAAAGCATTAGAATGAAATTCAGGAGAGAATCGAATAGAACTATTAATAGTCAGTTATAAAGGATAATGAAAAGTGTAAGGCCAAGGGTCTAGCAGCTTGGAGTTATGAATAAAGAGCGCATATGCAAAACGAATGGAAATGATATATTCTTAATACATTTTAATATTATTTGATATAGATTTAATAATAAGATTACACCTAATTCTATTTTCAAATTGCCACAATTAAAAATACTAGAATGATAGATGTAAGTATCCCTTGATAAATGTCAGTTATTGAAGGTGTGTTGATTACCTACGATTTGACACACTTTTCACATTAAGATGAGGCTGTGTTCCATTAATAAGTATAAAGACTCTTAGAGTAACATCTGCTTTATGCAAGTTTGTATGGTTCTTCTTCAATGCATTCGCTTTAGGTTTTCTAAATACACACAGTAATTAAGGTTTCGTCGAAGCTCAGAATTGGAGAACAATCTGGACTATTACTGCAGGTAATGGATTTGCAAGTTGTTACTTCTGTGTTATTTTGTTTAGTATAGTCAAAATAGCAAACTTTAGATTTCTTAGAGCACGCAGTGAAATTATCATTGGCATCTTCGCATTTAGACATCAACGAACAATTTAGACCATCAAAAATGCATACACCATCAAGTCCATCAGATTCACATGCTGTCTAGGTAGTATAATCAGAACATTTTTGTTTCTGAAGACATTTAATGCCATCTGAGATACAGCCAGACTTTAATTTCGAACAAGCTGCAGTTGTCCTTTCCTAATAATCTACGCAATCTTTAATCCTGCACAATTTGGAACCAGAGGGTCTATTTAAAGGGAAAGTAAAAATGCATGGTCCATCTATGCCCTCATAACAGGACTATTCAAGATAGTCAGAGCATATTGATTTACTCATGCATTTAGTTCCATCGGTTGTACACTTTAGTTTGGGATTGAATGATGAACAATATTCGTATGTCATTTATGAGACTAGAGGAACATCAGGACATTACTAAAGTCTGCAAGTAGCTTATTCTGAAGATTAATCCCAAAAACAAGAACCATCCTTTCCATCTGAGTTACAAGCGATTTTGGTTAAATAAGATGAGCAATTTCCAATTTGTATACATTTGACACCATCAGACGTACAAGTATTTGAGTAATATTAACAATCTTCTTTAGTGCTTCCAAAAATATCAGAACATTATTGAAATATTTGACATCTTTGCATTTAATCAGATTACCCGATTACCCAACCACAAACTCCATCTGTACCAGTATTACAACTAATAGTATTAGTGTATTGAGCACATTTGGATAAGGGCATGCAACTATCACCATTACTAGTGCATAACTTAGAATAGACTTAGCATTCTGCGAATGTGGTTTTTTTGATATCTGAACATTGTGAAAAAGTCATGCAAGAATTGGTTTAAGTAATCCAAAGACAGGGACGACCTTGATAATCTTTTGTGCATTTGGATTTGATGTTAAGATTTTCACAAGCATATTGTTTGCGAGTACATCCATAACCAGCTGTTATGCATTCTGATGATATTGATTTACAAACTGAATCTTCTGTATAGGATATAGGTGCATCTTCACACACTTTGTCTCTGCAACTATTAATTTCCCAAACACATTTTTGTAAATATCCTAAGGAAATGGCAGTGAGACATGTTTGTTTGTTCAAGTATTTGTTACATTGATTGATTTCAATGCATCCATTTCCTGTTGTTGTGCAACTTGGATTCAAGGCCTAACAATGTTCATGTTTTTTTAATAGAACACTTGCATCTGAACAGACCCAATCTCTGCACTTTTGAGTAGCAAAATTCCAACTGCATTTCATATTGGCATTATTCAAACATTAAGAATATTTAGTGATTTGTTAACATAACTTTGTATTATTTAAACAGCCATCAATATACTAGCAATCAGATCTTACCTTACACAAAGATTTCGAGGCTAACATTTCACATCTATCACTATCAGCACATCCATAACCTGTAGTTTTACATCCAGATTTAAACTGATTGCATTTCTCATCTGTATTATAATTATTTGGCGCATCTGAACATAACAATTTCTGACATTATTAAATAGTATGATCAATTCCTTTGCATGGTTTATCCAAGGCATCAAACAGAATACAAGTATTAGCACTTCCATAGAATTAAGAGCAATTACGTTTAGTCAGACATTAGAACCCATCACTTACACATCCTTCCAAAAATGAATTACACACTACATCATTGGTACCTCTTGACAAGTGATTACACTCTCTATTTATACATCTGGTGCTACTGGTCGCATCACCATCATTCCAACATGGCTTTGTACCTTTTTCCCCTTTGAATCTACTACATAATGCTTAAGTTCCATAATAACTAGAACATGGTTGTGTATCTTCGATGCATCCGACTCCTTTACTGAGACAACCTGGCATGAATTTATTACAATCCGAATCAAGAATGGCTTTGGTATTGTCAGAACACTGTCTATCTCTGCATGATTGAATATTAACGAGACTATCCGAATAGCATAATCTTCCATTTCCCTTAAATGTAGAACATGTTTAAAGATTTCCAATATAACTAGAGCAGGGTTCCAAATTAGAAATACAACCTTTGCCATTGGTGACACACCCATCCATAAATGAGTTACACGCAAGATCTGTAGTAGATTCTTAATCATGGAAACACTCTCTCACTGAACATTTTATAGATAAATTTGATCCTCTGCATTTCTTTCCATTACCTACAAATTTCAAGCAACTGGACTAAGTGCCTTTATAAGTATTACACGTTTATGTTAGTTCTGTACATCCTCTACCAGTAGTCACACATCCCTTTAAAAATAGATCGCATTAAACATTATTCACAGCTGTCTAATTATCTGAGCATCTCCTGGCCCTACATGTCATACTCGTATTGTTTGGATCCTAGAAACAACTCTCCCCACTTAGAGTAGTCACATTTAGACATTATTATCTGTTGTATCCAATATATTGTGAGCATTATGTCTAAATATTGATGCATTTGATTCCATCATATGTACAACTTGGAATGTACTTGTTACCAACAGTTTAACCGATATATTATTAACATACGTCTAAACTATAAAGATTTTATCTATTAGAACAGTCCTTTAATATGCAATTACTATCCATTCCTTAATTATTTCTGATATCATACCAACATTATTTATTACTAGCATCAGTTAATTAAGTACATAACTAATTGGAAGCTATGTATTTATTGCAGTTCGCTGCTGCTTATATACATCTAGTACCGTTATATCTACATGAAGGTAAATGCTTTAAACAATTTTCTATTGAAGCATCCTTAATGAAATCATCGCATGTTGCATTAATGCAAATACTACCCAAATCTTAATACCAACAAGACAGATTGGCTTTTGTTTTAACTTATGAACAAGCATCTTTGGAAAATCCAATATATTGAGAACATGTATCCTTTGCATCTTAGCACTTAATTCCATAATATCTACAAGTACTCAAATGATTGACGCAATCCTCAGCAGAATAGAATGGCAGTGTATCTTAACAAGTTCTATTCACACAAGTTGAACTTGCTTCCTTGTACCAACAGTACTCCCCCTTTTTGTTTGTGACTACCTGACAAGCACTCAGAGTGAAATTAACATAATCAGTGCAGTTATCCTTTTCATCCACACACTTATTGTCACCATCAAATCTACATGACTCTAAATGATTTCTACAAGCTGAATCTGAAATGGACTAAACTTCATCACTACATTGTCTATCTTAACATGGATCGTTATTATCTTCAGATTTCCAACAATTCGGTAAGAATCTACATTCACTCAAACTCAGTGTTTTATAATCACTACAAGTATTCTATTTCTTAGTGCACTTTGATCCAGTATAAATACAACTAGAATCATGTATTTAACAAATCTCAGTTGAATATTCTGTCAATACTTCTTAACATGTTCTTTCCTTACACTTCCCGTTAATATCAAACCAACAACCTTTCCCTACTTTATTTTTTGCCTCCTTGCATCCCTATTCAGAAAAACCATTATATGTTGAACAACTGTCTTACACCTCTTCACACTTATCAATCCCATTGAAAATACAGTTTTTTCTGTAAGATGTGCAATCCTTTTACGATTTAACATTTTGTGCATCTTTACACTAACGATTGGCGCAATAGAAATTTATCTCTCCATTTGTGCATAAATCCCCATCCACATTAACCAATATTTGGCATTATTCTTACTAGTATCCATAATAATAATCACAACTATCTTGTTTTTCTATGCATTTTCCACCATCAAAAGCACAAATAGACAGGTATTCTTCACATTCTTGCAAAGACAAAGGATTTTATACATCCGAACATTTACGATCTTCACAATAGTCTATTCTTACACATTGTAATCCATTTCCCCTATATTTTGAACATGTATCCTCATCCCCTTTATAAGTATCACAAGTTAACTCTGCATCTTGACATCCCTTCTCATTGAATACACACCCTTGCATGAACTTATTACATTCCTAATCATTCTATGCGTCAACATTGTGACTACACTATTTATCTGAACATTAACCTGAAAATCCTTAATCATACCAACATTTCTTTCCATTACCAACAAATTTAGAGCAATCATCTATTGAATTGCCTAAATATTAATTACAAGGAGCTGTTGATGCAATACATCCAACCCCCTTAGTTACACATCCAGATTTAAACAAATTACATTCATAATCTTCCAATGCTCCCTAATTGTCATAGCATTCCAAAGGACGACAATTACCAATTTCTCCTAGATTTTGTGAACATTTGCTATTCAAAGCATGACACTATTAGGAATCTCCATAAAATTCCTGACATTCTGCATTTTAATTAACACATCCATACTTCCCAGTAAATTTGCACCCCTCTAAAGTCTTATCACAATCTTATTGGGATAGAGCAGATTAATTATCTTAACACACTGTGGAACGGCATTTTGAAGTAGCAGAATTGTAAACACATGGGATTTTACCATTATTGCCTTTGTAATGTGTGCACGTATCTTCATCTCCAAAGTAATCTTCACAAGGGGCTGAGACATCCACACAACCCAAACCACTAGCAACACATTTCCATAGAAAATATTAGCATTCTGTATTGGTTCTGTATTCCAAACCTGCATGTTTGCATTATTTGTCAACGCAAGCTTAACCGTCCCAGAAACATTCAACATTTGATGAGTGTCTTAGACACATTCCCTTAGTAGAAAAATACTAGCATTGATTAGTCACACACTATTCAGTCCATTAGCATTTATCACTTGCCAAACAAGATATCTTTTATAGAGTGTTAGGACAAGTGTCACTCTAGACGCACTTAGTTCCATTACTTAAACAGTATGATTGAACATTCTTGCATTCTTCATTAGTTTAAAATTTAGCATTTTCACAAGCATTTACTGCACAATATCCATCCGATCCTTATGCACATTTACCATCTATTCCGACATACATTTTACATTTAACAGCATCCCCTTTATATTTATTACAATTCATCAACAACTTAGTACATTCCACACCATTAGAAATGCAATTATATTAATAATCTCCACATTCCCTATCCGTTGAAAATTGAGCATCCGAACAAACCTTAGCATTGCATTATGAAGATTCCTCATAACTTGGACTAGTGCATTTCCCATCTGCCCCTATTCTTCTTTCACACTCAGATCTAAGACCTCTATAAGAACTACAATTCAATAGGATAGAAACACAACCAATCCCTGTTGTTTTGCACTTAGGTGAATAGGATTTACATTCTTCGTCAGTTGAATACTTATTTGGTGCATTTTCACAAACTCTTGCTTAACATTTACCCTTCGTTCCTTCTTCACAATAACCAGTATTTCCTATGTATTTCAAACACTAATCACCATCTCCTGAGTAGGTGGTGCAGGATTTCAATGTCTAATCTGTGCATCCAATTCCTGTAGTTCTACATCCTTTTCTAAAGGATTGACATTATTGATCGGTATAATATGTCAATGGAGCATTAGCACAATCCTTAGATTAGCATTTGTCATTCTTTGATTCACATTAACCATCACTTCCAATCATGCCATCGCAATCTTTGTCATAATAATAGCAATTCACTCTTTTAGTTACACATCCTCTCCCACTTGTAACGCATCCATTGATAAAAGAATTGCAAGCTTAGTCAGTATTCAGATACTCCGGAGCCTCTTCGCATCTCTAATCTCTGCAAGCAGTTTTTTCCCAAACGCATTTCTTTGATCCTGAGGAACTTGTGACTGTACTACACAAAGGTTCACTTTCATTTAAAGAGCAGTCCCTTGGTATGATACACTGTATTCCATCACTTGTACATTACATACTTACCTTTTAACATTCAATATGAGTTGTATAAACATAGCTAGTGCACCCACTAAATTGAATGCATTTTTTATTGTAGTATGCACAACCGACTTTGTTTATACAAACCTCCTGTGTCAAATCTTTGCAATAAACACTCTCTGGTTCAGTCTCGCTTATTGGCTCATCCACTCTCTCTGCACAAGAGTTGCTCTTCCATTGACATTTGACATTTTATAAACAATCATTCTCTGATTTCAAATCCGTGCATGAACATACCTCGGAAACCTTTATTTTGCAGTGAACTGATAACATGAAACTCAGCAGAAATAAGTGATACAAACTATTACTCATTGAATTTAAATTAATATTTATGAAAAGAAGAATTGTGTAAATATTGGGGGTCTAAGGCTATCCTGAATTCATCTCGGAACAATTTCAGCAGCACTATCAAAAACTATTGTTTGTGTAATCTTAATTGTGTAATTAGAGACCATCAGAAAATCCACTGCATTTACAAAATCAACTTACTCTGTGTATATTTCAAAATTATCACTAATTCTAATTGTTAAAGAATTCCATTCGAATCTTAGAACACTCATAGATCCCTCATTATGTAATTGGGATCGCATGTCCCCCAGTTGATGATACCCAAGAATAGGAAGTAAATATATCATTCCAATAGTATCTACAATTCAATGTTATTCTCATCGACTCATTCTCATTGTAATTTTGTGAATTGGAAGAAATAAACCAAGACAAGCCAATAGATTTAGCTGAATTGAAGGATTTCAAAAATTCATAAAAATGCTGTATTATTTCTTGAATTTTATATAAATTTAATTTTTGTTTCAAATGGACCTAGAAAAATACTTAGCGCAATTCCCAAATTCAAATACAAACCTGAATAAGTTCATCTAAAAGGATAGCCTCAATCTATAATGCACCTACATCCCACCAGTGGCTATACTCCATAAACCACAACAGAAAATAGATTTCTCAGATGTTATGAATTTACTGCAAAATTATCAAAATTATAACACACGCGAATTTCGATAAAGTCATATTGATTTTGACGAGAAAACTTGTACTTGTTATATTTTAATTCAGTCTATGTCACTATTCACGATGAAAAGAAATCCATTTTGAAGGACGGAGACGATAATGCAATTGTTATTATTAATTCTTAAAATATCATTACAGTTGGTATTGTAGATTCATTTTCAAAGTCTAAAAAATAATTCCTCTAAACCTTATATCTTTTTGATAAATTGAAAAATGATAATTATAAGTAATTGTTTTGATTCAATATTATATTATTATTCAACTCTTTTACTTCTAAAATTGGAAAAGATACTATTTTTATAATTAAATTATAAATAAAATAGGAATTTGAAAAATAATTACTAAGAGTGGATGTATATTTTATAGTTTATGACTCTTTTAACCATTTATTAACTAATTACAATTCTACATTTATGCTTATTTTGTATCTATATTAATGATTTATATTTTTATCAAATCCCATGTCTTAAAAGTATTATTATTTATAGACTGTAATTAATATCTTTTTGTAAATTTAAACAAGGTTAATTTTATCATTGCAGAAGGATTTGTCTAAAATTAGATTGAATCTTTCAATTTTTAAAGTTATTTTATAAATCCTATAGTTCCATTATTCTCTTCTTTTCTTTTCTTTTCTTTTGATATTCATTAATGATTTATACTTCTCAATATTATTTTCAGTTGCCTTTGATAAAATATATTAATTTAAATCTTTTAAGTAGAGTGACACACCGAGGAGGTGAAGATTAAGTCTAAAGTGAGGGGGAATCGATAATTTTCTTTATTCAATAAGTGAGTTTGTATTATATATTAATAAATTCCCAAAATATTATGTTGGGAAATTTGGGTGTATAAATATGCAGAACAACTAGTAGCCAGTTGCCTGCATAGGATCTCGATTAGACCTACATCATTTAAAGGCATGTCGGATAAGGAAAATACGGGTGATTTAATACTCTATTAAGTAGATAGGTCTTTAAGGCTCAAAACAAATTGAATAAGTAGATTGTTGCCTTAAAAAAAATCAAGCAAGAGAAGGAGGCCAATGGAGTAAAATCTATTTAAGTAATTAGTTTCCGAGAACGGCAATGAGAGAAATTCATTTGCTTTCATCGATGAAGCATGAAAATATAGTGAGTTTCAAGGAAGTTATTGTTCAATCTAGTAAGGAAAAAGCAGTAATTATGTATAGAGAGCACTTTTCTGGTTTTGGAATACATGGACACAGACTTGCATAATCTTTTGTAGAGGCGAATAGTATTTGGTTTGGATTAAGTTCGATGTTTGATGTATTAGATACTAGATGCTCTTACTTATCTGCATTCTAGGAATGTGTACCATAGGGATTTGAAGCGTATCCACAACTATATTTTAAAGCTAATAACATACTATACAACGACAAGGGATAAGTAAAGATCTGCGATTTTGGAATGGCCAATGAATATTCAAAAAGGAGACCATAAACCAAGCGAATATTGGTTCCCCAATACAGAGCTCCTGAAATCTATTTGGGCGGTGTATTTTGCTTCGTATTTAACAAGAATAGCAGTACGATTGTTCGGTTGATGTGTGGTCAGCTGGCATCCTCTTTCTTGAGCTAATAGTAAAACAAAGTCCCTTTGTGTTGGCAAAATCGGAATTTCAATGTTTTGCTAAAATAATAGATCTTTGTGGAACTCCTACGGAAGGTTTGAATTTTATTTTTTCTTTTATGGTGATTGGTCAGATGCGAATTCACTTCCACATTACCATGAATATATCAAAGGACCCAAAGAAAGAACATTGCGAAAGGTACTTGCACGCTCAATCAAGTGCCCCGCCTTAATTAATCGATCTTATTGATAGAATGCTCACTCTGAATCCAGCAAAGAGAATCAAAGCCTAAGAAGCATTGAAACACTAATACTTCGAAAACAGGATCTTTGTCATGTGATTTATTATATCCCTTAAGGCAGGATGCCCAGAATAGAATAGGATGCACAGCCACCAAAGGACCCTCCCATTCAAAAGAAGGTAAAACAGGAGCAACAAAAACCTTTATTACAGGGTATCAAAATTAATAAATGTATGTGATTATATATTATATCTATATAAATATTAAGTTAATTAAGAATTTTTTATTAATCAACTTTTTGTTAGGCAAGACACATTTAATTAGTTGGATGTACATTTAATTAGTTAAATACGATAACAAAACACTTTATATTATATAATAAAATATATATATAAAATAATCAATTGTCTTCTTCATCCTTATAATCAGGAAAGTCTTCCTCATCTGCATTGGGAAATTCCTCAATGTTGTCTATTAATTTTGGGACTTCAAAACAAAAAACATCCTTAATTAAAATAAATACGTTTTCATCAAAATCTTTTATTGGTTGAATAAATTCTATTTTGATTCCGTCCTCATGATACTCAGCTTCTAAACTTGTATGTGGTTGACTTGATTCTCTCTCATTTTGATGAGACAAAGTCTTAAACAATTTGGGATCTATCACAACATACTCAGTTGAATAGTTATTCATAAAGCCCTTATAGAGATCCTCTTTGAACCCATCAGTATTGAATGCACTTTATGGATATTTCTTTATGTATTTGTGTTAGTAATCTTTTAATTTAGATTCAAAACTGATGACCTTCTAAACAGTATTTTGAATAGTACTCAATTTGTGACCGACTCCTGCAAATATTAAATTGGGTTTTACCTCTAGTTTGATCTTCATGGCCATCCTATTTATAAATGCTAACTCCCATTTTCTCCACTTGATCTAGGATGATCAATTCATCATCCATAAGATCCTTAGAAATTTGAATGTCCTAAGACAATCCAATTGAACTCTAAGATTTCTCAGCTATTCTAACATACTCCTCAATAGCCCCTATTATTCTTGTATCAATTCTAGCTATCTCACTTGTATTGATATCAGAATATCCTTTGATGTAGAGTCTGGTATTTATGAAATTTACGAGGACTTCATTGTTTTTCAGAAAATGATTGTATAATTCTTTGAATTGTTTGACCTCATTAAGTGGCATTTTGAGCAACCTCTCAATCAGAATGACAATCAAAATGTATGAGTTATAATACAAATTTAGCATTGTAAACAATAGCAATTAATAGACATACTGATTCAATCGGTATTTTAATAACCCATTTCTATCGTGTATAGATATCTTATATTTAGATATGATTCTTACATCAACTATTTAATCAAATAATTGTTATCCTTTATTGAATTCCTCGAAAATATTTTCAGCAGATTATTACTTAAAATAGTTCTTCTTCTCTTCCTTAGGAGTGTTGAAACTTGATTTCTTGATTGAGTACAGAGTAGCCTTCTTCTTCAAATAGAGGTAATACTTTCTAATGAATGAATCCATGGACAGACTTTCTATTAGGTTTATAAAAGAATTACTATATTTGGGATCTCGTTCAACATAGTTTTCTACATAATTGATATTCATATCTGCTATGTCTGAGACAAAGAACCTATACTCAATGCATCTGTCTAGGATAATTAAGTTTTTAATGATGTAATTCCAATAGATTTTAGATTGCGATGATTCCAATTTGGCTAGGATTGTGGTGAATCCAACTTGAGGACGTGTTTCAGGATCCTTGCCAGAAAGTGTAAGCATTATGGCTAATAATATTTAAATGGAATACCCTCGATGTCACTTTCATTCGGATAATAATAATCCCCTTTGTAGGTAGCAGATAATCTAGCTTTTTCAAATGTCGAAGTACCTCCAAACTGTACTATATTACGAACTAAATTAGTAATCATTTTATAAATGAAATAATTTAGAATATATTTCTTAATAATCATTGCTCTAATCAATCCTTCCTTCTCCATCTACTAGACCCTATTACTTTCCATAAACATTTGCTTAATGCTGGTCAATCAATACTTAAGTTATCACAAATATTTTAACATTCAAAAATTGGACAATGTGATGATTTACTTAAAATGGATAGCCATGTACGCTTAACTATCTCAGAGTTGTTCACAACAGCAGATATGTGCTCAACTTATACTGCTCACTGAACTTGATTTGTTTATCAAGACAATAATTGTGATTGGATCTTCAATTAATTCGGTCTTACAACCAAATATTTTTGAGTTTTACTTGACTATTCCCTACATGATATTGATCTTAGGTGTGATGCTATATGATTATTGGAATAATAATTAAGAAAAACAAAATAGTAACATTCAACTCTAATAAACTAAGTTTATCAATCTTAAATAGTAGTCAAATTAATTTGATAGATAGTCTTCTTAATTATAGATCCAAGAAAATGCACTCAAGTCTCCTGATTTAGAATGTTAAGATCAATAAAATAGTCCAATGGTTCTAGACATGCAATGCAATGAAGAAGAAGATGTCCTAGCACACATGTATCAATATCTATAACCCAACATTTAGGGCATGGATTCACAATTAATCTATTTTAGTCTATAATCAAAATTTCGAGATTACCTACTAAAACTTTTACTTGGGAAAACTTAATAATCTCCAAAGTAAAGGGGTGAATCACGATTACGAGCAAGTCTTTCTAGAATCTGTGATAGAAATCGGAAGTAGGGAAGTAAATGATTTATTTGGGAATTCAGAATTAGACTTAGACTAAGAAGAGTATTTCATTCTAATATCACATTCATTAGTTCCTTGATTTTAGACAGCACTGTACATAGTCGATATAAGATAAAGGGTGGATTACACAAAATAAGACAGATGATAGCTGCTTTATTTAGCAATTACTAAAAGTATGACTACATCATTTAATTTTAAGATGGAAATTCTTTACTTTTACTCTCTTCAAAATAAAAAGCAACGAACTTGATTTCAGGAATATTCAGATTAAGGTGTTGGTTACTGAAGTGAAATCAAAGCTATATACACTCTTCATGTTTGAGGCAATGCAAAAGGTGTCTTCAAAAAGAGTGTTAGATGAACCACTTCAATTTTAAAATGTTTTCTAAACCTTTCTTTCTGAATCCAACAATTACATCAATGTTATACATTTGTTGCTTCTTCTTTGTTCACATGAACATGAAAAGAATGCAGGTAAAATTTCAAAAGAATACTTAAAACAAATGAGAATGAGCACTTAAAAATTTATGATTTTTCTTGGAACCATGAAAGATCTAACTCTTTAACTTACAAACCAATTGATTTTCAGAAATTCAACATTCAAACTTGCTGATATCCTGGATGAACTCTAACTCATTTACGAAGATTGCTTAAAAATTAAGGAAATTTCAATCGTTCCAATTATCGATACCGATATGATTGTGTTCAATGATTCAGATCGTGTATAACTATTTATATTATTTAGACAAAATAAATTCTGAAATGCCTTTTCGAAATAGCTATTAAATACACTGTCACTTCCAAAATTAGAATAGATATTCATCAAGTATCACCAAACAATTATCAATTTTAAATAAAAGACATCCCCTTTAAGGAAGAAAGTCAAAAGTCATAATATCAAGCAGTTCTAAGAAACACAGCCTCGTTAATGAAAACCAACTGCAAGGATTTCGACATGAGTAATCTATTGGAATTGCAAGTTTCTGCGATTCTAGCCTTTTTACTTTCTGGATCTCTTCGTAAACCTTTAGAATTGAGCTTGGATAGTCACTTCTAAGGCACTTTCACATTTACTGTTGAATCCCTTCCAATCAACACTAAACATGGTTATCTTGCTTAACAAATCAAACCTAAACGTGCATTTGAAACATCACTCTCCATGCTATTGGCCTAAGCTTAAGACAGTTCTCATTACAAGAATGAGGAATCTAAATACATGTCTTTCACTTAGATTTCAAAGCAGTACTCACTAAAACCAGATGTCCCATTTGATTTATAAAGTGCTCATTTCTCACAAATATCCAAAATCAAATAGGAGTCTCCTCAAATCAAACCCCTTTAGGCTCATAAGCCTCAAAGCAAATTCAGGTGGAACTTACAAAATATAGGATTCCCTGTTTCCAAAAAGTTTGAACACCAACAACCCATCAAAAGTAATCAAGAGTGATTCTGCAGTCAATGAATCTTCCAAACCTATGACTAGTGCTTTGGATTTTGGAGAAAGCACCAATCCAAATATCGACCCTCCAGAGTTGAGTCCTAAGTTTCTACATTCTGTGATCAAGTTCAAATTAACTAATCAATGCTGTTCAAAGGTCATAATTGCAGACAACGATTATTTGAATGTTTCCGTTCTTTAAATCCTACTCAATAAATATGAAGTCAAGTCTGATAAAGCATTTACACAATAGTAAACTCTTTAGCTGATTAAAAGCAAGTCTCTTAATCCCTGCAGATGCAAAAACAGCTCCTATTTATTGTATTTTATTGATGCCTCCTTGCCAGTATGTATTTATGCCTATATAGCAATCAGCTGTGGATTTGATAAAGGAAATAAAACGACTGTTTAAATCTTTGCAAGTGGACAAAGGCTTCATCATTGCCATGGCTAGTTATAGTGATATGGATTTGAAGTTGAGTTGTTTCAACTCTGGAATCGATTATTTCATCACTAAACCTTTCGATCTGTTTGAGTTAACTGCTATTCTTTAGTATATATAATTTTGAAACAAATATACCAGCAATTTGGTTTCTATTAATTTTATAATTATTACACACTTCTCTTTAAAAACACAAATGTACAAAGACCTTGACATCAACGAATTAGAGAAGCTAAAGAAGGAGGAAGCCATGGTATCTCTCAGAAAAGCCACAACCAACATAAAGGTGAGTTATTGTTATTCATCCAATAGGAAAGGTTTGGATAATCTAATTATGATATTCTGGACGAGGAGTTTAAATCGAAAACTATTGGATTAGTTACAAGGGAAGAATTTAAAAGGAAGAGAGAGAATATTGATAGGATCTACGTTTAAGATCTTAAAATTAAATAAGAAGAGGAGGAGAAGAAGAAGCTGGAGTTAAAGTAAAAGAGGAAATAAGAATATAAATTGAAAACTACGCTGTTGAGCTTTGATTAAGAATAGCAGGAGATGAATGAGAAGAGAAACTACGGAAAGGATATAAGTGTAGATACATTATATCTACCAGATATGAATAGAGAAAAGAAAATCGAAGAGCTCACTAAAATATTCACTGGTATGTCTACTTTGATCTTATTAGGTATTAGATGAATACTAGAAAAATATGGAATTATAAAAGGATTAACTTATTGACATTATATTTTAGTATTGGGATGCTTAAACTTGTACTCGAACTTTAAGAATCAGAAAAAAGACATCAATCAAGGAATTTTTGGAATTGGCAAGAAAAGAGATTATAAGAGATTTCGGATTTGTATGAATCAAACACTTAGTTTATTTAGTTGACTGAGTTTAGTCCTGATGATTTACTTTTTGTAGCCAACGCAATGATTTTGCCTCACAAACTTAGTTTTCATGAGATTATCGCTTATAAAGTTAAGAATCGATCAGGAAAACCAATATTCTCCTTTGAATAGAGAAAGGTAATCAAACTATCATTTATTTGATATGTGTAGGTTCAGGCTAAAGGAAAAGAATATGAAGTGGAAGTCGAAAATTCAACTACTTGTAGGATTATTGAAAAATTCAGATATGAAAAAATCAAACATATCTATCCTTGTTCTAAATGGGAAGTTGTTGATATTAATAAGTACTAATGAAAACTATGATGAGTGATTATTAAATTTAACGAATAAATTTTTACTAATGTCTTCTGAGCAATAACAATAACAAACGAAATTGCATAAATTGCAAAATTATTATCATCAATTCCAAAAGGCTGAAATCACTGGAACTTAATTGAAATCTCAATTATAAACTAATTTAAAAATCAGATGGAATCCAAATTTAGAAAATATCATTCATCAAGTAGATCCGTCATATACAGATTTTGTTAGATCAATCAATAAAACCAATAAGTACGTACCCAAATAAACAACACCTAAATTGACTGAATAAATCAATTAACCCAAGAAAATAAGAACAGAACATATGTATTTTATAAATAAATTAAAATAGAGGACATGCAGATTTACTTAAATGGGATTGAATGATGAGTAACTTAAATATATTTAAATACTTACTTATATCAATATTCCTATTTGTTCTTATTGAAAATTATTAAAAAGTACGTTTGCAATAAAACAGATTGGTTATCTAAAGTGGTTTATTGTTTTTTTTTATTTTCAACTTATAAAAATAAATGAAAAATCATTACACTCCAAAAAGTTCAGAAAGATATGGTAAACCCACTTAGCCAATTCGACATTCACTTCCAGTTGGACTATTCTCAAGTCAGAATTCTCTGTTTGCTTCCATCCTCAATGTAAAAAACAGAGAGAAAAATAGTATAAGTCAAAAACAGAAGAATTCTTAAACTCGTTTTGAAATAGCTACATAAAGAGCTGAAACACCCAACAATCAAAATCCATCCATACCATTTACGACGAAATATCATCTGAGTAGTCAACCACAAAAACAAAAAAAGAAATCTAATTTAATAAATAAGGAATCGTTTTAATCAAAAATATCAAATCTTCTCTGCTAAAATAAAAGTGCTGATTTCGATAATCTGAGTTCTTAAATTAAAGAAGGAGATGATTAAGAAATGAATAAAGTTTTCAATAATCTAAAATGTGTGAGTCAATAAATCAATTGTATAAAGCCTAATCAATTATCTCAATAAATTTTATCTTCATGGCAAAAAGTGTTGACTTCCAATTGTGAAAAATTGATAGAATTTAATCAATAGAAAAAGAAATTCGAATTGGGATGCCCACCATTAATTAAAAGTGATAGTTCCTCATCCCAATTTTACAATGCATCAGGTCTCAATCTTGAAAAGTTGTTGGCAGAAGAACGAAGAAACCGTCTTATGGTTGAGGAACAGACTAGTAAAATAATATCAAGTCAGGAATCTGAAATTAAGTCATATGTAAATATTCTTCCTATTCTTAAGATCGAGAAAATCAAATAATTAGAATAGAGGTTAATCGAAAAGAATTCTTGGCAAAAATGATTATAAGAAAAAGGATGTGTATAATAATATTATTCCTCAATTTAATTTAATTTGAAACATTAATATCTATAGCTAACATTTATGTCGAAAATTTAAAAACAAAATACTGTACAACTTAATTTATAGAATGTTTAACAGTTTATTCCTACCCATTAAAATTAAGTTGGACCTTAGATCGGGAGCAATTCGCCTAAACCTCCATTATACTCAAAATTAAACAAATCACCAAAAGGAGATAGTTCATTTAGAGTAATTTCACCGAAAATAATAATTAACCAAACTAATTCATAAAGATCAATAAGCAAGAGCAGTAGTCCGATAGAAAAGCAAATGTCTGAACCAGATAATCTTCATTACTTAGAAAATCAAAATGACGCAGTAATTGAGGATAATTAAATAAATGCTCCAGATGTCTAATAAATACATTAGATAAAGTAAAAACTAATGAATATGGGCGATGAAATATCAAGATTTCATCTAGTTGACATTAATTTAAAGGTTCTCAAAAAATGGCATAATGAATTATTATAAGAAACTAAAGCGATGATAAAGTTAAATAAAAATGTCATCAATTTATCACAAACCAAAATAATATCCCCAAGGCCAAATTAAGTGAAAAAGGTTTCAAGCAATGAATTATTAGAGAAATTATAAACTGAATAAAAAAAACGATTAGATGCAGAAGAATAAAGTGGTAGAATACTCTAAGATTAAGAGAAGTACATTTAAGTTCTGGTAAACTTTTGTAAATTATGTTAGAATGAAAAACTGTTTCAACTTGAATAATAGTATTCAAAAAAGAAAGCCTGAGGTATGTGAAACACTAAATTTTGTCTATATAATGATAAATTTTATTTTATAAAATAAGTCTCAAAATGAATAAACTAGAATAGAAAGCTGTTCATTCTTTGCTTCAACTAGCAAAAGAAGAAGAAACAAGAAGTGAAAGAAATTGGGAACCTCAATCCCCAAAGCAAAATGATTTTATCTCCCCTTAACCGAAGAGTATTAATTAGCATAGAAAAAATATAAGAATAATTCAAAATCATAAAGCAAGACAAAAGTCTTCTATAGAGATCAATCAAGATGATGATTAATAGCTTTCACAACCTTCGCAAAAAGAAAATTCACTGTAATAATTAATTGAAGAGTATATGAAATAAATTCGACATACCCAAAGATAACTTGAATCGATACACCAATCAAAATTCGATTTGAAATCTGGCTGGGTTAATTTTAGTTCAATAATTCTCGAAAACAAGGCAAAGGTTACCAAAAAAAAACACTAAAGGTCTTCATTAGAATTATAAATAAAAGAAAATAATCAACAAAAAGTATAACAACAATACATACAAAAAAAGACTCCGCTTCGAAAAGTATTACTTAATGATTCTTTCTTTTTGCCAAAATTGAAGTCAACATATCTAAAATGATTCATTTTATATTTCAAGTTTACTCAAATCCCTTTCTTTTCTTCTTCCCATTATTTATTATCTAAAGGACATGTATTTTTTGTTTTAAGCCATTATCTTATGCAATGTTCATGATAAGCATGTCCACATTTTCCTTATTGAGTATTGCAAATCTCCTTTTACTCCTTTCCTTCACATTCAATACATTTTTCCATTATATGATTTTTACAAATAGCACAATGTTCAACCTTCAAGCTCCAAGCTAATACTCAAAATGTTTTATATACACCAAAAAGCAACAGGGTACCACTTTTTAATCTCAAATCTTCCCTTCTCCTCTTATTACATTATTTATTAATAAAATATTTAAAATATAGTCTCTAAAATAACACTTCCTCCTGATAAACATATTCTTTAATAAGTTATTGTTTTTAATTTATACACTCATTTCTTCATAATGATTTTAATATATGCTCTATCGTATCAAATGCCTAATTAAGTTCTGCTTCATTTATTATTAAGGGTGGAGTTAATCTAATAGATGATAGAACATAAGTACCTCATGATAGTCTTATGAGTAGGTTTACAAAGAAGTCCTTCTTTTGCCAATTTCAAACAGAAATCCCATGCAACATCTCCTTTTCCATCTTAAAATTGGATGGCTCCCATTAATCCCCTGCTCCTAATTTGTGTGACATTGTTGTATTTCTTTAATGCAACTAATCTTTTCTCCATAACTTTGCCTAAATTATGAGCATTTTCAATCATTTTTTCTTCTTATAACACTTCCAAGGCTTTGATGCATAGACTGGCTGCCAAAGGATTGCCACCATAAGTGGATCCATGTTCTCCAGGTTTGATTTGTAACATAATTTAATCATCAGCCAAAACAGCAGATATAGGATAGAATCCTCCTGATAATGCCTTTCCCAACAACACCATATCAGGTCTCACATTTTCCTATTGAAATATTACTAACATTTTATACATGCTCAACAGCTAACATTTTTCCTGTTCTGCCTAACCCTGTTTAGATTTCATCAACAATCATCAAAACATTGTATTTATCACACAATGATCTTACTTATTTCAAATAATTTGAATCAGGAATTATTACTCCATTTTCACCTTGTATAGCTTCAAAGAAGAAGGCAGCATAGTTTGGATTAGCTTTAAACTTGGATTCAATTGCATCAAGACTATATAAAATATTTTATTACTTATTGTAATCAACAAGGTCAAAGTTTAATCCTCCAAAAGGTCCAAATTTATTATATCTTTCAGGATCATCACTACTTCCGCATGCAGCGATTGTTCTACCCCAAAAATTGCCATTTGCAAATAGAACTCTTGCTTGATTTTCAGGAACCTTCTTTACGTTGTATGCCCATCTTCTTGCAAATTTAACTGCTGATTCTCCTGCCTCTACTCCTGAATTCATAAACAACACTTTATCATATTTGAATAATTAGGTAATATACTTTTCAGCCTCTCCTAATTTATTGTTATAAAATCTATTTGTTATATTATTCTTACGCTCTAGAAGTTAAAGTCAATTAAGAAGCTTATTTAATTAATTCTTAATAGATCTTGTCATGACAGTGTCCTTGATTGACTGCTGAATATGCTGCTAAAAAATCCATATATTTCTTTCCTTCTTGATCCCAAACATAAATTCCCTTTCCTCTTGAAATCACTACAGGCAATGGATGGTAATTATGACATCCGTATTGATTTTCTAATTGTACGAAGTATTAACTATTTTTAACCTGTGAGAACTTTCCAATCGATTTGAAGATAAGATTTTTCATTGAATAAATTAATACGTAATATTTTGATAATTAAAATTTCACAAATTAATATTTAATAGTCATAATATATGATCTTAATTGTAATTGACGAATTTTTTCTTATCTTCAATATACAGGGCTAGAATTTCCAATCCTTAAATGGGCAAAATGGAATTTGTAATCTCATTTGGTGGAAGCAAATATAGAATGCTATTTCCAATATATGCAACACCAATCTTATTCTTTTCAGAAAAATAATCTATATATTCTTAAAAGGCAGCATTCTAATGAAATTGCTAATAATTTAATACCTAATTGTAATCTGATGGACACAGTATGAATTTGAAAGCTTCGTTTGCTGATTTTTTTGCATCAGTAAAGTTTCCCTTATAATTCACTTAGATTTGAGGAGCCATGGCAATAGGTGCCTAGGAATATTGTTAAATATAAATTACTTCAGGTTCTTAGCATTTGGCATCCACTCCAACCTTATGACTCTTGCTTCTAAACATAAATCCACTCCAAAATGTATCCCAATCCTATCTTTATTGTTATTATTATTATTATTGTTATTGTTATTGCTATTATTATTGTTATTATTATTGCTATAATTATTGTTATTGTTGTTGTTACTGATTAGTATCAAAATTTAAGAATCCATCAAGAATTTCTTGATTGCCATTTGGATTCAGTTTGATTTTATATTCTTGTTCCTAAGGATACATTTATTATTAAGGAATATTAAATTAAGTTAGATCTACATATTGATGCTACATTCTTCGATCCTGTTTAGGCATAATCAATGGTTCTATGGGCTATTTGTACATCACTTGTTATGGAATGAAGAGTGGTTGATAACTAGGTTAAAATGGTTGAGTAATTGGGGACATCATCATCATATTGTTAGGAATTGGTTGCTGGGGAATCATTTGGATTGGTTGATATTATTGCATTTATTACTATGGCTACATGGGCATCTTTGGGAGGGATACAATTCCAACTTCACATTTTGAATCACCAAGTAGATCTACCAAATGTTATTATAAGTAGTTTCTTATTTAGAGGGCTTGTTTTGTGTCTCTGAATTGTAGAAGAGTGTAGGACTTATAGTTTGGATCTTGTTGAATGTAATTCCATAGGAGAGGTCTGCATTATTGATTCTGACATATCTTTTATTTAATGATTTAAAAAATTACTTCAAACAAAAATGCATGATCAACTTTTTTATTTAAATTAGGAGGAAAAAATATAAATAATACTGATGAAAGTTTAGAATGTTACTCATTTGATAAACTAAAAATCCTAATAAAATTTACTTATTGCCAACAATATTGTGTCTTTTTATAGGGTCAGAAAAATAAATTTTTATTTAAGTAGAAAATTATTATTAAATACTATCCATTTTTTAATAAGCAGAAATAGCTTAATCTATCTAAATTCAAATAAAAAAAGTTTATACAGTAAAAAATTTTATATAACTGTTAAATATATTATGCTTATTAGGATACAGATCAATCCTCTCTATAGAGCCAAATTACGAAAAAATCTATAATTTTCACATTCTATTACCTATCGAATCTTTAATTCATCATAATTCTTGGATATTCCACTAACAAACAATTCTCTAACGTAAAGTTGAATTTATATCTTCGGAGACGGCTCCAAAGGAGTAATAGGTCCATTTGTTAATACTTATTTATTTTTCTCTTAAGATCTGGATCGAGAACGAGATTTGCATTTAGTAATAGCTTATTTATCAATTTAAGGTTTCACAGTCCAATCTCCAATTCTGCCATCTTGAATTGCCTTATCAGCTGCATCATTATCAGCAAAGGCAATAAAAGCATAGCATGAAATATGTAAAGGTAATCCTTTTGTGAATTAACTCCAATACCTGTAGGTGTTTTTCTGATGATCCTAATGTCGATAATATTTCCGTAAACTTAAAAGGTTTGTTGTAATTATTAAGTTGTGACATTTAAAGGTAAGTTGGAGACATGGATTTTTTATCTAGCAGAAATAGGTTGAGCAGGGTTTGGAACAGGTAAAGGATATTACGTAGGTGAATTTTGAAATTGAGGAGAAACTAAAGAATTATTGAGCATAGAAAATTTAAAAATATTAATATCATTTTTGGTATTTTAAGCTTCCTTTTAAATTCAGGAATAATGAACTCAAATTAAAAATTATAAAAGAAAGTCAATGAAAGTAGTCGGTTCATTTGTTTTTAATGAGAATAATATCCCTTTATTTAATGTATACATATATAAAAATAAATTAAATGAATAACAACGACGAAATTATATAGAAGTTGGATGTGATTGTAGCTAATTACATAAATCAACGGGATCATAATGGTTAACTGCTCACTGAAAAATATTCAGAGACTTATATATATTCTTTAGTTCAGAAACATTTATTTGACTATGAAGCAATTTTTACAGCTTCTCAAAAATCTGTCATTGATGTCTTTGATTTTATAACTTCCTTATTAAAAGTAAGTTTGCTGCTATCCAAAAATAGTTTACTTCAGAACCCATAGAAGATACCTTATTCATTATAGTGTAAGCCATAGATTTCTTCAAAGCCATCTGTGAAGAATATCAAACTTACACAATCAAATTCTCTGACCTCTCAAATTATCTTTGCAAATACAACCCAAACTTGGATGATGTAAATATCCAATCTGATTTTAATAGAAGGACGTTCCATTACAAAACAGAACTATAACTTATCATAAATATCCTCCTCTGAAATAATTCAATAAACCCTAAAGTCGATAAGTGAGAAGCATTGATTTAGAGGCACCCATCATTCTTGGAACTCTAGGTCATTACATAAAAAGAATCAATAAAGATAAGGTATACATAGATTCTTAGAAAAACTAAAACAGTTCTATATTAAGAATGTAATATTAGGAATCGGAACTAAAGATCCTTATTCTCCATCAATATAGTGACTTTATTAGTATCTATAATCCAGATTGCACATTTAAAAGTAGATTGAGACCCAAGGCTCAGCAATTGAGAAATATTATCCATGATTTCTGTTGGTCTGAAGAACAATAAAGAATAGGCATAGTGTTTAAAGATGCATGGATTTGTTTCATGGACTAGGGTGACTAATTTGAATTGGAAAAGTACTTTACAACAAAAGTAGATCAAAATAGAATCTATTATGTCCAAAGCAAATGGATGACTGTAGGTAGTGATTCAAAGATATCAATTTGGAATTTGGAAACTGAGAATAGTAATGTTATATTTCATGATCAAATCAAGAATGTTGTAAATATAGTTGAAATAACATATTTATAATTAGTGTGCATAGCTTGCTAAGATAAATTGACCATGTGGGATCTATGGGAATAAAACAAGCCTAAATTGCTCTTTAAATTATAAGTTAATCACAGTCGATTGAACAACATTGTTTTCTTTTAGGAATACCACATAATCATAACGTCTGGCTTTGATACTAAAGTGAATCTCTATTAACTGCATAAGAAATATAATGATGGAGATTATGTTGGTTAATTGGAAGGTCACAACGCTATAGTTACAGCAATCTAATGTGTAGAGAAATCTCCAATTGTAATAACTACAGATGATCGACTAATTGTGAAATTATGGGATATTAGAATGATGAAATGCATACAATCTTTTGATTTAGAAATGAGATAATCTATCAATTACATCACAGTAATGTAGAATCTATCAAGCGTATGCTTTGCTACTAATCGACTAATTGTAATGGCTTTTGAAGGTCACAATAAAAATCTTACTTAAGCTAAGCCCTAAAAGTAGAGAACTTTACATTTATATCCTAAATAGGTGGAATTAAATGCTATCAAACAATAATTGATGGTTTCAACTAACAGAGATATCCGAATAATCAATTTATCTAATGGATAAACTGATACCATAATAAAGGCTATGATTGGCGAAACTGATGATATGATCAGTCAATTTAAACGTATTATATGTCAATATTCAAAGCAATTCAATAGCATAAAAAGATTGTGCTTGGAACAACTAAGGGGCTTATTAAAATATTTGATACATACTCTGGTGATATAATTAAAGAATACTAGAATAACAGTAATAAAATCACCCATCTATCTATTGATTATCAAAATAGAATAATTTCTACATCATCACTAGATGGTTAGATACATATTTATAAGGAGAATAATTTAAATTTAGAATCCTTAAGGAAAGCTGAATATGCCCATAATGGTATTGATTATTGCTTTATTTCTTTGTACCACGATTTGATTATTACAGCTGGTGTTGACATAGTATGTTTATGGAATTTGGAATTTACAAAGCCAATATCTACAATTAGGACTGAATCAGCTCCAAAAGGAGTTTATATTCTGGATGGTTAGCGCATCATAATTATTGGGTGTAAAATTAACACATACTTCCTCCAATTTGAAAAAAAAGAAGATTAATACTTTTATCAACAAATAGGCTTCATTCCATAAAGTTGTTGTGCATTCATTGATAAAAATGGCACTGTACTTTTAGGATCTAGAAGAGGCTTGATTTGTAAACTACAGTTTAACACAACTAAAAGCTAAAAAGTATAATTTCATCCATTTAGATAAAATTGGGAAGACTATAATGTAGGGATTAATAATCATAAAGTCACTAGATTTGTTGTTAACACTACATAGGAATTGAATGTAGATTAATAATTTGAGGCTCATAAAAAAAGAATTCAACATATAGATTTTATTTCATTGGAGGGTGATAATGTATTAAAGGAAGTTTAATCTAAAGTAATAACAACATCTAAAGATGGCTTTTTGAAGATTTTTGATTATCCATCATTTGAATTAATGTGTGCTTTAAATGTTAACCATGTTTTACCACTAAAATGGTCGATTACAATTGATGAACAAGAAAACCTGAAATTTAAAGTGGCTTTTGCATTAAAAGTAATTCATTTTATTAGATCATAACCTAATCTGACAATTAGTCATTTAAGAATGCTAGAACCTAACTCAATATTTAAAAATTTATTGGGTCACAAGAAATTCTTTAAATAAAGCACAAATGATAACAAAGTCCAATTGTTATAAGACTTTTATGAACCTAGAGATTTAGTATTTCAAAAAGTTAAGGGGTTCTATAAAAGTGAATTATAAGGACTTTCCTTAAAATAAATCGAGGAGAAGAAGAAAACTTTACTTCAAGCGAAAATGTTTGAGAAAGATTATAATGAATAGAATTTCTAATCAGAATAGAAACAAAACGAAGATATGGGAAATAAAGAATTTAAAAATTGGTAGTAATTCCTTAATCCAAATTTCAGAAAAAATGGGGTCTAAGGAGAAATAGAATAGATTGAAAGATTACACATGGTTCACCAATTTGAAAAACGATTAGATCAGGTCTTAACAAAAGAAGAGGATACTAACATCAAGCCGAATGTTCCAGGGAGAAGGTACTCAAAAACAAAGCAAGATATATAAAATAAAAGCGCAAATAAATCTTCAAGGTTTAGATCCACTCTTCCATTCTTTCAATATGCAAGTGAAAGAAAATTGGCATCAATTCCTGCCTCAACTGACACTTCTCAAAGATCGACTCATGTAGGATATGATACTATAAGAGAAGAATATTCTAAAAAAAAAATCTAAAGAGTTTAGTTTTTGACATAAAATATTGGTTAGCTGATTTCAGATTTGGATTAGAATTAAAAAAAGTAAGGATTGGAAATAGGAGAGAACACTATGAGAAAGACTAGTGGATAAGTGTTCAATTAGATTGTAAATAATTTGAATGACAAACTGAGGGATTCAAAGTTTAAGAAATATTCTAGAAGTATGGGTAAACAAGATCTAGAAGGAATTTTGAGTGATCCTCATCTAAAATCTTTCCATTCTAAGCAATCTTTAAGGAAATTGCCATGATTTCAGAATTAAATTAATTGTAATTTATCTCTTATTTATATGATAAATCTTTCCCCATTATCATTCAAAACATCAATTTATTTCATCTTATTTTTTTAAAAAGCAATAAAAACTATTTTTTATATATTTTATTAGATTCAAATGGGTGTCACTTGTTCGTGTCAACAGAAAATTGAAGATGACTATTATCTAGAGGATCCCCCTGTAAACGAGGCCACTTAATAGCAAAGTGCTGATCTTCTGCAAAATGCGGATAAGAACGATGGAAAAGAATAAGATCAATAAAAAGAACAATAAACTGTAGACATAGATCCAATTCAACTTAAATCATATGAGATTGAGGACAATTGTCCCTAAGGTCTCTAACCACTTACATTTTAGGCCTAACAAGAATTTATTGACCAATATCCTGCTATTGTGAAAAAACAACTTTAGAAATTACCAAGACTTGAAATTAAGGCTACTCTTACTCCTAATTATAAAAGAATACCTTTAATAGATACTCCGTAATAACTCTATCTAAATAACTAGATATTAATTATTAAATGGAGATGTTTATGTAGGATAATGGGCTGAAGGAAAACCCTTTGGTTTAGGCAAAATATATTATCTTGATCACCAAGTCTACGAAGGTCAAGTGATAGATGGAATTCCTAATGGGGAAGGCAGAAAAATATTCAAAGATGGCTCGTTTTACACTGGTATTAAACAAACTATAATTCAAAAGGGTAATTTAAAATGGGAGAAATAAGTGGAAAGGGTAAGTTTACAAGATAAGATGGTTTCAAGTATGAAGGTGATTTCTTATGTGGAAGACCGGATGGAAAAGGAATTGAAACATGGCCAGATGGCACTAATTATTAAGGTCAATATAAATTAGGCAAGAAAAATGGATAAGGATCCTTTACCTGGAGTAACAGGAAGAATAAGAAAACTGGCAAATTAGAAACCTATACTGGTTTATTTAAAAATGAAGTGTTTCATGGACAAGGTCGATATGAATGGTAGGATGGAAGAATCTATGATGGAGAGTGGGTAGAAGGAAGAATGGAAGGAAAGGGAGAGTTCATATGGCCAGGTATATATATATAATTGATTAAATTCTTATTAGACAAAAGAAAATATACAGGAAGTTATTTGAAGGACATAAAATCAGGTTTTGGCGAATTAGAATGGCCAGACGGAAAAAAATTGTCAGGTCAATGGAGAATGGGTAAACTAAATGGGGTTGTTACACTTACAATCAAGGGCAAAATTAAGGAAGGCGACACTGAACCAGAACCAGACAAAACCTTTTTATCTGAATGGGAAGATGGAAAAAGAATAAAATGGTTAGATAATCAAAAACCTAGTGGAATACATAGTAACATTAGCCAATTAAGAAATTTTGATGAACATCAACCTCTATAAAACACAAGTTAAATTTTAAAATCGCAAAATAGATAAGATGAGCAATCAAACAATAAGGATTCCTTTTTAAATAACTCTAAAACATAACCATAAAACACAATTTTTTAATAAAATGCAGAAATTAAATTAGAGTAACAACAATAACAATAATAATAATAATAACAATAACAATTTTAGTAATAAAATTAACAATAATAATAATAAAATTATATTAATGAAAATCAAAATAATGAATATATGAAATAACATCAATAGGAAAATGTCGGCTCAAACATAGATGATAACTAATTTTAATAATTTAATGATAACAAGCAATAAAATGAAAATGAAAGCGCATTAGTAAAGAATTTTGATGATCAATAACAGGAAGTTTAAAAAGAGAAAACGGATTTATGATAGCAATCTATATTTGATAGTAAATTTGCGAATTTTTGTAGTATTTAATATTTGATCTTCTTCAAACTTAAACAACAGGAACATAAACAATTAATAAATTTAATATATTTTAAATAAAGAAATATCATTTTAAATTGCAATTTTATAATCAAGATATGCTTTATGTTTTGACTTTATTAGTTGGTCTCCTTGGGGTCTTTTTGGAATCGCTGTTTGCTTAGGTTCTCATTCTTATATTTCTTTTAAATGGCATTAATAAGTTTGGTTTTTCATCATACTATTTTGAATAAAATTATTAAACAAAAGATTTCATTGCATCATCATCAACTGAGTTTAATTATTAGGTTTATGCATTAGTAGGAGTAAATAAATATTATGTTGAATTGAATTCTTCAGCTAAATCCATCTTTTGATGATTCAACTTCAAAAGTGACAGCACTTCTGGTTTTTGTTTAATTTTTTCTAAATCTTGTCCTAAAGGAGCTTATTATTACAAAGCCATGATGAAATTTGCTTCCTTTTCTATATTACTTATTGTTCCCATCCTTCTGAAAGTTCTAGCAGTATTTACTTTATGAGTATTTTCTGTTTTAAATTTAATGTCTTCTTTGACAATAGGATCGAAATTAATGTGCATCAAATCTTATTTGGATCCTTATCTACTTAAATAATCTACAAGAGCATAGAACTTCATATCACCAAATTCAAAGTATTTCTTAGGTTTTGATTAACTCTCCCGTAGTTCTTATGAAATTTATTTTACTCTTTGTAAATAACTTTTACTAAAAACATCCAATTTTGGAGGTTTTAAGGAATCTGCATACTTTTTGACGGCTAGCATTTTTTATAGTAACATTGCGTTTTTCTTTTTCTCATATTCATTGTATTATTTAAGGATAGCCATTTCGGCAGGTGTAAATTTTTCATTCAAATCTGTATAAAAATAAATATGTTACCTGCTGATTCTTTATAACCAACACCCAAATCATATTTCATCAGGAAACCATGCTGCCAACCTTTTTCTCCCAATAATTTGTCTGGCTATATTTTTAATATTTTATGTCCAGGTGGTCCAATAAAGGATTATGTTTAATCGATCTAATTTAATGTGACCCTACTTTGCAGAACTGTTTTCGACAATATTTTCGAGCAGAATTCTTATCACAGCCTTCCTCACGTAATTTAAGGTACATCATGGCGTTGCTATTGTAGGATGTATGAATTCGAGTGCACATAAAAAATATATTAATGATTAATGAAATCATCGTAATGAAGAAAGAATAATAATTACGATTAACTTTTTACAAAATTAGATTACAGTATTAAACTGATAAGAGAATTTGCAATATTTTTAGCTGTTTTCAACATAATTTATTTTTATCTGTATTTTAAATATGATAATCTGTTAAGAAAAAGTATATATATTTTTATGTTACACAAAATTAAAGATGCAGACCAGATCTAATTATTTGTTATTCATATCAAATTAATTAATAATTTCATAAAGAAACTAGTATTTTTGTTATTTTTAAAACCTTCTATCAACAAACCTGAATTATTAATTAAGTGATAAACTTGAGACAGTATAATTTCATGCTATTACTTTATACATTATGCTAATACAAAGATTTAAAGATAATATTTATATTTATAATTAAAAATTATATGCCACCCAAAAAGGAAGAGAGAAAACCGCTGGAACCCATGTTTCCAGAAATCCCCCTATTTTATGAATATATCGATTATTCAAATGAGTAAATGGAATAACTGAATGAATATTTGAATTACTTCAAACCTGAACTCACTGCCATGATGAAAAATAATATTTTTGACAATATGGAAATACTATGTCAAACAATAGGAATATCTCGACATCCATCCTTTATATTGCCAACTCAAATGATAGACCTAAACGACTTTGACGAGAATACAAAATTTAGAAACCCTGAAGAGCTAGATGGAGATCAAGTGCCTTAAATGATTCAAATAAATTCTGTAATTTTGATTATATATGGTGACATAGATAAAAATAGATCTATTTACATTAAGATTACTGGATTATTGCGCAGGTGTTAGCGGATTGACAACAATCAAAATGTCAAATAATGGTTTAACAGCTAGGTAATACTAACAGATGGCAGCAATTATAAATAATCCTGAAAACAAAGTTAAAAAGTTGTTTATTGATTGGCAGCAAGTTAACGAAAACTTCTTATAATAAGTGCAACAGATCGAATTTTTAACATTAAGATCTTGTTAACTAAGTATAAACTTAACCTCAATAATGATTAGCAAATTAGCAAATTCAAACATTAACTTTGAATGTCCAAAATTTAAAATGCTTAGATTTATACGATAATAAGTTATCAAAGGAAGCCTTGAATTTGATAGGAAAAATGTTGGGCTAGAATAGTTTAATGGAATATCTTGGTTTAGCTAAGAATGGAATACAATCCTTTGATGACTTATAAGGAATTACTTAAAGTATAGGGAGATTTCAAATGAGTCAAGAGGAGTATGATGAGTATAAGACAAAAGAAAAAGAAAGAGATGCTATAATTGAAAGAAATAAGAAAGTAAAGAAAAAAGGAACTGAAGAACCTGTGCCTTACTTAGAACCAATTCAGTAAATAGACAATAATTGGTATGTGATCAAGAACTCAAGATTGTGGTTGATAAATCTATCAATGAATTAGATTGACGATTCATCTAGAGATGCCATAGAGAAATTCTTGCTGTAAACTGGAGAAAACTTTTAATTGGTATTGATGGGCAATAGATTCGAAGATTAGAAGGCATTGTAGAAAACAAAAAAGAAGTTTGGAAAGAAATTAGTATTATGATTTTATTTATTTTAACTCAATGAAATCAACCAAAGCCAGACAAGTTACAAATTCATCTCTAATTGAAACTACACTGAACAATTAGAGTATTTCTTCTCGCAAGGTTGTTAAATTGCCATACTTATACACAAAGCATAATCAAGTTCTCTCTACATCAAGGAAACTCCTATTAGAAGAGAATTCTGTGACTATTCAGTTAAATACTTAGAAAAGAGAGTTGCTAAAACTCATTTATGATAGATAGTTAGATGAAGCTATAGATAGTAAGTCATTCTTACAATAGTGTAGCGACAAGAAAATTAGTTTAGTAATGTATAGCCTATGATCTGAATATATTTGGTAAATCGCTTCATATACTGGCAGATATGTATATATCCAACAGAGAATTTGCGAATGGCTTGTATATTTACAACGTACTTAGAGTTTTGGCTGACGTTTAAAACAATTAAACTCTAAAGATTGATGCACTAATTCAAATGGGAGATTTGTGTAAACTATAATAATAGTATCAACTCAGTAAGATATTTCTGAAGAAGGCTCTCTAATATGTTTGGTATTAGAATGACACGGAAAATGAAGCAACAATATATGATTATTTTGGGGTTCTTTATTATGTGTAAGGAGAATTAAGATTGGCCAAAGAATATCATGACAGGGCCATGAATTTTATTAAAGAATCTAATGATAGTGCTGCACGTAAACATGGAATCGAATATGTAAAGAGTTACATTAAAAGAATTAATTACTAATCTTAAGTCATGAATAATATGGTATTGTCTAAACTAGGATTGATCTAAGGAAATGAAACAGAAATTAAATTAACTACACTTCTAGATTTCAATATTTTGACAGAATAAATTTTATAGGATTACGAATTTCAAGTGGAAATGTCAACACCTAATAGGCCACAAAGATGTATCACTAAGAATGGAGTACTACAAAATGATGTTGATATGTTTGAAAATGTGAAAGAATTGCATGAACGATAAAAGAAAAGAAAATTCTTTGAAAAAAAAATACCAGTAATGCATTTAACTAGATCTGTATTTAAATAAACTATTGAAGAGTAACTTGAATAGCGAATGAAAACAAATAAATAAAAAAATGTATATGTATAATCTTTTCATTAGTCTGTTGATGAATTTAAGAAGTAGTTGCAAAAATTTCATACTTATAAAAACTTTCCTGAAAAATTAGAAAAGGTCAACATAAATCATCTCTCTCCAAATAGAAATCTTATAGGTTTCAAATATAGTTTTAAACCTATGAGACATTAATTGCTAGATTTATTTGGTGAGATTGAGTAATATATGTATTTACATTCATCTTGATTTTTATACATTATCATTAATTACTTCATAAATAATTTTATTCATATTTTGAATTAATAGCAATAATTTGAAATAGTTTAATCAAATTTTATAATTGATCATTCCCTCTATTCTTTAGAATATATTTAATTGATTTGAATTATCACCTATTCTTTTTGATTTTTATTCAGATGTAATCTAGAAAATGAATGAGTGTCTATTATATTAAATATTTAATTTTGGATATGAGAAGATTAATTGTCAACCAAACAAGAAGCAAGACAGTTGCAGCTCGTCCAAGTGCTAATCTGGATAGGATCAATAAATGGTTGTAAACTCTTACTGCTAAAGCCAATACATTAGAGAGCAGATTTTACACATCATAATTAAGTTCCTTGTTTAATTTCTATTCAAAACCTACCACAGGTGCCGCTCAAGTATTAGCTTAATTCAATGATAGGAAATTGATTGGAATTACTGGAAAGAATAAATCACAACAGAAGGATTAGTTGATAAGGTGTAAAAGGGTCATGAGACTCTCCTTAATAAAGAATTTGATGTTGAACGTATTTGTCATCAAGTTGTTTCCAGTTAAAGCAAAGAATTAGAAGACTTAGAAAATGAGCTTACTTTCCACAGCGCTGTTTGGAGCAATTACTATTTGGATTAACATTTGGCTTTACTCGATTTAGAGTAATATGGAGACAGAAATAGTTACGTCAGTACTCTAATTAAATTTATGCATAGTTCATGAGGATTACGATTTCTATCCTGGATTAGAAGCAGATTTAGAAGAATTAACAGAAACTCATAATTGGATTCCAGGATCAAAGGATGACATCAACTTGAAGGGTTACATGGTATCCCAATTCTAATGGGGAAAGAAGATCATCTCATTCTATAGACATCCTTGTGATGACTTTAAAGCAGCAAGAGGTACCAAAAATATCTTGGGTAGATGAGATTTATACATGCAAAATATTTTAAAAACAATATTAATCAAAACAATAATATGCTTTATACAATATTTATCTAAATAAAATGCTACATATTTTGATTAAGAATTATTTTGCACAAGTACTTTAATCAAATTAGCTATTTCCATTAAATCCTTATTTTATTTACTCATTCTTTATATTTTTGAATCTGAACTAACTAAATTAAATTAATTCACTTCTTATTTGTGTCATCACTGATTAATTTGATTTTTAGAAGAATTTAAATAGGAATAATTTTTTTATTAGCTCATATTTCACTTAAATATTCAAGATAAGTATTAAAACCGTATTTTTTATTTTAATCGTTTCTTATATAATAATTTATCTGTATATTATATGTAAATATATTTTCAATAGAATGATAATTATATTTTATACAATGATCATTTAAATTCAAATTGGTTCTTCAAATCATAAATCATAATAAATCAATAAGAAGAAATTGTTTTCAACTATGATATATAAAGACGAAAATTCTATGATTCTGATCAAAAATGTTGTAAATCATTTAAGGTTCTATGGAATGCTGCAAAATTTTATAATAATTGAATTAATTATGTCATTTCTATTTCCTATCATATTCGATTGGATAATTTTCATCTTAACAAATGAAGACTTGAATTTCATTATTTTAACCCTGCACTTTCGAGCTATTTAAGTAGACTTAATAAGGATATTCAGGATTATTTTCCAATACGGTTTCTACTAATGTGCCTTTAGGAGCAGTAATAATAAATAAAGTTTCACCTTTATGATCAATTTACTAACTTTTGGAGAGCTCCTTAAAGTCCTCTTAGGTTAGAAATGTGTATTTAGCGATTTCAGGTTCGGTCTGAAACTTGTCTTATAGATTTTTTTATAAGTGCTCAATCCAAAAATCGTATGTTTTTTCTTCATTTTACAGTTATTCCAATTCTTATTTAATCTATTAGAGCTCTGTTTCCAGTTATGGATTATCAGTGGCACCTACCCATTTAATTTTGTTTTTTGAGATTTTTTCAATGTAACCTATTCCTTCTAATACATTTGTTATATCGTATATTCTTCTCTTCTGAACTCCTAAATCGTTGACAGCCATATTCAAATCAATTGTAAGATCATTTGAATTTTGGATAAGTTCAACAAATTTTTTAGTTAAGACAGATAAAGAATTATCATGTCTTGTTTTTAACTTTCCACTACTCTTTAATTCTTCATCATTAGATTCATTGAAGGAATCCTCATCATTAGAGTACTCTTGTTGTCTAATTTTGTTTTCCGATTCCAATTTGATTTATTTTCGCTTCGAATTCATGCAATTATTAATTAATTTTTCACGATTTAAGAACCTCCAATATATATCTTCTTTTAAAATCAAACAAATAACTAAGTGAAAATAGTTGAGTAATCCATCAAATAAATCTGGAGGATTAAGACTAAATTGCTTACACTTATAATATTATGAATTTATATATCTATAATTTTAATAATATTTTACAAATTAAATAAAACCCAAGTCATAATATACCTTTTCAAATTAAATATAGAGTATTAATTAGGGAAATAAAGAGATATTCCTCTTATTTTCAATGGCAAATTACATTTAAGGCTTTTTTATTATTGAAATGCTAATAATATGTCTCTACTAAACTAGTAAATAAATCATATATTAATATAACTTGAATAAGGGAGATTTAAGTTTACCCATTTTCTTTAATTGTAGTTTTTATTATATGATTTATTATCATACTTCATCATCTAATCATTTTCTTTAATTTTGTTTTTACAATTAATTAACTGCAAACATCATTAAATAACTTAAAAATTATATTATGATCTCGATAGATATAGAGGTAATAAAATGAGAAACCAATAATAGCATTTTTTCAAGATCAACCATGAGAATTAATTGGTTGTTAATGATATTATGTGTAATATAGATTAATAAATTTATAGTATATTTAAATAAATAGTAAAAATTATTTTAAAAAATAATTGACGAATTTACATTTAAAATTATTTAAATTTGATCATCAAAATTATAGAAAAAGTGAAATGAATATGTTGTTTAGTTATACTGAATGAATTTTAAGAGGAACTTTAAGTAGATGGTTACCAGTTTTTCAATTAGATAGAAGAGATGACTTGAATTTCAGATTTTATAATTCAATTAATCAAGTGTATTATATATTTAATAAATAATATCATGATCCATCTATTGAGCATGATCTTGATAATGAACCGAGGTAAATGTCAAGTGACCCTGAACATGAGTGAGAATTAAAATTGGACAGCGAGTTTCGAAACTTCAAGAAATATTACTTTTTAAGTTACATCTCTTCCTAATAAGTATTGTTACGTTACCATAGAGCTATAAGATAGGGATCCTAATTTTTAATTAGTTGCAGACTATTAATTTAAACCTAATCCTGGGTTATTATCAACATATAAACAAGGGGAAAAAATTGATAGAATAAGGTAAAAATTCTATTCTATTTAGTTAATTGGAAAATAGGAGAACTAGATTTCTAAAGTTGAAAAGAAACAGAGGAATTATCTATATTTCCTGTCTCACTAATAAACAGAATAATTCATTTAAAATAAAAATCACTGCCAAAGATTAAGAGCAATGTGACAACGAATGTAGTTTAAATGGGTTTTGCTAGGTAATACTATTGTAATAAAAGAGTGAAGGATGTGTTTGTTTGAATTCGTTTATTGGGAATGATTGCCATCAATTATCTGAGAAGATAGTTTCAAGATCAATAAAAGATGTGGAATTTTTTAATACTGAAACAATAAAGTACTTCTCAATCGATCTCTATGATTCATTAGGAAAAGATTTGAGGCTGGAATTTGAAGTAATTATAGTTATTTTGAAATCTAGTCTGAATGTGAGGATTGGCTGGCTATTATAATTTATAAAACTAAAGCTCTTATTAATCCGAAGGATAGTAACAATAGCAAATATAGTTAAATATTCAATATCACGGGAGGACATGGAACAATTTTAACATAAATTCCCATTAATTTGCCAGAATCATAAAGATTTCTATTGTTTGCTGTTTTCAAATCGAAGTCTTATTAAGATACGAATCATTTATAAATTGGATTTAATTACCACTCTTATTCCCCTGATGAAGACGGTTAAGATAGTGCTTTTTTAGCCTCCATTATTATCCCATGTATTCTTGGGCCAATATTGCTGTTTATCTTGATAAAAATGGGTTTGAAACGGTATAGTAATCCAGGGAATTTAATTTTTCCATTCCAAAATCATAATTTTGACAGACCTGATAATACTCAGGAACATAGATATGAGATGCCTACTGAATATTTTCGTGAGAACCGCAATTCTTAACCAAGCAGAATTTAATAGAATCATTAAAACGATAGAACTAATACTTCTTTGAATATAGAAGCTTAAATTAACAACCGCAATTCCCAGCAAAATAGAAATAACATTTCTTACAATCTTGATTCGAGACCTCCTAGAAATAACTACTCTTACAATCTGATTTTCGCTGGAAATTAACTTCTGTCACACAGATATTAATAAAGCATATATTAAAATAATAATTCTAATCGATATAGAAATCAAATTCTAACAGTGTCCTAAGAAAATTAGTTCCTAAATATTCCCTCACCTGCGCCAAGAAGACCTCCGTAAAGAATTAATTAAATTGATGAATGTAGCATTTGTTTGTCAGATCTTACAAATCATAATGTGGTGAAAACTACTTGCGGGTATAAAAATTATTAACGTAGTCATAAATTCCATCGAGACTGCATTCAATAATGGTTTGCACAATAAAGAAATTGTCCTAATTGCAGAAGACCGACAAGTTTACAACAAGATAATTGATATATTATTGTTTAAAATGTATTATTTTTTGATATTTTTAACGTTTGAAAGAAATTCTTTAATTTTATTTTAATTTTGATATTTTAGATACTTGTGAACCTTTTAATTAGAGAGAATATGGTTCCACAACTTACTGTATATTAAACTATATAAAAGATGAAAATTAATAGGAGAAATTGATCGAAATATATATATTAAATATTAAAAATTTTTTCTGTAATTTAAATGGGCCCAACTCTAAAAAATGTCGTTAATTAATTTTAACTCATATCATCATGAATAAATAACTTTTTTTAGTATCAAGATGTTAAATAATTTTATTTTTAATAATATGTAAAGACTCGCATATACAATAAGATTTAGGTTATTATAAATGAAAACAAATTATTTTTTGTTAAAAAAAGAAAAAATTAATAAATGAACTCTCTTTTGATGGAGATGGATCAATATTCAGCTCGTGTCGCCAATGAGGATTAGGCTCTTATGAGTAGGAGAGGTGATTAGGAATAAAGAAAGGCCGAATTTTTCCAACGCTGTTTATAGGACCGGAAAATTAACACAGATCTTTCTCAATCAGAAAAATATATATTTGGCGATAAAGCCATTTATATGGGCAAAATGAAATTAGAATAGAGATTGTAAGATATTGATGAAGTATTGCTACCTTTTGATAATATTGATTTGGATGAAAAGGAGCGCAACGAAAAAATGAAAGAATTATCGAAATCTTCTTAATCAGACAATTAAAGAATAGATATTAGTAAGAGAAACAAGAAGCTCCAAAATTTTTGGTTAATATTAAGTCCAGACAGCTCTCTGAAATTGTTGTGGGACTTTTTTTGTATGATTTTAATTCTCTATGAAATCATTACAATACCAATAAGAATAAGTTTTGACATTGAAGTAAGTGCTGAATTTGGTTATGTGATAACAGCAGCATTTCTATTTGATATCATCTTAACTTTTAACACAGCAGTCTATTTGAATGGAAATATCAATTACACCTACAAGGCAATAGCATTCGACTATTTCAAATTGTGGTTTTGGATAGATGTTGTGGCATCATTTCCATATGACATGGTATTCAATGCGGCATTGATAGGAGAAGCTGGAGATGAAGTAAATGAGTCATCAGACAATTTAAAGAAGAGCACTCAAATTTTAAGAGTGTTGAAATTCTTTCGATTTGTTAAAGTCATTCGTTTATTAAGATTGGCTAAATTGAAGGCTATAATGGATAAAATAGAGGATTATTTTTCTGATAGTTCTATAATTTAGACGATAGGAAGCTTTCTTAAGCTCTGTGCTTTTGTGTTATTTTGGTCTCATTGGCTAGGGTGTATTTTCCATTTCATTGGTCAAAGTGAGGATACATCGTACAATTGGCTCTCAATTTATGGATTGTATGATGAACCTTGGGAAATTAGATATGTGAATTCTGTCTATTGGGCTGTAACAACCATGATTACTGTAGGTTATGGCGATCTCTCTCCGTAGACACCGTTAGAAAGACTATTTGGAGTGTTCTTTCTTCTCATTGCCTGTGGTGTATTCTCATTCACTATGAACACCATAGGAAATACTATGCAATAACTAAGTTAGAAGTAAGATTAATATCAGAAGAGGATATCTGAAATAAATATCTACATGGCGAAGGTCAAGATTCCAAAGCAATTATAAAATAAGGTTAGGAGGTATTTATAGTATATTTGGGATTCTCATCGGAGTACCAATTTAGAATCTATTTGTTCAAGTCTCTCTTTATCTCTAAAATATGAATTTACAATTTAAGTAAATGGAACTATATTGGCTAGTTATAAATTGTTGTGTGAAACATTTTCAAGGAAATTAATGATTGAATTAACATAGATTCTGAAGGAGTAAACGATATAGCCAGATGAATATGTGTTTCTAGAAGATGAACCTAAGAATGAGTAAATTCTCTATTTCATTTAAGAAGGTCAAATAAACATTGTGTTAATTAAGACAAGACAAATTGTGGCTAGATTGAGTAATAAGTAAATCTTTGGTGAGATCAGTTTCTTTGGGAATATAGGTCGAACAGCATCTGCTAAAAGTAATGGATTCACTGATGCCTTTGTGTTGAAAAGACAAGATTTTGTGGCCTTATTAGATAAATTCCCAGATGATCGAGAAAGATTTAATTTTATAAATGAAGAAGTCAATAAACAATAATTGTAAGTATTGAATATTCATTGTTATGCTTGTGATTTACCAGGACATGTTATAAGAGATTGTCCCTCATTACATTTTGTGGTTGATTTATATGTGTATTAAAAGACCAAAATCAGATGTATCAAGGCAATAATGAAAGATTTTGTAAGGAAAGATCGAATGAATTATAACGCTTTGAAAAACCGATAAGAATTAGAAAAAGTAGCTAAAAATCTGTAGATGAATATACCAACACATAAATTTTTGATTGAAGATTGCAATGTGGATGATCATTTATCATAGGCAGTGGAAGACTAATCAATAAAGAAGGGATTTAAATTAAAGTCCAAGTTTAAAGAAGATAGGAATAGGAGAAGAAATTGGGAATAGACATTCAAGAAATCTGCATAATAGATGCAATAGATCTAGATTAAACAATCAGAGATATTTAGTATCACTAAAAATATGTCTTAAGTTTTATTATCCTCACATCCCAGTGGGGAAACTAGTTTAAGTCACATCCCTATTAATTAGTTCAAATCTCCAAATTAGAGTTCGGAAGATAGTGATAGTGGAACTATTCAATAAAAGATGGAAGACATTATGGCTGATTATTAGATATTCAAATAAGAAGTGGATAAGTACAATGGGTGTCATCAATTGGAGATTAAGAAAAGTTTTGTGTTGTTGAATGAATTCGAAAGTGGCTGTGATTTCAATATATTTTATCCTCACAACAATCTCTCTGTTGTGTTGAAAGAATTTCACAGGTATCAATTAGGTAACTCTGTCAAACCTAAAATTGATACTGAATACGATACCAATGTATTTCAAGAATACATGGAATATTACGTTATTGACATTGAAGATGTGAAAAGATTTAAATTGGAAGTGAAACCATCTCAAATCAAACAATTTCTACCTTTCACAGAACTTCTTCAATAGTCATATAATCGTTAAGTAATAATATTTAGTATTCTATTATAGAAAAAAAAGAATTATGGCTTGTTAAGACAACCAAAAAGATCTTTTAAATAAATTGCTAGAGCTATCATTTTGGCAAGAAAATTTAAGTGATCAATTATATATATAAAATTATAATTATTATTAACCGATATGAAACATATGAGAGATTCTGTTAATCCTGAAGTTCGAGAATTCATCAAATAATTCAACTCATCTCAATAAGAACTTAGAGTCAACAAATAAACCAGTACTGACTAAAGCACATCCACAATAGTCTAAAGTGACATTAAGTCAGATCACGTAAAAGTCAAAGAAGTATTCTTCAAATTGCCACCCTAAGAAAGTACAGAGAATAAATAACCATATCTTAAAATATCAAAGACTCCAGCCGCATCTTCCTTCACAAATTCTCTCTTAAGTATCGATCAAGATAGATACACTGAGGTTATTGTTCAGAAAGTCGTGGAAGAATTAGAAAGAAGGAACTATTGCAAGAAAAAGCCTTTATTGAGTATATAACAAAATACTATACAAATGAGTATCTCACCAAAATAGGAATAAGAATATTTGGATGATGACTCCTTCATACGTTAGATGTACCAAACCTATTTATTCATTTAAGCTAACAAACTTTGTTGAGTCCCAATCAAACACCTTAGAAGGTATAAATAAGAGCCTTTGAATGTTTTGACTCCCGATAAAAGAAGGTTCAAGTTTAGAAGGACTAAAAATTGCAAAAGTAAAGAGAAACCTAAGAACTCACTAAGTTAGTGGATGAATTCAAATCTTTCCTACTTAGAACAAGGGCTTCAGGCAGATTCTGATTCTTGACTTTTAAATACCATTTTTACTTATATTTTAAATCATAAATATATTATTTTATTAATATGTCTCTCCTTCTTTTGAATGCCAGCAATAGAATTGCTTAGGGATTTTTAAAAGTAGCTGCAGAAAGTGGGAAATATGAAAAGATCATTTGTGCTGATATCTTCCCTACTTATTTCACAGTTCAAAGACTCCTCAAATTTAAGTCATCATTATCAGCAAACATAGAATTGTTCAAAATCGGAGATCGTCAAGATTTACACGATGTAATTAAATAGGCCAACAATGTTCTATATGTCAGTCATGATTATTACTAAACCACAGCATCCAAAAAGAATTTATTGGTTGCTACCTTAGATTTGGTCAAAAATAGAAATTATAAGACTGTTGCTTATGTTGCACCTGTCGAACATGATCATCAAGAAGAAATCGACGAATGGAAACATCTAGAAGTAGAAGGACGTCGTTTCATTCCTTAATTAGTTGGAATCAGATCTGATATTACCTTTGGACCTAATAGCACATTCACTAATAAATTAGCATAAAGAATTTATAATGGTGAAAGCATCTACTTCTAAAGCACTGGACAATCATGTGCTCCCATATTCACTGGTGATTTAGAATCAATTGTGGCTTAAGTTCTAGCAGGATCACATGCTGGAAAATTACTCTTAGCTAAGGGACATAAACACATTGATTTCAAATCTATCATTCATCTAATTGAAGATAGTCTTGGATCTGCTTACAAAGCTAAGTTAAATGAATCTTTCATTGAAAAAGTACTTATACTATTATAATATTTAGATTATTCATCCCACTAATAATTGTATCGTAGGTTAATAATTATATTGTCCATCATATATTAATCTAACTAAGTTGATAGCAAATTATAAAGCATTGGAAAACACTGGATATGATTAAGTTGTTGGCGATAAATTAGTTGATATTGAAGAATATCATAAAAATAATAAAACAGTAGTTGATCAATCATTGAAAGCTGATTATTAATTAAGTTATTTAATTGGATGAATAAATGATGATCTATATTCATATAAAAAAATAAATAATTAAATTAATTATTTATAGTTCTTTGAAGCATTAAAATTCAAATAGTAAGCAGGTAAAAATTGAAGGAGTTCTTGATTGCTTTCATTAAATATAATTTTAATAAATTATTGATTATTAAGTTTTTCTTTATATAATTACATATTTGTTGTAAAATTGATATTTTGCTATTGATAATTGAAAGTAATACTATATAAATGATTTAATAGATAGGGTATTGCCCCTATACTTCTATGTAGAAGACCCATTAATCAATACAAAAAAGTAATTGAAAAATCATAAATCATAAATCGCAAATGATATGTAATAATTTCAATTTCTTGATTGTTTAATTGGAGATGAATTCCTTTTAAATAAATGGCTTCGTAATTCTATTAACATCCTAATAGAATTATGATTAAATTAAAAATATTTTCGATGAACAATTGAATTCTATTTTGAATTTAACAATGGAGCCCAATGATCAAGAATCAATCCTATTGAAGTTAATAGAAAAATTTTAAAGGTTAATGGATCAGTTTAATAAAAATAAAAAAAGAAATATATCTGTGGTTTTATTAGTTGGAGTAACAGGATCTGGAAAAAGCACTATTTTCAATTTCTTAAGCGGAGCAGATTTTATAATTGATGAAAACAATGAATTGGTTATAAAGAATCCTTCAAATAAGTTTTCTAAAATGATTGGAGGAATGAACTCTGTCACAAAGGAACCAAACTTTTACCATAATACTTAAAATAATCACTTAATTGTTGATTTTCCTGGATTTCAAGATACAAATGGGGAATGGGATCAATTATTATTTGAACTTTTATTTTATAAGATTGTTACTTCTGGTCCAATAAAGATTATATATGTGATAAAAACTCCTGAAAATAGTCTACCTAATAGAGGGTCAGATCTTTAAGAATTTATTAAACAAGTATTCTTAAAAGGAAACGTTAATATCCAACAATTTAATTTATTATTAAATTGTTATTTAGAAGATTTATAAGAAGAATAGTTACGAAATAAAATAAAAGATGATCTAAAATATGTTAATTTATCATAATAAATTGATAAAATACTTATAGTAAGAAAAGCTAAAAAGAACGATTAATTAAACCAAATTTTCAATCATTAATAACGATAAATTTTATGGTAATAGATAGAATAAATGCAAGCGATTAAAATTCTTCCATAAAAACTACCTAAAAGTGAAATTATAAGTGATTACTTGAGATCTACGACATTATAAACAATTGAAAAGTATGGAAATGTGTTATGTGATCTTTTCGATAACTCATTTACAACATTATCTGAATCATAAAGTCAGAAAACTCAATAATAAATGTAAAAATTATTATAAGTGATCAAAATAGACAATAATGAATCCCCTTTGAATTGGTACACTAATTTTATTTCTATTTGTGAAGAATTGACAAAAAATCTTCCAGCTAAATCTAATATTTTAAATTCTAATAATAATTTCAAAGAGATATTTGTATACTTTTCATAATTTTCTGATCTTATCAAGGGATATGACGAGATGACCATAATGAAGTCTATTGCTCAAGATTAATTAAAAAAAGTAGAAGAAATAATATATACAAGACTAAAATTTTTAGAAAAAGCATAAAAGGATAGAGCAAAAATTAGTTAGATGGAAAATCAAAAGAATAAATTACAACTAAGCATGATTAGTTATGAATCTTAAATAAAAAATCTTAGTAATGAATTAGATTAATCAAAAAGCTAAATAAATAAATCAAAAAGTGAAAAAGATAAAATAGAAAGAGAGAATTAATCATAAATAAGAGAACTTTAAAGATAGTTAGCATTAGCTCGATAATCACACTCTAATATAGATGATGAATAAAAAAATCATTTACAAAGGTAGAATTCGGAATATTAAAACAACATTTAAATCTTAAAGTAATAGTTAAGAGAGTATAAATAAAATGAAGAAACAGAAAAATTAAAGAAGAAAGTACAAATTTAAAATGAAAAAATTAACACACTGGAGAAAGAAAACGACATATTAAAAAAAAGACCCACTTCATCGAGTAATTCAAGTTGTTAACTAATTTGATTTGCTGTTATTTATATTTAAAAAGCAACATATTAAATTTTCAAAAAAAGTCAATTAAATTAAAAATAAACTCCTTAGAATCATGAATAATATTTCATTCTTGAGGTTGATGACAAAAAACAACAAGTATAGTTTGCTTTTATCAAATCAACAGCCTTTTACTAAAATATTTATAATATGGGATTCGATCATTTAAAGAATATTTTAAATAAATAATAAATATGAATAACTGAATCTTTTTATTTTGATAGATTTATAATGAACCAAAATAATGTATGATTTCTTAAATTATTAGCAATTCTATTTAAATATATTTTATATAAATATTCAATTAATCAAAGCAAATATAAAAATTAGAATTAATATTGCTTAATGTAATAGTAGAAAGGTAAAACCTCCTTTTAAATGGAATGTTAACGAAAACATTTCATAAAGGATAAGCTATATCATCTTCTTTTAGATGAGAATTGCATTAGAATGTCTGAGGTAAGATAACATTCACCTAAAAGAGACAGTCAATTTTGAAGACTCTAAGTATCTCCTTGAATTAAATTTTGAAAATTTAATATATTTGAGGACAGAGCACAGTTTAATAGTTGCATTTGGTATAAAGTATAATAAAGCACTCAAATGGTTTCATGCTAACAGCTCTGATCTATAACATCTATACAAATAATTAAGTGGGAAGGTGTTCTTTGGGAATATTTCATCTATTTATGAGAGCAAAGAAATATTAGGTTCTGGAGCCTCATCAAAAGTGTATAGAGTATGTAATAAATTAACGCATCGAGAATTTGCATCGAAATGCATTCGTAAAGACTATATTTATAGGAGAGAAGATAAAGAAAGATATGTAATTATTTATGTTATTTAGAATCGCATGATTTAAGAGATTGAATTGATGAGAAAATTGGACCATGAAACCATTGTTAAAATGATTGATATTTTCGAAGGAGAAAAGTCATTCTATATCATTCTTGAATTATTATAGGGTGAGTCTCTGCATTCGTTTTCGAAAAAACACTCATTAACACTAACATAGATTAGATAGATAATAAATGTATTCATTTATTCATATGATAGAGATGCTTATAAGCATTATGCTATTTGGACATAAATAACATAATTCATAGGGATTTAAAATTGGAAAACCTAGTATTGAACGAGTAAGGGAAAGTTGAATCCGTAAAGGTTATTGATTTTGGTCTTGCAATATACACATCATGTCCTTATAGATAATTGTGTGGAACACCTGGATATATTGCTCCAGAGATGTTTATTGAAAAATATCCATACACAACTAAAGTAGACATTTTTAGTTTAGGAGCTATATTCTTTAAACTATTGTGTAGGAAACCCTTATTTAGTGGCAATACAAGTGATGAGATATTAGAAAACAATAAAAAGTTTTTGTGCAATAATTATTTAAAAAATTGTTCAGATGAAACTATTGATTTGATAAAATAAATGCTTTAAAGAGATCCTAATAAAAGAATATCAGCCTCTTAGGCTTTGCAGCATCCATTCTTTGGTGAAAAATTCACTGGTATTGATTTATAAAAGTTTAGGAGAATAAGGAATTGCAGAAGAAAGTCCTCATGAAATTGTCAGAATGTTTCCACTTACAAAACCTATGCAAGTCATTAACTCAAATGATAATATTCCTGATATTAAGATTTAAGCTATTCGAGGAAGTTAATAAAGCTTTGAGCAAAGTTTGGGATCCAATTATTTTCCATCCTTTGATGACGATATTAATCGAATTAGAAAACAGAGCGATCATATTATTGAATGACTTTATCAAATCAAAACTTAGAAATCATAATATTTTATAAATTTAATTATGAATAAAAATTTCACTCTATTTTTATTATATGAACATATTAGTAAATAATTTATTCATATATTTGATAATGTAAATATAGTATGTCAATAATTAGTTTATTTTTAGATTCATAATTAAGTTATGTTACATAAAACTAGTCTAAACATATAGTCTTAAAGGTATAATCATTATAGAAAGAGTGAATTGTTGTTAAATAATAAATTATCATAAATCAGTAATAATTTTGTCATTAATTTACTTAATGTAGGATGAAATAGTATTTTAAATGCTGAGGTTTCTTTGTTTTAGTTGTCGAAAGAGAGATTATTAGTTGAATTTTGGTTAGTAAATACACGGTAGAAGAGTTTTAGTAACTATTTCAGTTTATCTTATTTGATGACATCTGATAACTGAATTGTCTCTTGAAGTTGCTTAAATTTCTTCTAGAATTCTTTAGGTCTTTGCTGGAGATTCATTTGGTGATTATGTGTCAAAATGATGTATAGATTGTTTCGACTAAATGACTTTTTCTTATGTATTTGACTCACTTCTTTGTACACTCTTGAAATTCAATCTCTTTGGAGGATTGGAAGTTGATTTTTTCTTATCGATTTCCTTTCCCACACAAAAGATCCTTAGATTCGTTTATCTTTTGATGGTGAATTCTAAGGCCATTCTTGTTATGTCAATTATATGCTGTAACAAAATCAAAAAAATGGTTTGTTTGCTCTGGTTATATATTTCATTTTATAACTGATCTGCTTTTGATGGAAGACCGTAGTATAGATAGAGGTCAGTAACATTTTTAGTGGTTGAAGCCAACGTCGGTTCCAGATTGAGCAACTATATATTATTAAATTCATCTAACCTCAAAATTAACTGCTATTATTTTAAGGGTGAATTTCATGGCCTCCTGAAATTGAAGTAGATCATTCTAATTGAGTTTCTTAGCTTAATATAATTGGTTCATGGAATCGGTTTCGATTATCTATCTAATCTTCTCCCTATACTCAGAAAATCAAATTTTGGAGCATACTTATTTACTTAATTTGCACTTAGTTGTTCTATAAATTGCGAATATCTTGTGCTCGTTCTCTTAGCAAGTCCATAACATTCATTATTAAAAAAATTAAATATAAATTAAACACATACCCTCTGCTTAATCTAATATAAAGAAATGAGCATTGATTTTTAGAATAATTATATTTATTTAATAAATGAGTAGAGGTACTAATCTCTTTGCAGCATCTTCAATATCAGCAATTATTTGGATTATTACACTATTCTTATCCACCGGATATGTGAAGTATTTAAAAACTTAAAATTAGTGAAGTTGCTAAATCAATGCCAACATATGCCTTAATTCTTTATTTCTCTTATGCACTGTTTAAAGTAGGGGGAGACTTGTCACGATTGAAGGATTATCCTGAAGAAGCTGAATCATTACAAAAGGAGGTTGAGGAATCGAAGCGATTCTACAAAGAGAAGGGATTAAAATTGTGAAAAATTAAATACGCATATATATTTTTATAAATTTAATGGATCCCATTCAGAATTACTAACCCAAGCTATCCTTCTATATAATCAATGAAATACTTAGACTTTTTATAGCCATCCAATTTGTGTTGGTATTTTTTAGGGTTTTTCTGAGAAATTAAGAAACCTTTTTTTTGTCTGATTGTTTTAATGGTTGTATGATGATACTTACTTATTATCAAAAAGTATGAAACTAATAAACTATTAGAATTATTGCCTTGCATTAGTAACAATGTTTTATGACTTCTCATTGATATATTTGAACGTAATATTCTTTTTGTGGTTTGTTGAATATAATTTGCCCTTTTTCATAGATGATAATAAGAACTTCACCCTTATGTTGGTATAATTACAAATCAACCTTAGATTTTCTCTACTGTGCTCTATGTTTGTGAATCGATACTGTTATTTCAAGCATATAAGGAGTATAAAGGAATAATTTATGACATTAATCAGGCCTAGTTAGAACATGTTGCAGAAGAGTAACCAAATCTAAATGTTGAGATGCCGTCTTCAATATACGAGTAATCATCCTAACTACTTAGAAATAATTAATAGTAAAGAGAATAACGAATTGGAAGTTAACATAGTATTGGATATGTTGGAAATGACTAACCAATTTAAGGAAGAATAATTAACTAAAGATAAGAAGAGCTTTAATAATAATAGGGATGATATAACTTTTATTAAAATATTTTTTTTAATTATTTTTAGATCCTAAAATTTAGTTGAAAGATAATTATTTTCATATTTAGCAATTTAAATTTAGTAAAATTGATGATTTTGATTTTATAAATTAGTTTAGAAATAATAAGTATGTTGGAAGAAAATTAAAAAAATGGTAGAGTTAAAATACATTGTTTCCTCCCATGTAATAAAAAACTTAAAATTTATGCATCCAAATGCAGAGAGTGAATCCTGTATTATGATAATTGAACAATAATAGAATTACATAATAATATTAATGGAGAAGATTTCGTTTTTCTCGAATAGGGTTTGGAGTCACACCAAAAATTACATTTTTTTGGACCATTATTCTAAGTTTATTGGTTGTTTCTTAGTTTCTGTAAGTAGTAAGGGTTGTGTGTGAAAATGGTTAATTTTTTATCATTTAGCATTTACTGTAAGAGGCGAAACATTGTATTGCTTAATAAGCAAATTTTTCTTTTGTAAATGAGAATTTTCCATTATACAAGCAAGGGTTTGTTTATAATTCTTTAAAATTTTGATTTACGAAAAACGATACTAAGCCTTATGATGATACATTAGAAATAAGGGTATTTATGATTCATTGAATACATGGCTATATTACAGCTAGAAGGAAATAAATCAATAATCAGAAGTATTGATAAAATTGATCTATTTAATATAAGTGGATTCAGTAGTTTGGAAAATTGATAGATTAGGACAATTTAGAATTTTCATGTGAATGATCAAGATATCTAAAATTTAGGATTATTCATATGGAATGTATGAATATGTTGAATAATTTATATTAATACTTTTCATGGAGGCAACAGTGGTAATTTACTAAATAATGGTGAATTTTAGCAATGACTTTGAATATTAAAATATAGGATTTGAGTGAATAAGAATGACTTTAGAATTTTAAGTTAAGGTGTATATTATCACTGGTATAACAGGGAATAATAAAGAGATATGTGATAAAATTTATTTACACTATTTATATTAAAATGATCCGCCCTCGTTATGAAAGTTCGAAGGACCATCCTTTGTAGACAGATGTGGCCTGTTTCTTAATGGTCATTGAGATTCAACGATTGTTAGATGAAAATACTCAATTGAAAGTGGAAATGCAGGAGATCTTGGCGAGACAACTCGACAGGGCGAATTATGAACAATAGATTAAAGATCTGATGGAACGTCTTCGTTAACTGCAAGGGTATGTTGGATTTATAATCACTTTAGTTTGGTAGCAGATCTTACAAAGGAAAATAAGTAGCTTAAATAACGATAAGCTGATTAGGATGCGGAACTAGCAGATTTGAAATAATTTGTTGAAGAAAATAATCTCGAGGAGAAGTAGGAATAGCAAGAAGCGGTTGCCAAAGAATTAGACGATCTCAAAGATTAATTAGAAAGAGATCAAAAAGATAGGGTATGATATGTGCTTATTTCATAGGATGATCAAAAGGCTTTTTATGAAGGTTTGCTTGCAGATAAAGATGATTTGATAGCTGAACTCAGAAGACAATTAAAAGATGCTGATGATAAATTCAATAATTATCGTCGAGAAAAGGAGTAGATAATTAAGGAGAAAGACTATGATATCAAGAACAAGGAGAGAGAGATCAAGGACTTATTAAGGAGATTAGCTGAATATGAGGCAAAATTGCAAGGTAAAAGACCTGATGAAATTCAGCGAGATATGGATAGATTAAAAAAGGAATTGGCTGATAAAGACAAGGAGATTGATAAATTAAAAAAGAAATTAGGAGATCTAGAAGCTTAATTAGCTCTATTAAAACAATAATTATAGGATGCTAAAGATAAGCTCAAGGATGCTTTGTCTTAATTGGCAGAGGCAAAGAATTAGGCTAATTAGGCAGCCAAAGACAATGATGCTAAGAATCAAAGGAGAATCAGAGAACTTGAATAGTTGGTTGAGTAATTGAAGGCTGAAATTGATAGATTAAATGCATTGATAGATAAATTGAATTAAGATGTTGCATCTGGAATTGAAAGAGAAAAACAACTAAATGATAATTTACAAAGTAATCTCAATATTCTAAATTAGAACAATTAAGTGATAATGGATCGGTGTCTGCTGCCAAATAGAATAGACAAGCCAAATAAGCAGAGCAAGCTTAATAATAATTAACCTAGGCCTCTTAAAAGTTAAAGGATACTGAAAAGGATAACAACGAACTCAAAAAGAAATCGAATGAATTGGATAGATAATTAGAAGAAGCTAGAAAATTAATTAAATAATTATAAGACGAGATTGCAGCCTTAAAAGAAAAATTATTATTGGCTTAAACTGAAAATGACGATCTCAGAAATCAATTAAACGACTTATAGGATTAATTGACTGAAGCTTTGTTGGATAAGGATTATCTTCAGAAATCTCTCAAAGATTAAGAGGACGAACTCAACAGAGTCAATGATTAAATATAAGATTTGAATAATGAGAAAGAATAAGCATAGGCTGCTGCTTTGGAGGCTAAATAATAACTTCAAGATATTGCAGATGAAAAGGCTTAGGAAGATGCTGACAAAGAAAAGGATTAGGATAGATTAAATGATTTGGAAGATAAGGTAGCTGAACTTGAAGATTAAATTGAAGACTTGGAAAAAACAAGGAATCGTTTACTTAATCAAATTCAAGAATTAATTGATAAACTTCATGATGAAAGAGAGTTGTGTGAATATTATCATAAACTCTGTTCTGATTAAGAACATCAAAATAAACTACTATAAGATTAAGAAAATAAATTAAAAGAGTAGGTCTAAAAATTGAATAATGATATTGAATAGATGGAAGAAGATCATGAAGAGGCTTAGAAAAGACTAGTTGAATTGGCTTCGGAATAAGAAGCTCTTAAGGAATTAGCTGCCTCTAATTCAGATAATGTTATCGATAGATAAGCCTATGATAATTTGTTGAATCAGTTGGATGAGAAAAATAAGGAAATAGAGGATTTAAATGAATTATTAAGAAGATATGAATAATAATTCAAAATGTTAAGAGCTGAGTTAGCAAGAGTGAATTTAGCTTAACTAAAAGAAAAAAAGAATAAATAAGACACTGAAGCACTATTAACAAAAATCATGATTATGTAGGCTGAGAATGAACGTTTACAATAGGCTGCAAAACAATTACAATCTCAAGCTGCATCTCCAGAAGTCTTGAAGAGAACTGGAAGTTAAGGTAACGATCCTGCCTAAGGAAAGCTAGAGTCATTATAAAAAGAAAATCTTAAACTTGAAGATCAAGTTAGTGAGTATGAAAATAAGATTGCTCTATTGACTATGGAATTAAAGAGGTTGAAAGATTAAAAGTAATTTCATATTTATCATCCTTAGGCCTGAAATCCTTCCAATCAAATCTAGTGGTGGTAGCGATGAACAATAACTTTAATTATAAGTTCAATAATTATAATAGCAAGTTCAATAATTGTAGAATGGAGGATTATTGTAATCAAATGGATAACCTATATCAAAAGAGGATAGAAGACTATCTGATTTGTTATGCTTAGTGACAATCATGGCTGCTGAAATAGAGAACCTTAGAAGCCTCGTTGTCTTGCATTGAGATGAATAAATATAAGATACATTATAATATTTTTGAGTATACCTCACTCCTCGTAAAAGAATTAGGGAACTACTCCCTAATTGATTGTTGTTGAATTATCACTGAATTCTTGGCTGAATGTAGGTTCTTCAAATTGGAATTCATCAGTCTCAAATTTTCCATTGGCTCCATAATAACTTAAGCAACTTTGATTAGGTGTTAAGGCTATTTCGTAATTTATAGTGAATACCAATAGTATAGGGTTTGTCATATTCAATCTTAATTGCCTTTGTGAAATACAATTTACCAATATGATTAACAAATTCCATGTCATTCTTAATAACAAACTTATCTTAGTAAATTAGTTTTTTACTAATTATTAAAATGTGATAATACCTATTCAAGTTTGATCCTTCGAATATCTGCACTTAAAAAGTTAACTCCGAATCTGGCCAAGTAGTAATCTCATATAATCCCACACCAGAAAGCCAAATATCATGTTTCCTTTTAGATCTTAAACAAATGGCATCAGTCTCTTTCAAATTCCATTATTCGTAAGTCAATTGATATCTGTTTTGACTGCTCAAGATCTTGACTTATTTTTTAATTGGGTTTTGACAAGTTTCAAGTAATTTCTTCAAATCATTCAAACACTAATAAGGAGATACTAAAATTAATTACTTTCTCTAACCAATATTTACTCTCTCTTTCAATGAGCTCAGCTGTTTTTATGAGTTTTTATGCTTGTTGATTTACTTCGGTATCTCTCAATATCCATAGTTATCCATCGCATGTTTTGAGCAGAGGTTCAATCTTCTCAATTGCCTATTCTATCTACACTTTTGTTAATTTTTCCATATTCAACATTGATATTGATTTTTCAAATGCATCTCCAACAAATAAATCTGCCTCCAAATCAAGTAACTTAATTTATTTCTCTATTTCTCTTTCTAGTTTGTTGAGGATTTCCTTTATTTCAATTAAGTTTTATCTAAAGGTTTGTTTAATTTTATGATGTTTTCCAAATATTTCATTCCCCTTATTATGCAATTCTTATTAATTCTTCGGATTATTAGCTTTATTGAGACTTTGAATGATAGTCTTGAGAGGGAATACATTCTTAACATGGTCTTAATGAGATTTTAACAAACAAAATGAACAGATCAATCCTTTTTGTTGGCAATCAACTTCTAAACAAAATAAATTAAGAGGATTATCTAAATGTTCCTTGTCTTCGCAATATAAGGTTTACATTTTATAATTTAATGTTAAAATAATTAAATAAAGATAAAGAGACAGATTACACTATGTCTAGATATAGAGATGGATATTGGAATAGCTTGAAGGGTCAAGAAATTACAGAATCTTTAGAGGAAACTAATGGTTTGAAATGATATAATATAATAATTAAAACTTTTGTAGATAAATATTATTTTATTGAGTGATTTATGAAATTAGTCAGATTTCTTATGAAACTCAAAAATGAGTAGGTGATTGTGGAATTGAAGAATGGCACAGTTGTTTTGGGCACAATAACTGGAGTAGATGTAAGAATGAATACTCATTTGAGCAAAGTGAAATTGACATTAAAAGGCAAGAATCCTGTAGGATTAGATTAATTAACAATAAGAGGTTTAGAAAACGATAATTAATATGAATAGGAAATAATATAAGATATTTCCACTTATCCGAGAATTTATAGATAGACAATCTATTGGTGGATGAATCAATATCTAAATCTAAAAAGGTGAAGGCAGGAATGGAAAAGAATGATCCAAATTTTAAGAGAAAGAAGAAGAACAAGGTCACTCGTTTACCAAGAAGATGAATAAGTATTATATCATACATCAAATAAATATAAAGTTTATATAAGCATTTATTTGCATACTCGATTAAGTTTTGATTCAATGCAAATTCATAATAAAAGTACTCAATTTTTAATCATTATTATTGCAATACAAAATGATATTACATAACATAAATTAATATATAATTCATGTCAGAAGTACTTTAGGAGGAAAAAAATCCTTCACAATCTTAGGATAACTCACTTGAAAAGCAAAATTATAGGATACCAAAGCAAACTCTAGTGTAAATAGTGAGTGCAGCATAGGAGAGGTTATTGGCAGAAGAGATTGAGGAACTAGAAAAAATTAAGGGTATGGAGACGATCGAAAGAGGATTAAAAACCAATTTTGAGAGAGGATTAAAAGGAGATGACTTTAGAGAGAGAGAACTGTTCTATGGAAGTAATCAAAAACCTAAGTCATTTTCAAAAACATACTATGAAATTATCTTATAGTGTTTCGAAGTAAAAAATGAGAATAATTATAGGATTACATGATACGAGCATTATTGGTGGCTTCAATACTGTCTATTATAATAGGAGTCTTAACTGCAGACGAGGATTGCCGTTCATTAGCTTGGATAGAGGGATTTGCATTATTTATGGCCATTTTCATCTGCTGTAATGTGGCAGCAATAAATGTATAAATAAGTGCCATAATTAGGATTATTAGAAGGAAAAGTAATTATAAAGTTTCAATGAGAAAACACCAAATCAATAGATGGTAACTGTGTTGAGAGATGGGAAACAAACAGTATTAGATTCTAGTAGGATTCTGGTTGGAGATATAATTTAATTGTAAGAAGGGTTGCAAATTCCAGCAGATGGATTTGTTATATAAGCAGAAGCATTGAAAGTCGATGTATGTTCTACTTATATTATGTAAAAAGGAAAGTGCAATAACTGGTGAGACTCAGCCAATAAAGAAAGATACTTATGAGAATTGTAAATAGAAGAAAGACGAATTATGGGATGAAAAGAATTCCTTGTACAAATATGATATTCCCTCTCCAGTGTTGTTGAGTGGTGCAACAATATTGTAAGGAGAGGGTAAAATGGTAGTGGCAGTAGTGGGAGAAGCAAGTTGTATTGGTAAGATCTCATCTTTAGAAGAAAAAGAAGTATAATAGACTGTTTTATAAGCGAAATTAGAAGCGGTAAGTTCAAGTGTTGGTTTTTATGGGGTGATATTTTCAGGATTAATATTTATTGTTTTGCTATTTAGATTTATACTTTAAAGAATTAGAGAAGATACATTTGAAAAGTAACACATTAATGAGTTGCTAAATTTGATTATTGCTTCAATTAGTGTAGTTATAATTGCAATTCCTGATAGCTTCCCATTTGCTATAACAATTTGTTTGGCATATTCTATTAAAAGAATGTTAAACGACAATATTCTAGTAAAAAAGTTAGCTGCCCTTGAAATTTCTGGATACATTGACATAATTTGCACAGATAAGACTGGAACATTAACACAGAATAAAATGACTATGGTCAAGATTTGGAATGATGAAACCATAGATATTGATGCTTACAGCAATAACCTAAACTTAAGTACGTATTTACCAACTGAAATGCATGAATTATTTATTTAATCATCCATAGTGAATGGAAATGCTGAGATCAGACCCTAAGAAATAGGAAGTCTAACAGAAGTGGCCTTAATTTTATTTGCTGAGAAATGTGGTATCAATTATGAAAAGGAAAGAGAAATACATCAAACAACATTGACTATACCTTTCTCCAGTTAGAGAAAAAGGAGAACAAGTATTATAGGAGGAAAACGACTAGTTGTTCATGGAGGTTCAGAAATTATTGTAGAAGGATGCAATAAATTCCATTCTAAATCAAAGGGAGTCATCCCTATTGATACTACTCTTCGAAAGTAAATTGAGGATAATTTGAATTTAATGGGTGCTTAGGCTATAAGAACTTTAGCATTTGCATACAAAGATTTGAATGGAGATGAGGATCTTGTCAGCAAAAATCAAAGGGATGTATATGATATCGAAGCTTAAGATCTTACTCTGATTGCTATTGTCGGAATCAAGGATACTTTAAGGTTTGGAATACCATAAGCAATTAGAAGTCTTTAGACTGCTGGAATCAAAGTATAAATGATTACTGGAGACAATAAAATCACTTCCAGAGCCATTGCTGAAGATAGTCGGATATTAATTAATAAAAATAAATCTCTTGTTTTAGAAGGACCTGAATTCATTCAAAGAGTTGGTAGGTTAGTGTGTAAATGGTGTCAAACACCTGATTGTGATTGTCCAAGTGATCCATCATCTGCCAAAACTTTACGCAAATAAATGAGAGTTGATACTATTCAAAATTAGGAAGAATTTGATAAAATCTATCCTTAGTTAGATGTGTTGGCTAGAAGCAGACCTGAAGATAAGTATACACTTGTATAAGGTCTATAAGAACGAGGACATGTTGTAGCTGTAGCTGGAGATGGTACTAACGATGGTAACATATGTATTTTACTATTATTATAGCTCCTGCATTAAGTAAGGCTGACGTAGGTATTGCTCTTGGTATTTCAGCAACTGAAATAGCCTAGAAAAGTGCCTCTATCATATTGTTAGATGACAATTTTAGTTCGATTATCAAATTAATTTTTTGGGGTAGGAATATTTAAGACTCAATTAAGAAATTGATTCAATTTCAATTAACAGCCATCATTGTGATTGTAGCTACGACTTTAATATCTTCTATTTTTATTAAACAAGAAATCTTTAAGCCCATATAATTACTTTGGATTAACTTAATAATAGATTCCTTTGCATCTTTAGCCCTTGCAACTGAAGCTCCCTCTCCAAATATATTAAGAAGGAAATGTGAGGATAAAAATGCGCCCATTATAAATTCCAGAATGCTCAAACACATTTTAGGATAGGCCACCTATCAAATTGTTATCATATCAATTCTTTTGTTTTATGCTCATACCTTTGTTCCTGAATTTAAGGGAGAAGAAGATGAATAATTATACTATACGGGTAAATTACAATTCAAATATTCGAATACTTACTTTGACCAGAATAGTAAGCTTCACACCTGTCCTGATTATGAGGATCATTGTAATCTTATCTCTTAGGGCACAGAGTATAATGTAAATGGAACAGAAAACTACCTCACTTTTTATAAAAAAACCTATATTTCTTCTAGATAATTTACATTTATATTTAACACTTTTGTAATGATGCAATTATTCAATTTTTTTAATGCTAGAAGAATCAAAGATGAGTTGAATATTTTCTAAGGAATATTTAGGAATACAGTATTTTTAATTACATTTTTTGGAATCCTTGTGTTGTAAATTCTTATTGTTACTTATGGAGGAATAGTGTTTCACTGCTATTCATTTAATGGGCTTCGTATTGAATAATGGTATATAAACTTATAGATATTTAGGTTAATTTGCATATATTTTGCACTAGGAGGATTGGTTGTTAGGTCAATACTAATACTAATTCCGAATTCAATGCTGGAGATTTTTACAGGAAATGTTTCTAGAAAGAGTCGTAAATTGCAACCTCATTATCAAGTCATAGAATTTAAAAATCTCAAGAATTAAACTTAAGAGAATTGATCATATAAAATAATTATAATTAATAATCTAAATATTCGGAATTAAAATGCAGGAAGTAAATGAAAGAAAAATGTCAACAATCACAAAGAATGATAATGTTTTGGATTTGGTTAAGATCAAAGTTAGATTAGATGAACATTTTTATATATTCTCTCGTTTCATGATAAGCAGAATGTTAACATTGTCTAGAATAAAAAAATTAGATGCCATCTAAATCGCCAAAGACATTAAAAAATAATTAATAGATAGGAATTCTCTTGAAATTAGTTCAATGAACTAGAAGTTATTATCTTTTAGACAATGAATAAATTAGGATATTAGAATAACATCCAAAAATATCAAATGGTTTCAAAGTACTAAATCAAACAATCGTAGTTTCTATCGACACAGAACTCCTATGATCATCATCATTTTTGGTGCCCCAAGCATAGGAAAATCTCTATTAGCAAATAACTTAGCAGAAAGACTTAATATCTCAAATGTCTTACAAACTGATATTGTGGAAATGGTTATGAGGAGTATAAATCCAGAGTAATCCACTTATGATGAAAATGAAGATTTCATTCCTAAATTTAAGAAAGTAAAAGAATTAGAATTAATTAAGAGAATTGCAGATTGATCAGAAGAGGAGTTTCAACCGATATATCTAAATGTTTATCTGAGGGCAAAGCAGTCATTATTGAAGGAAGTGCAGCAATGCCAGAATATTATTTAGAAGCTATTGATCACTCAGATCCTGAGGATGATCAACAATAATTTCAATTAATTGAAAGCTTCACTTAAAATGATATTAAACTCAAAAAACCTCAAAGAAAAGATTTGTTACTTTTTAATTAATAGAAAAAATTAAACACACAATTTAAAATCATCTTCCCATAACCAGATTTAGATGTAGAAGATGAATAAAAAGTTCAAAAACTATTAAAATTAAGCAAAGATTTGGATAAGATTGTAAATCTTTGATACATTCAATTAGGATTAATCTCATTCAATGATTTTAGGTTTCTTGCCAATCTTATCTAAAAATGACCACTTATATAATATTGAAAATAACACAATTAAAAAGATACCAAAAGACTTAATCGAGGAAAAATTAAATTAATTTTAATCTATTCAAAATGAACTATTAAAATAAAGAAATAAATGCATTCTCTTACCTATTAATCTACATAATTTAGAAGAAACACTAGTAATATATATATATTATATAAGGACACGATGCATGATATCATATTATAAAAAATATTAGATCAATCCACTGGATATAAAAGGTGAAATTGTAATATATATATATATATCAAATACCAAAATAGTTATTACAAAAATGCTTTCATTCGAATTTAGAAACTGCCAAATCTTCTGAACTATCTTCTTGCTTTATTTATAATCCATTTATAGAATTAAAACTATCATCAGTTATCTTACTTTTAATTTCAGGAGCATCAATTTACTCTTCTATTTCATTGGCTGTTTAATTTGGACTAAAATTTTACTCAAGCTGTTGACTGCTTAAATAAAATTGCTCATTCGTGCTTCCTTATTATTAATTCTAAGATTATTATGAAGATAATCGATGGTTATAAGATGACAATCCAAGGGGTCTAGTAAATGTGCTTGAAAACTTTCCGTATTTTGTTTGATATTCTGAATTATCACCTTCATAATACAAATCTTTAACTCCTTGACTGACTTAGGAGTATTTATAACCGAATTCGTTATCAGTCTTGCTATCATCGAACTGCTCATGAGAAAAATGGCTGCCATTTTAGAATTCTTGAGTATGTCGAAGAAAACTCTATACTGCTTTCTTTTATAACTAAGTTTATGCTGTAAATTTGTTTGAGTTAGATTTTGCATAAACAGGAGGTTTATTCATATTAACTTCTTCTATCACTTATAAGCCAGTTGCCAATTTAATTGTTTTCTCTAGCAAACACTCCTAAGAGAGCTACTTAGTTAGATTTCCACCAATTTATGATAACTTTTTAGATCTATTTGATGAAATCTAAGATAATTATCCTTTTGAATTTAAGGCTTAGTTTTGATTTAAAGCCTAATTTTGAATTTGTAATGATTGTAATGGTTGTTATTATGATAAACTTTTAGTTTGGAATTGATTTTTTTAATTTGAAGATTATTTCTAGTGTGATAGCTGTGCTCTTTTTGGATTTTAATTTAAAGCTTAAGTTTATGACTTAGTTTTTAGTCCTGAATGCGAATTTTTTTATAATTCTTAAGGGTTTGAGTATTTTTACTTGCTCTAGTTTTTTTTACTATCCGATTCTGTTTATACTATTTTTTCTTGAGAATTTGATATTGTAGATAGGCGTCTTTGTTATGAAGAACCAAATTGATTTTTTCTTAATTCTGTCTTTTCTGATTATGCTCTTGTGCTGTTTGGCAATAGTTCTAATATTCGCTTCTCACAAATCTTCTAAATTAAGCAATGTCCATCACTAAATTAGGAAATTAGTATACTTAATATTATTAGTCTAAGTACCCTCATAGATCTTCTTTAATCTACAAAGAGAATGAATGCTCAGCATTCTGAATTAAAGTTCGGTGTCTTTAAAGAAGCTTTCAATATCAAACGAAAGACTGATCCATTTATTGGTTAGTATAAAAGCACTTGAGATCTTGACTTCATCTAACTTTTTGCTATAGGCTTGTTGTAGATTGGGACTGACTACTATTTTGAAATACTTGTATCTATAAATATTAGAGGATTACTTCTTATTTATTGGAAAGTTCAAGTATAAATTTTAGTTTTTCAATCAAATACATTTGAATGTATATTTTAGAACCTTTAATTTAAACTTCATTGGAATTATGATAGGTGAATAAATTAGAAGGTCCAACTTTTAGAACAAAACCTCTATATGAATATTAATTTATACTTTTCGTTGTTTTATCAAATATAACATTCTCAGATTATTGAGACTTCAGTTCTATCTATAGAGATGCATCTTACCTCTACAATCAAACAAAGTATTCTCTTGGCTTATCTTTGGTAAGTGAATCATTAGTACAACTGTAAATATTATATTTAATAAATCATAAAACTAATTAATGCAAAAAAGAGTTAGCGACATTACTACTTTAAAAATTCGAACCACCAATCCAAACGGTTTTCATAAATCATAACTTTCTTAGACATCTCTCAAAGTGACCAGCCCTTTTTTAACCAGAGACTCGATCAAACGAGAGATAATATTCAAATTCCATAATCCGTTTAGGAGATCCTCTTCCCTAACTTTTAATTAAGATCTTTGACATCTGTAATTGCCTTGTTACTTACCTTAAATTATATATGTCAATACATCTATTACAAAGTTTCAGGATATAAATATTTTGGATGTGTATTATATGAATTGGGTGCATTTTACGCAGCTGATGTGATTAATGAATGTACTAATCATTTGGAATTAAGATGAGTACTATAGATACATTACTGGGACGTTGTATTTTGGCAGTATATACAATGCTATCATTTTTGTGATTACATTCACAATGTAAGCCTATACTTTAGAATACTTATTGGGAAAGTTTGTGTTTTTTATATATTTAAATGCAGGAATCTATGGTTTAGTGTTCTCAGCCTTGATTTATAAAAATTCTATCACCACAGGAAATTGCGGAATTATTTTTACCGTCCTAGTTCTCTATGGGTCTAACCTAATTAAGAAATATCATGAGATGGAAAATGCCAAAGCCATCTTAGGCCTTTTTTTTATACTTTTAATTTTAAACTTTTTAACCATTTTAGAAACTCAAAATACTAATATTTGCATAGTGACTGGCGGAATAATTAATGGGATTGGTATATCAATCTTTATTCATTTTCGTAATATCAATGAAAAATCAAAAAAAGTTACCTATATTATATTATTTGTAATTTATTCTGTTGAAATAATGCTGTTTGGATTGTTGCAGAATGTAGATGTTGATAAAATATTCTAAATTAATTTATTTTGTTGACGTATAAATTTATTTCTAAGAATTACTCTATTTTCTAAAATAGTATTTGTAATATCATTTTTTATATAATAATTAAAAATAAAAATGGATAACTAAGAAACTAAAGAAAATCAAGAAAAATAATTTATTTGTATTGACCCAAAATGCGATTAATAAAATAGATTATTCAAATCGAAAAATGAGAATCATCCTCATAAGTCTCATGATCATTAAGTATACTCTGAATTCTAAAAACTAATTCGTGCATAATTTCCATAATAAATTAGAGAATAGATTAATCAATAATTTAGCAAAGATGAATTGATTAAAGCAATCCAAACGCGATCTGTATAAATGCATGAGTCCGTTAAAAATTTTGAAGAAAATCTAATTAAGTATATGTAACTCATTATGAATCTTTAGAACTATCGAAGCATATGATATTTTGGGTGCTGATAAAGCTTCAATTAATCAAACTTTAAGTTAATTAAATGAACAAAATCCTCCATAACAACTTAATATTTAAGGATTAATGCATGTGCTAAAATTCAATAAATTGGGTCCCCAAAAGGTTTTGGAAAAATGGAAAAGGGAAAACGATATCATCCTCAAAGAACTTAGCACTTAAGCAGATGCAGCCTTAAAAACTCTAGGGAATGTAACCATTTCAAGTTATATGCACATTTAACATTTATAAAGCCCATTGATTTTATAAAAGTAATTCCTAATTCTATATGTAGAATGCACTTTGCTTGGAGTTAAAGTTATAAGGCAAGTTCTATTACAATCAGAGAAGATGCAGCATATGAGAAAGGAAATTCAATGGGATTGATTTGTATCTAATAGATTTTGGAAAAAGATTAAGTACAAAGTCTCACCATTGATGTTAAAGAAAGAGCTGGAGTATTGTAAAATTGAATAATTAGAATCTTTACATAGGAGTGGTCGATATGAATGAAAGAAAGTAAAGAGGTAGAAAAGCATTCAGTTTCCATGATTGGAATGAATCAGGACATGGATTATATCTGCTCTATCATGGAGGATGTAGAAGAATCTCCTTATACTAGATGTTTTTAGTTCGAATGATCCATCAATAAATAGTAAGAAGGCTGGTTTTACGTTTGATTAAAGCGACAAGATTATTCTAACTTGGAATGGGCCCGAGCATGCTGTCACTATTCTTAAGGTAGGAAGTAGTCATGTAATAATCAAAAAAATTATATTAGCAATTTACATTCAAAGTTAATCCTGATGGATAATATCATTTTGCAGCAGGTTTGTTCAAATGTGAGATAAGGTTGCTTGAATGATTAATTTAATTCTAATGATTAAATAAATATAAAAGAAAACATTTTTATAAATTCACCCCTAATAATGTTTTTATTAACAAAATAGTAAGGATTTAAAACTTATTCATCTTGATATTAACATAAAAAGATTTAATCTTATGATAGATAAATTTTCAAAGAATCATAATGTAGGATTTAATTTTTTTTAATCCTCAATAATTATTTAGAATACAGATAACTCATAAGATTTAATTTGATTTATTATAAAGCTAACTTAGATTTCATGGCACTTATTATTATGAAAAGGAAATTGAATTATTATATAATATCGAAATTAATTAATTTATAAATTTATTATATAATATGGCTGACGACTACGATGAAGAATTTGGAGAGGTGCATTATTTAAAAAAATAGTTAGCTTGGATTAGTGATTGGTGATTTTAATATTCCATCAAGAGCGTCTGATTTACCCCCTTAATTCAAGGATCTTTTAGTCCCCAATAAAGTGTAATATGTATTTTGCACAGGAAACATTGGGAATAGAGAAACAACAGATTGGGTAAAGACATTATCTGGAAATACCCATTTCGTCAAAGGAGACTTTGATGAGTCTAAAGATATTCCTGAAACAAAAATCATATAGATTGGTTCATGGAAATTAGCTTTAGTTCATGGTCATCAAGTAATAAAAAAAAAATCATCTATTAGATTATCCCTGCTGGAGATGATGAATCATTATACACATTCTTGAAAGAGATGGAAGCAGATGTGCTTATAACAGGATTTACTGGTGTCGCTAAGGTTTCAGCTGTAGAGAAAAAATATATTATCAATCCTGGATCAGTCACAGGAGGTTTTAATGGATAATAATAGTAAAATAAAGGCAATATTTAGATCTATTCCATCATTTTTAATTTTAGAATTTAAAAAGGAAAAAATTTAAGTTTTTATTTACACTCTAGATGGAGATGTAAAAATAGATAAGCAAGAGTTACCATTATAGAAATGAATAAATTAAATCACATTAATATTTTTATGAAAACCAATAATCTTGTCCTGTAAAATCTAGCTCTTTCTTTAACTTTTCGAAAATCTTTGCTATCAATCTCTTATGAATTTCCTAATTATTACTGTCAATTTTAAAGAAGTCCGTAAATTTCTTTTTATTTTGACTATTGATATTGATGAACTCCTTAATAGAATCCAAAATTTTATATGATCCAACTTAGAATAAGAAATTTGAGATCTAGCAAAAATATTGTTTATATCATTCGAAAAACAATAAACTTAGATAGAAACAAATAATATAAAAATGAAATGTGAAATGATTTATTCCTGCAGTATATGTTTTATTATTTTATTCCATATATAATCAAAATACTGTTCCAATTTGATACCTTTTATGATTAAAATGTGATTCTAATAAGAAATAGGATACCAAAACACAAATCTTCGCCTTAATTTACTTTTGAGTCCCCACAATCGCTTAACTAGACTTTTAGAATTAAGATATAACAATCAAGAAAAAGATCTAACTCTGAGTGGTATTTTAATTATGCTTTTACAAGTACAAATCTCACAATATTATTATACAAGAATAATGATAAGCTATTAAAAAACAAAATTTTCATTTATTTAATTATTCTTAATTTGCTAATATATTATGAATTAGAGAGTAATATCGTTATAAGTAAAATAAATCAAAAATATTAATAATCCGCAAAAACCATAAATGATAACCTTTGATCCTTTTTTTTGTGTTTAAGTTACTAAAGTTTTGTGAAAAGACTAAAATTTAATTTATTTGTTTAATTCCTAGTAGTTGAGGTCGTCTATTTTTTTCTAGTTGAATTCGCTCTTTGAAAACTGCTTGCTCTTGATGATTTATTTTAGTCATAACAACCATCTGCACCTGTATTTTCTTACGGTTAATTTTCATTTATAGAACAATTATGAAAGTTTGTTGAGTCCATTAGTTAAAGGGATGCTCTCTTTTTGCTCTAAACACTAGGTTTAAGGTGATTGGCTTAATTAAAATCTTAACTTCTATCAAGTGATTAAGCACATGATTTCAACTCAGTTTAATAAAGTTTTTTTAACCTTAAGTAAGAATTTTAAGAGTTATGAGAACATATTAAACTCTTTGAAATAAAAGCTTAATCAGCCTCTGCAGAGATTTTTTCAGTTATAGAATTTGGTTTGGATCTATCACTTATAAAAGACTTTAGCTTGTTTATTCTTGAAAATAAACTTAATCTTGTTTTATTTTCATCTTCGAATTTATATTACTTTGATGATTAATTTTAGTCTTATCCTTGGTCTTCGAAGTCTCTAAAAGTTTCAGCCAATGTGTGCCTTCGAGATTCCCTCAAGTTAGAATTGAAATATTATATTTTACTAATCATTTCTTTCTCAAATGTTTCTGATATTTCATAACATCTTGGATAAACATATGGTTTTAAACTCATTTTCCTTTTTTAAGATTTTGTTTTACCAGAGTTCATTTTTAATTGATCTCAGTTATAATAAAATTAAATATACAATTAATAAAATGTGAGAAATTAGTTATTAAAAAGTTTTCAAAGATACTAAGGAATTTTTACAATTTTGATTTAAAGTAAAAAATAACTTCATATAATAAATTGATGGTAAACAGAATTAAGATTTTATAAATTGCCTCTATTATTAGAATCATCATTCAATTTCTTTAAGTATTTTGCCACCCTCATCTAAAGCTCTTTACATATTTTCCTTTAATCCTTTGAGAAATGCTTTGAAACATAAAACTACAGATTGAAATTTTGACTATGCTTTATTCTAATTTGTTCTGAGCGGTTTCTATACCTTTTTAATTCTTTTAGGTGCCTATTTGTTATTTTATTTTGATTTAATTTTTTTCTTTATCTTCCTCATGATAGTGTTTGCTTTGGCCAATTTTGCTTTAGAGTATCCTATCATTATAATATCTGGGCTCTCATGAGATTTTTTCTCATCAGTATTTTAGGTTTAGGAAGATGGGGCCTTTTTTTTTGATTTAGGCGGTCTTACACTTTTTATTTATGTACTAACACGAATTCTATGTTAAGAGATTGCTGGTTTATTATTTTCGAGCCGGTCATTATCACTTTCAATATGTGATTATGTTAAGAGATCGATCTCTAAGTCTTCTGATATCATATATTAATAAATGGACTCTAACATCTTTAATGTATATATAGTAAAATGAGAAAAAAGCCTGAAAAAATTTGGTATATAATAATTATTAACAATTAATTAGTCCAATTGACTGGACCTATATATTACAACTCTTTGCCGAGTTAGAAATATTAAAGTACAATCTCAACATCTATTAAAACATTTAATTATATTATTTTTTATCAATTAAGTTTAACAAAAATAAATTTATTCTTTTTTCTAAAATTATTTTAGCTATTTAATATTATTATGGTTTCTCTTATTAATTATCTAGAAATTTATTTCCTTCAATTGAAATTCTTGACAGAATTTTATCATTAATTTCAATCATAACAATATGTAAATTTATTGTTTACAGGAATAAATAGTGAATTTTCAAATCTAATAATATTGGAAAAAAAATTATATTTTATCAAATTTTCATGATTTTTTATTAACAAACTCTTTAGGGTTTTAGATTTGATTGTAATTTAATTTCCTAGAATTTTCCAATAAACTATAATTTATGAATACAATCTCACTAAACTGATAAAATTACAAATTTGGATTTGTTTTATCTTGTATAGCAATTAAAGAATTTATGATGAAAAAAAAGTGTTCAGATTATTACCATACTTGGTTACCATAATAAACATGCGCAAAAATAAGATTTATGACTAAGGATTATTTGAAATTTCTTTTTGTAATAATATCACATTTAATCCTGCTTTCAATAATTTAATACATAATCATTGAAAGTATAAATGATTAGATCTTTTGATAGAAATCGAAAATGAATCATTCTTCAAAAAAATAAAAAATAATTGAGTACATATTGCAATTTTTAATTTCTGCAAGAGCAGAAAGTCATAGAAATGATATAGTTAGAACTTCAAGGAATACAACAAATATTACTTAAAGGAAAGAAACATATCAAAAAATTAAAGTTTAATGGAAAGGAATTTAGACTTCATAAAGTGGTTAGCAATTAGAAATTTCTAGTTTTTTATAATCTCTTCTTTAATTATGATTGAATTTCTTTAAAGAAGATAAATTAAGAATCTTAGACAGTTGTTTTTGTATTCTCCCTATCAAAATTCTAATGAAGTTATGGGAGTATCGAGAATATAATACATTCTTTTTTGAATATTCAATTAATTTTTGAAGAAATGAAGTTAATGATTATAATATATTAAAATAATAATGATACTTTAAAACTCTCTTTTAAATTTTATCAGTTATTCTAACTATTAAATATTACTAGATAAATACCTTTATTAGTTTAATTACTGTATTTACTTTTATAAGAGAGAATTTTTGTTAAATAATTCTATTATTCTCCTATTTAAAATGCTAATTCCATCACTATATTATTGCTTATTATCTTCCAGTGTTTTAATATAATGTTTCAGATAAATAATTTCTTATTAATTTTCTTAAGTAGACTAAAGCTCTTAACTCTATTTTCTAGATTGCTTTAATTCCTAATCATGCTAAAGCTTTTTGAGAATTTATATAACAGGTTAAGTGGCTTGATTTAAGATAATTAATTGTTTGTTTTCTTCAAAATCATCTTAGTTTTCCTTCAATAACTATTCCATTGTTTAGACAAAGTGAGCAGTTTTTTCATTCAACTTTTGCTCATAATTTTCTAACTTCGACTATAGATCATCAACTTATGTTTTTAGTTAATGACATTCGTTTTCCAAAAGTTCTTTATCTTTCTCAATCTTTGCTATTAATATTTCTTGGTTTCTCTTTTATTCTTATGCAGTTAATAATTCCTGCCTTTGTTGCGCTAATTCTAATCCTTATTTTTCAATAACATCATTTTCTTTATTAAATCTTTCTTAGGACTGTTGGTTTGTTGAATTAGGTAGTTCATCTTTTATTCCAACTAACTTATCTAGTGTTTAAGAGGATTTTAAATTAGATTAACTTTGAATCTAATTTAATTATTCAGTTAATTATAAATTAATTTTCTAAAGTTATTCCTTTTCTTCATTTAATGATAATATTTATGATTGAAGATCTGATAATTATTATTTATAATTCCAAATTTCTTCTAATTATGGAGAATTTTCCTCGCCTTAAGCCCCAAAAAGGTTTATTTATTATTCATCAGTATTGAGATTGTGCACTTATTATTATTTTTTCTCAACAACATCATCGTCTTTATCTAAATCAAGTTGATTTTCTAATTTTGGACTCTGCTCTTATAAAATTCCATCCCTTTACATTTCTAAAAGTAAATATTAGTTTAATAGTTTGTTATATTTCTCTTTTTATTTTTAAATTTCATCATCCAATTATTTTTCATGATCTTATTTAATATCATCTTACTTTTTATTTAATCCATCATTTAGTTCTTCCAAAGCTAAGTGTTCAGATAATAATGAATTAAATTTATTTTTTATTAATTCAAGTTCACTTTTATCGACTAATTAATCTTAATTTTGATTGGCTGAATTCAAAGAATCTATTGCTTTTTCACATTCTTCCTACAATTTCAAATGTTCATTCAATAAATTATTAAATAAATCTTTTGCTTTTAATTTTTCTTCTTCTAGTTATTATCGGAATTCCTTTCTTAATTACTTTTCTTATTCATTAATTAAATCTCCAACATTTAACAAATGAAGATGTTCCTCCAAAAGATTATTATATTTATTTTTATAATAATCTTCAGAGCTTGGTTCCATCTTCAATGGCTCAGGAGTAGGTTCTGTTTATTCTATTTATTATGATTCATGTTATGATGTTTTATCTAAAAGGTTTTTCATATTTTCTAGTTCTTGTTTCAATTATGTATTTTAATTTTCTAAATAATTTAACTAATCAAGAAGTGATTTCATTTATTCTTGATTTTTTTAATCATCAATTTCTTCTTTTTCTTAATGTTCATTTGTAATCTCTTATTTTTTCTAAACAACATCATCATCTTTATCTAAATCAAGTTGATTTTCTAATTTTGGACTCTGCTCTTATAAAATTCCATCTCTTTACATTTCTAAAAGTAAATATTAGTTTAATAGTTTGTTATATTTCTCTTTTTATTTTTAAATTTCATCATCTAATTATTTTTCATGATCTTATTTAATATCATCTTACTTTTTATTTAATCCATCATTTAGTTCTTCCAAAGCTAAGTGTTCAGATAATAATGAATTAAATTTATTTTTTATTGTTTCAAGTTCACTTTTATCGACTAATTAATCTTAATTTTGATTGGCTGAATTCAAAGAATCTATTGCTTTTTCACATTCTTCCTACAATTTCAAATGTTCATTCAATAAATTATTAAATAAATCTTTTGCTTTTAATTTTTCTTCTTCTAGTTATTATCGGAATTCCTTTCTTAATTACTTTTCTTATTCATTAATTAAATCTCCAACATTTAACAAATGAAGATGTTCCTCCAAAAGATTATTATATTTAGTTTTATGATAATCTTGATTGGTTTCAACTAACGGATTAACATTATCTTATAATTATGATTATTATTGTAATCCATCCTTTAACACTTAAATTTATTCTTATAGCTATTCTAATTTAATCTCTTATTCATCAATCTTTTCTAAACTTTATAGATTTATTTATTTTTATTTTTACAATCTCTATTAAGCATTTTCAAGTTAATTTTCCAATTTCTTAATTGTGAAAAGAAGTTTGAATTATTTTGCTAACATTTTTGCATTTGTTTTTGATAATTTTTATAAATGATTGAGAGATGGTGTCAGCTCCAACTTACTAAGGCTCTATATTTTCTTCTCCCTCGTCAGTTTATTATTCATAGTAAT